TTGTGAAGGTACGTAAGTAAAACAGCATCCAATAATTAAGGTGTGTCAAGGTATGCATCACATTTGCATGTAGAAGAAAGTCGAGCTGCATAAACCAATTTGTATATGTAAAAAGATACTTATACATATTGAATGGGTCACTCATCCTGAAACTCAATGGAGGGATCTCTCCACTTTTTCTCTTCTCAAGCTCATCCCACTTCCCACTCCTCCTCATTGTATCACAAAAGCCATGTACTTCTTAACCGGACCACCTTTATTATTCCATCTTCGAAGCAATAGTATGTAATCCACAAGCTAGCAACCTCCAACAAGCGTGTAATAAATAAACAATGATTTATTTCATCTAGCTATCTTGCTATGTACTGTACATTGCCACCACCATCCTCGTAGTCGTCCTCCGTCATCATTCCTACTCGTACTCGTCACCAGTCCTCAATCTCATCCGTCACACCAACATCCAAAAATACACAAGTTGAAAAGAATGGGATCTTGCAGGCTTCCTTTTGAATCTCGTTGTCGTCATCATTGTCATTGTTGTAGATGGGGTGATCATCGTAATCGTCATTGTTGTGAATGTGGCAATCATCGTAATCGTCGTCTCTACAAATAAGAAAGCAGGCAAGTTAGACCATCTGATACCGGAATGATGACGATTTGGTATACCGTTAGGCGATCCTCTCCAAGGAAGAAGGCAAATCAGAAGGAATTCACAAAACAAATCACCACCATACGAGCAACGTTGGGCGATCCCTTGTTCTTAAGAAGGTACTGCACGAATCACGCAAGGCCAGTTCGATCCATGGCAAGGAAGGACTCACTTACGTAGAGTTCATAGGTGTCCTCGTTCATCCTCTCCAAAGAAAGAATGATCCCCCATCCTTCCAATCATTTCCCACCTCATGAAAAGAAATCCTCAAGGGAAAGAACGAGCCTATCACGAGAAGAGCGTGTTGGTTAAACACATTCACAAGCTGTTGCAAATCCCCTTTTACCTCAACACGGTGACCATGCTCTTCCAAAAACCCGTCGTCATCGACCCATCCTCAACTCAACGCAGGCCCATAGAGCCTTGGACGCGTTCCAAGAAGCTTTTCCAGCACACTTGGCTAGTGCAGAGCGACGCAGCGGCCACTTGATACAGGCTGGGACTTGAACCCAAAGAGATGATGATGCCCCAAGTTGTATTTGCCTGACCAGAGAAACCTATTTCAATTCATTATTAGCACACACGTACAATAAACGCCCTTTTTCATTGTTTGTTTCATTGTACTTGCCTTTTTCCATATACACAAAAAACCCCTTTGTTGTTGGTTACTGGAAACCGAAAACCATGGTGTAGTGGTGTTGAGCCGAAACAAAACGCCAAACCGGCCAACGTCTTGCAACCAAACTTGCCCTTTATACAAGCTGACGCGTCAATGGAACCAATTCGGCTGCAACATTGGACTCTGAATGTACCTACTGACACCAAGCGTAGAGCGGGAATAACAACGAGCAAAAGGAAGCAACGATATCGCCATGGCAACCACCAACCACCCACCACGTTCATTCCTCGGCACTTGGACACACTCACTCCTTGACAATGCATGTTCAGAACTGTATTAATACCTCACAATCAACAAGAGCACTCTTTGATAACACATTACTTTGATTGGAATGTCGCGAATGGGATAAAAGCAGAGGAGCGAGAAAGAGAAGAGAAGCGTTGTCTCAAGTCGTGGAGACACCGTCCCCCAAGTTTAAATCCCGTACTGCTATTACACTGAGGCCACTCAATTACCCTATACACACCATCCACCCAAACACACAACTCACCCATCATCATCATCACCCTCACGATAGACAATAGGTACACGTAATTAAAAGAAATGATGATCCTCACGTATAGCAAAAGGGTGTGTGCCATTTTACACTTTACATGATAATGATGATCCAACAACACCCATTGTTGCGGCCATACTACCATGTCACCTCGAATCAAGAAAGTTAAATGATGGGCATGCTGGGCTGGAGAAAGACAATCGCTCGTATGCATTGGATTGGACAACAAAGGTGAATGGGAGGAATGGGCTATCAAGTGGCAGTTTACAAATCATTTTGCACAATGATTTTTGTGAAATTGGATGATGTTTTGTGTTTGAGCGTAACTCAACCAAATCCTCTCGGATCATGAAAGTTGAAGGATGGACATGATGGACTGGAGCAGGAGAATCGTTCGTATGCATTGTATTGGACAACAAAGGTGAATGGAAGGAATGGCATCTTAGCCGGCAGTTTACAAATAACTTACCAGATTACTTCTGTGTTTGAGCGTTTTTCAGTCAAATCACCTCGGATCAAGAAAGTTTAACGATGGAAATGATGAGCTGGAGCAGGACAATCGTTCAGATTTCTTGATTCGAGAGGATTTGGTTGACTTACGCTCAAACACAAAACATCATCCAATTTCACAAAAATCATTGTGCAAAATGATTTGTAAACTACAGCTAATAGCCCATTCCTCCCATTCACCTTTGCTGCCCAATCCATTGCATGTGAACGATTGTCCTGCTCCAGCCCATCATCTCCATCCTTCAACTTTGTTGATCCGAGGGGATTTGATTGAACAACGCGCAAACAAAGAAACACCATTCAACATCGGTTCAACCCAATTTCCACCTCTTCCACTCTCAGCTTTCCTTTTCCTCCCATTCTCAACTATTGGCCCATTCAGGTACAACTACCACCTGCGAACGATTGTCCTGCTTCAACCCATCATGTCAATCCTACAGCTGTCTTGATCCGACTGTCTTTAACTGAATGGCAAGTCCATGGCGTGTACACCCCACTACGACAACACGCGTTTCTTGGCACTACACCTTCTCTTGTACAATCGTCGACCACAACCAATCGTAACAGCAGATGCCATTAGCAAGATCTGACTCCATTGTCTCAAACAGCGTTCAAAGCCTTGTCACTCGACTACAACACACGCTCTTGCACACTTCTCTGCCACGACCAAACACAGCAGCTGTTGCTATCACAAGACCTTTACTCCATTATCTCATGTTACTTGCAACAACTTGCTTTGATACATACAGGTTTCAATGGATGGGATGTCATATCAGCTATCAAAATCAATGCAATACAAGCAACCTTCACCTGGTTGAGCTGCGATGGAAGAAAATGACCAAGAAGGGATTGATCAACAGCCGGATGGAAAGGGGAGCATACCAGCAGCGATCACATGGCTATTGTCAATCAACATATCGGATTTTATGGATGGATGCAATCAAGTGCAGTGATGAGATGTGCTGGAATGTCGCTATGGTTACGCGTTGTCAGCAAGCTGGATGGATCACGTGTAAACGGCTGAGGATGATGCTGGATGGGATGGAATTGACCAAAGAAGGTGCTTTACAGCCATGGATGCTATTGGAATACTCAAGTCAATGCATGCAGCAGCTATTCTACAAACATGGATGAAGAATGTTTATGATGGCAGCAATCAAGAATACAATGACACAAGTATCCCTGTGGCCTCTATGTGATTCACCCGTAGCTTATTCAATTTACAATGCTGTTCCTTTATCATACTTACTCGATAAACATCCACTCTACCATGTGCTATTCTTCGACCTTTTCATTAAATTCAACATAGCGTTTAAAATGAGCATCATACAAACAGTTCATATGAGCAAGATGTGGATCACTTGGTTTGTTTCGGGATTGAGAGGGGGAATAGGAACTTGCAGGTTGGGAAGCGAGATTGGATCATTTACATCATCGTGTCGAAATGCTTTTGTTCTCTTGTCGCAGCTTTCTAGTTCATTCACTGATATACGAAAGGCAGGGGGTGTTTCTCGAACGCTTGTATTCATGATAATGATTCGAGAATGATGATGCTCGACGTTGTGTTTGTCACATGATAAACTTGGTTCATTGTAAGCCTAATTCATTGTGTTAAGAAAGGATGAGCTATGATACAATGTTCCACGAGTACATGAACATCCCATGTTTACCTCTGATAACTTTTAGCTAATGCTATCTTATGCAACCTTCGTATAAGAACAAACCACTCTATACGGGCTATCATAGCCGGACCTTTCTAAAGGGGGTGGGCTACAATCATGCATTTATCCACCAATAGCATTGACCCTTCAAGCCCCGTCCTCTTGGTTTTGAGTTACACAAACAAGCCCTTCTGCATTTGGCTCATGAGTGAGGCCATCGATAATGAACATAGACCACTTTTCATCTGCCATTATACGCTTGCAGCATATGTAAAACATAAATACAACCTTAACTCAAGGTTTTACAATCAAACGTCGGGGTCTATGTTTTTACTGTGCTCTCTGTCAACGTTACGGTGCTGCTGTTTGTTGATCATTAACGGGTATTTGGAGTAACAAAACTGCCATGATGCACTACGTGTGATATGCATTTCGGAGCTGACATACAATAAGGTAAACAGCCATGTTATGCATCGTGTATCATTGATACCCCTATTCTTGATCCAATACGTATGTCAACAAGAAGAATCACGCCCCTTGTCCACTGACAAGTTAATCTCAATCCTCCAATACATGGGTTGTTAACGTTTGGTTTCCATGGATGTTTTCAAATGATCGCCATAACAACGTAAGGGGTTCTAGTGATGCTGTTTAACTTGACATCTATTCATCAAATGCTGGTGGATCGCTGATGGATAACGACATTTGTGTAATCGAAACAAGTTTGGTGTATAATGATTAATACCTAAATTGCTAATATACATGTATTCAGCTACTGCTACTATTATTAAAAGTGGCGGGTAATTTGAGTTAAGGTTTTTCTTGGACTCTCTCCACGCCCAAAAAGTATTGACAAGGTAAATAGAACCAACAAAATCTGCTTGTATGGGGGACAGTGATAAAGAAGAAAAGGAGGGAGGGGATAAACAATGCCAAAGAAAGGAGGAGGCGGTAAACAGGGAATAAGAAAGGGATATCGGTGGGGAATGAAATGCACGGGTAGTACTACTTCCGGTTGCTGTGTGTAATATGATTGTGTTTGAGCCTATCAATGACACGCCGTAACTCATTCATCCACATGTCCATGGCTTCTTGTGAATCGGCACGAAGGAAATAGGCTTCAGTTGTGGCTCCACCAGCAGCTGCAAGCAATGCGTCGATATCATCCAACGATCCATCATTCTTTTCGTCATTGGATGAAAAGCAAATCTCAAATGTAAATGGTTCCACTCGTCGCTTTTTGGGTACTTGACGTAGCATGGCATCACGTAAATCAATGCGACCTTTGTAATACAATACACCAGATTCATCACGTGGTCGAGCAAACAAAAGCATGTCGCTTAGCAAAAAGTACATGCGACGTTCATGCTTGCCGGTGTGTGTTACATTGGTGAGTGGACCACGCATGATAAATGACCGAGGAGTGTCTAGTATTGGCGGGCATTGGCGGACACAAAACGTTATGTCAACCAAGTTGTTGATATTACTACACCGTTGATGCCTATATCTCCTTTGTTTAGTGATGGAGGATACCCAAAAAAAATGAGTCTTGTACTCACAGACGATGACTAGCTGATTGGAAGCGTGCAAATTGTGTAGCACATTGACTTAACCTGACGGCGTCGGGATGATGGGGATCGGTCAATAGAACGAGCTCCTTAAAGAAACGGGTATATCGCTTGATGGCAAGTAAAGGGAGGCCCAAGAGTGATATAAGGGAGCTCATTGAATGGTTCGTAGTATCAATCAAGGACTATACAACAAATAATCGGAATTGAGTCCCTGTTTTCTTGTGGAGACGATGGCTGACATACCTCGATGCATTTTCTCGTAGAAGGAGTTGTTAATAGGCGTTCCAGGGTGCTCATCGAATCTCCATAGTTTTCATAAAAATATGTATACATCGTTGTAATGGAAGTGATCTACGATAGAAAGCAAACGTTGGCATTGATGAACGTTAGGTTATGCGTTCTGGAATCTTCAATGCTGATTCTTACATATGACTTCACTATATCCGATAACAATTGTGTGGGGTTCCATATCCTTAATCTGTTTATGAAAAGATTTGCATGAGCGAAGGGGTAACAAAAAACACGCTGAATGGGATGGCAATCCTCCTCTTCTCCTCTTTTTCTCCTGGCACACCGTACACCCAGCTCACCAACACTCCTTCCCAAGGCGTGTCTCTCGATCTGAGAAAGATGCTTACCGTTCACATATACCGTTGAGGAGTCGTTGGCTTTGCATGAGGAGATCTTCTATGTTGCCAAATACAGTATCAACATCATGATAGCTGATGAAGGCTGCTGGTTTGTTGGTAGATGATAAAAGATTGCTTCGCCTTTGGTATGCTGATGAAGATGAGGATGTGGCGGATGAGGAGGCTGATGATCGCCGACTACTGTTATGGATCATTAAAGGTCGTTTGTATTGCTCCAATGCTGTTTTCATGTTGTTGATGTATTGGCGTTCTTCGGCCACAAACTCATTTATTAACCGATCACGTTCTTGCATGTCAAGCTCAGCAAGCATAGCTAAACATGAATGATAAGAAGTGCTGTTTCCACGATCGATAGATGTTTGTATGACACAAACCTTTTATTTCACTATCACCGGTTATGTATTCGTATACAGAGTCGATGGCATTTATGTCGTCGTTCGATATGGCGTTGCTTAATCGAAAAGGTGGACATGGAAACAATGCCGATTCATCGACGCTGCATATGCTGGTGACTGTGCTGCTGTCATCGCTGATAGAATTTGTTGTTGTGAAACCACTGTTGTTGGCGATGGATAGGATATCAGACGACGCTTTAGATGTACGTGAAGTTGCATGTGTAGCTGTACTCAAAGATCGCACTGCTTTCAACATGGTGGTAAATAAAAGATGCAGGGTCTAGGAGGGGAAGTGGGGAAAAGCAGAAAAGAAAATCGAATGGTGTTTCATAGCTTAAATATGAGTGAAGGAACGATGTTTGAAAATAGGAGCATGTTGGAGGAGAAAGAGAGCGGCCATGAGCTTTTGGTGATACGAACACGTATTCAATATTGAATATGTGTGCTCTGTGCGTGCTGTAATGTTGAGTCTCGGCCCTGCATTCTATTGTTGACATGATGCAGATCGATGCTGGTATGCCAGAAAAAGTCAATGCCTTCCACCGGGTGACACCAAAGTAAACCATTTGGTTAGCGAGCATGATGTCAAGGATAATACTCGCCTCCTTAAAAATCATGATCCACATTTATGAATTTCACTGACCGCTATGGTAAAAGGAGCAAGTGCAACGACAATCAAGTCGTTATGCGGTTGATTTGACTTGTATACGGAGTGCACGCGTATGTCCGTGTGACGATTTGCTGACCTTAGGTTTGCTTTTCGGCGAGAGTTTGGAGATTTGGCTTGGCAAACATGTGTATGCTATTTGACAAGAGCTGCATGTACGTGTTACTGTACGACGTTGCGGAGTGTGTTGTGCAAAGACGTCAATTAGCAAATGAGGGTCTGTGTTATGATCACATCCATTTATCTTCCCCAATGCAGATCCTTGGTACTGATTTTCGGTGACACTATAGCAAACAAACGTCATTTGGTGACACTGCAGTAGCTTGGACACGCATATCTTACGCACTCTTCCACGTGTGTGCAACAACATACACTGCAAGCAATAATCTTATTTCGCTTCCACTTGGCAACATCTCGCACTGCACTATGATTAAGGCTAGATGTGGCTCAACTTGCTTTTTATTTTCTTGCTATACAAGGAAAGGATATTATGTGGGGTTCCTGTTGTCGAAAGGAAGGAGCGAGCTATTTGAAGGTTAAGCTACCTTACCACCATGCCACTTGCAACTCTATCTGACATATGGCAAAGGAAGCAAATTCATTCTATGTAATGCTACAATAGACAATTACTCACTACTATCATTGCTCAGCGTACAAGGGGTAAATGCTTTGCAATGGGGGGGTGTACCCTGTAAGGTATACTCATCAATGCCAGGTATTGCCTTCCATTATGCCGCCAACTTTGTGGGTGTAACTTAATTCGTCAGCCCATTTATTACTTGCAAAACGTGTGCAAAGATACTTTTATCCGGTGAAGGAATCGTGCAGCTTAGTACTTGCGCCCATTTCATTATCCCCAACAAGATCCTGTTTACTCCTTTTGCTATATGCAAATGATGATAGTGCGATTGATTGAATTCTTTATATGTGGGACTTTGAATGATGATGACAGCTTGGGGAAATAGGATAACGTTTGTGAAGAGGACACGTTGGTAGTTTGCGGCGTGTGAGTGATTGAGGCCACTGAAAAAGGAGAACCAAACCAGAGGAGGACTCTATCTAAAGGAGAAAGACCCATACAACATGCTCAACCTATAAGAACGCAATGTGAGATAACAAGTAAACCATCCATCCACTTCCCTTTGCGCTCACCCCGAGAGTAACAATGAAAAAGAACTGTTGTGCTTCCTTGTGGATAATGGGGAAAGAATACAACAACGGCGTCTCTTGCATCTTGTATCAAATGAGAGAACAACAGCCTGCACATAAACTTTGTATGGGTTACATGAACAATAAACATGCAGTACTTGTACGTACCCTTCGCCTTGGATTGAAGTTCGAGTCAGAGGTAGAATGTGAGGACATCCATTCGTAGTACATGCAACTGGGAAGGCATCTCCATTGGTCTTGACACGGCATTGGGCAACCGATCGTTTCACATGTTCACCCGTTGACTTTGTGCATGGAAGGCAATGCTAGCTGTGTTAGTTCTTTGTAGTTTGTAAGTGGTGTCTCTCTTAGCTTACTTTGTGCAGTGTAAAAGGAGAACATGGACTCTTCCATTGTTCCTCTCTTGCCCTGGATTTTGTATGCAGATGTCTCCCCCGCTTCTACAGTTGCTGTTGTGAATACGTACACTAGCGATTACCCTATACTCTTTCAATCAATAAACCATGTCAAGTCTTGAGATTCTTGTTTCGTGAGTAATAAAAGTGGGCATCAAGCAGGTCTGTGCGCAATCATGCAGCTTTTCTACTCCTGTGCTTAAATCAATGAATGTTCTTTATAGCAAGCGTCAGCGTATGTTATGCCCGTATGATCCTTGACATTCATACTTGTGTGTTTGTATCCAAAGAACAAACCTTGCCTAAGATCATTTTACCTTCAAAATCAAAAATTGTGGTGTGCAAAGCCGCCGCACAAGATCACGTGACACACACTTCTGTCGTATATCCTTTTGCGTCGTCTGGCGGTATGGCACCGTAGCCAGGGATGTAAACACCTCTTTACAACTACCCGCTCAATATAGACAAGAACTATGATTCACCGGATCAAAAGCTAAAGATTTATTCTCGGCGTTGCAGCAGCCTTTTATAAAGGCTGCTCAGCACCGCAGCATGTGCAACATTACAAATCTAAAATATCATCCGACACTTCGACAAAATCAGCAAAAAGAAATTCTCGCAGTTGTGCTTTATGATGCGCGGACCGGGAATCGAACCCGGGTCATCCGCGTGGCAGGCGGATATTATACCACTAAACCATCCGCGCTCGTATGATGAAATTTTGAAACATGAATGACATGATCTAAACCATGTTGCCTTTTTAGGCAGGCGGGAAAATAAGATGTACCGAGCGAATGAAATTTAATGATACGTGTGATATGCGAGACGTGGTGTAATAATACGAAAAGAATGCGAAAGGGGGATTCTTATAGCTCGGTAGTCAAATGAACCCAAAGATCAAATAAATGTATAATAATGTGCTCCTGTATCGTTCTGACCACGTCGTTCTGATAACCAGGCAACCACAAAATTAGAGGAAGAAAATGATAATCATCAAAAATTTATTTAGACGTCCCTTTTACTGGCAAGGGATCAGCCACAACAACAATGTCTCATTCTAATAAAGAGGATTGGCCATGTCGTAGTTGTAAAGAGATGAAGGGTGCCGCTAAGGGTCCGCAGGCTACCACTTCACTCCGACCAATCACTCACTTCTTCAACTTCAACTCCAAATTGCTCCACAACGATCCTCCCAAACAAGATGGCGTCTTCAATAATGGTATCCATGGCTACTCCGCTACACCATGATACTTCTTTCATCACCATACGACGACTTTCCAAACCAGGCAGGCCACCAGTACTTATACCACCACGCGCCGTGTCATTAAGTAGCAAATCCTCGTTGGTCCAGTGGCAGGATCCCGGTCTCTCACACCGGTGGCCCGGGTTCAATTCCCGGACGGGGAATTATGCACTTTTTACTCTGAAGCCGAACAATCACGTGACCTTTTTGTCACAGAATCATTCTTGGTGATCTCTTTTTCCCCAACCACGTCTCATTGGTATCCAAAGATGTTATGTACTTCAATTGTATTGCTCCATGCTCCAATACTTTTTTATTGTCATCGTGTACAGCTTACATCTTTCCCATCATCTACAGTATTCACCGGTATTGCTTCTTCGGTTACATTGATGTTGATATCCCTCGTTTGTTGTGATAGCGGTAGCCTTTTTGAAAGGAATTTGCTCAGCAAGCCGGTTGAAAAAGATGAACGCATCACTTTTGGTATGGTACTCGTGGATGATTGTGGCTGGATCGTGATATCATGCTGTTTTGGAGGATGTATATTTGATGTTGCAGGGATATCATCCACACTGAGAACGTGCTGCATGCTTTCATTGTCAATAATTTTCATCAATATCTTGTTGAGGTAGAGTTGGAGCGCACGATTGGTGTCCTTGAGTGATCGTACTTCATCATAAAGCGAGCTCTCTGGAAAAGAATAAACAACATTAACTTGAAGAACGGTCCACATGCATTGTACTTTACCTACCTTGCTCTTGAATGTAATTAGCGTTTCCAAGTTCATCTGCCAGGTTTATCCCCCTTGTATCCGAGCTCTCGGTATCCATGGTTGCACGCGAAGCTGCAAGGATTTCGCCATTCATGGTCTTTTCATGTAGTAAAAGCTGATAGCTCTCGTTGTCTTCCATCAATGATTCATTCATTTGACGTGCGCTTGCCAATTGTTCTTCAAGATGGTTGATACACGCTAACTGATACTGGTGCTGATCAGCATATTGTTTCTCCAAATTTGCAAGCTGTGATTTGAGTTTGGTGATGGTCTTTTCAGCAGCGGGACTCACTACTCGTTGTTGACGAGGCGAAGGTGACATCTTTTTGTTGTCATATTCTGAGGGTGATGACTTTGGGCTTGTTGGCAGTCGTCGTTTACAGCTGGCTGCAGTAGTGGTTGCCTGGCTACTCAATTTGCGGATCTGCTTGTTAAGGGATTCTTCCTTCTGAAGCCATCGTTGCTGCTGATACTCAAAGGTTTCTTGCTAAGACCAAAAGTAATCGTGTATCAGAGAAAGTACATACAACCATTCGTTTAACCTACCTCGGATTCCAGCTGCTTGATGACTTCCTTCTTTTCACGTGTCAATTGGGCTACGGTCTTCTTGAATTCCTCAAGGTCTTGTTCTCTTGCATAATAATCAGTCTCCAGACGTGTTTGTGCCTCGATCGCAAATGTCATTTGCTGCTGCAAAGTGGCTATTCTCTTTTCAACACAATGAGTGCTTTAGATAGACAATGCATACAACGGGATATTACCTTGTGTAGCTGCTTATTCTCCATCAATATCTCTGAGTGCTTCTCAACCCTTTCAGCCAACTGTTCTTGTAACTATTCATGCATCACGCCTTTTGAGTGACACCAGCCTCATCATACACAGCATAAGAAAACAGTGCACGTACCGATTCACGGTCATGGTGAGCCTGACTCAAGTCGTCATGGAGTGCTTGTGCCATGCCTCTCATATCCAGATTACCACAACTAGTTGCATTGGCAGACGATGTTGTCGCATTCCAGTCCATAATGTTGAATAGAGTGAAAGAAGTATTGTAATAAAGAGGAAAAGACTTCCATATTCAATAGAGCCAGTTGGTTTGTGTATACACGGCATGTTAAGATAAAGAAGAAAAAAGTCGTTGTATTTATAATGGATTTCATCAGCTACTTATTTCTTGAACTTGTAATGAGAGCGATCAGGGCCTTCATCTGATAAGGCTGTGCTTCCAAAGGTCTCTTCGATCTTGCTTGCTACAGACTCAAACCCTTCGGCATCAGTATGGCCCATAGCATCCATATCGCGTGCAACTGCATCCATGGCACTCTGATTAAGATCATGCGCCATATTTTCGGTTTCAAGATCATGCTCAATATACTCTGGGAAATGACGCTTGGATGTATCAACAAATCCCCTCATACTGGATGATGGTTTAGTTGTCTTGCTCTCACTTGACATTGTGGATGAAGGAGTATCCTTTCGAGCTCGTGAAGTCCAAAATCCAGTACCACCACCACTATCCGCTTCAGCAGTCGATGTATTACTGTGGCTCCATCGAGTGTCTTGTGTCGACGAAGGTGCTGCAGTTGTCATTTGGCTGCCATCGCTTCCTCCTTGGTTGCTACGTAGCCCTTCAGTTTCCTTATCGATCTCTTCAAAGGTATTATGGATTGCCTAGCAACATCCAATAGCGGGTGAGAATCTCCATCTCTCTCTCTCTTCTCCAAAAAGTCACCAGTGATCTCTCTCTTTTACCTGCTCAACTGAATCGGCAATACCGTGCATGGAGCGTTTAAGGTTGCCATGGCGCTCGTTGTATTGCTGTTCCAATTCTATCAAATGACATCATTGTTACAACTAGCAACGATATGAATGTGAATAAAGCTACTATACCTTTTTCTGTAGTATCCATGATGATGGTTTTCTTTGAATGATTGGGATAATTTTTTCAGACGAAGCAGGCCTTTTTATATGGGTTCACGTCGCATTGCATCAAGATGAAGTAATTCATGCGAAATCGAATGTCATGGATGGCCATGTGTCACCTGGGTTAACCCATGCTACTTGGTACCTTTAACCCCGCATGTAAGATCGTCGCCTTGGCGACCTGTACCCATAATGATGTAGACAGCACAAGCCCTATGTTTTTGTTTTATTGAGTAGTTGTAATAAAAGAAAAGTGACATGGACCCTCTATTTACAATCAAGCAGGCTGATGGGGTAGTCGAAAGGAATCGTGCATGCGGTCGTCATTGACCCACCACCAATCCCGTAAACTGCGTTTGGAGGCCACTTCCTTTTCCAGGGTTGGCGAAGGCGGCAAGTAGTCGCCTGTGTCGGTCACGGTAGAAAGCTGGAAAACTTGGCATGGTGATTCTTCCGCTTTTGGTGTTGATTTGTTCCAAAGTTGACTTGCTTTCCATCGTGTGATAGGTTTCACAACGAGCCTTGTCAATGAGGATTCTGAAGACATGGACGATAAATCAAAAAGTGAAAAGAGAGGATATAATGCGGGAATAAACGATAGCATAAGGATTTCCACCGTTTTATTTCTGCTGATCGTCAACCTGCATAATGACTTTTAGGAGCTGAGGAAAGGGGGAATTGCTACAAGACGCGGCGTGTTGTGGTTGATGCAAATGAGTGCTGCTGCTGCTGCTGCTGCTGCTGCAAGGTCATGTGTTTACGTGACTCCATCATCAACAGCACAGCTGGGTTGACTTTTACTATCCTACGCTGTGAGGAGAACAAGGAGAAATGAGTCGCATAAATGTTTGTCGTCTTTGGTTTATGACCTGTTTTGGTACAAAATATCGGGTTACTTGTGCCACCATCACTCGCTTACATGAGCTCTGCTAGGTCTTCTTCCAAAGATTCCTGCCCTTCCAAATACAAAGAATACATCACGCTTTGTCTCACTTACCCAGCAGCTCCTGTGCCTTTGTTTAGCTTACTCCCCACCAACAGCCTTTTCTTCTTTGGAGGTCTTCGATTGATCCATGCTTCCTAGCTGATCGAATAAAAAGTCATACACCACGCTGTTATGTATGTTACCTTGCACATCTCAAACGCATTGAATTTTCGTATCACCCCAATCCAATGGATTCATCTCGTCTTTATTCCCACACAAAGGTATTTGCCGTGTACAATGAAAACGTTTCTGGACAATTGTGCAACCCAATCAAGTGACATATCAGGATAATGGTACACATCAAATAACAAGTATTGGATCCCACCCAATAATCGTCCTTCACAAAGAGCTTCCCACAGCTCTGTATGGGTAGAACACATATCGAACAGCAAGAAGGCATTATGAAAGCATAAGACAAAAAGAATAAGGTTTTGTAACGTGGATTGGCGTCTTATGTAATCGGCTTCTAGTATAAAAACCCCTTTTCCTTCACCATCATCAAAGTTGTCGATCCACTCGATCTTTAATCACACATCATCTCCACCAACTTTGTCTAATGGGAACGTGGACAAACAAGATTGTCACCAATGTCTACGTACGTACCAAAGAACCAACACATGACAACAAATTAAGTATCCCGTGTATAGGTCATTGGTGGGTTTGCTGCTATTGCAGGCATCATGTTTGGCTTTGACATTGGCAGCAACTCGGGTGTTATAGGCACTTGGCAGTATGTATGAAACGAATGCAATCCTTTGCTCTGGACCACTTACTTTTTTCACAAAGGTACCAAGAGTTCTTTAATCGTCCCGATGCTTTATTACAAGGTGGCATCAATGGTGCTTTGAGCGCTGGTTGTTTTGTTGGTGCTCTTTGTGCGGGTTTCCCAGCGGATCGATTCTCTCGCAAGTATACTCTTATTGGAGCATCAGCATTGTTTATTGTCGGCTCAATCTTACAAGCTGCGGCTAATGGTGTTCCCATGCTCTGCTGTGGTCGTGTGTTGAATGGTATGTAGATCGTCAGGGTGCACAAGATGACGTGGAAACAAGATTTTAATGGCTGTGAAATGATAATCATAGGTCTTTCGGTGGGTATCACGTCCATGGTGGTGCCTTTGTATCAATCGGAAATTGCACCCAAGGAAATTCGAGGTCGTATTGTTGCTGTCCAGCAATGGAGTATCACATGGGGCATCATGATATCGTAAGCATCGACAAGAGGTGACTGTAATTCTACCTTGTTAACACATCACCCATCCATTGATAGGTTTTGGATTCAATATGGATGTCAATTTATTAATTCAACAGCTGCATGGAGAATCCCGTGGGCAATACAAGGAGTGCCTGCTGTAGTCCTTGTAGCTGGCATGTGGGCATTCCCATTTTCACCCCGTTGGCTGGCAGATCATAATCGTATGGATGAAGCTATTCGTGTACTTGCAGATATCCATGGTAACGGTGATCCAAATCACCCACGTGTTCAATTGGTAAGATCATCACTTATCATAAAAGATGATGGTTTTATTCAACCATTTCCTCCACCGAATACAGGAAATCAGAGAAATTGAAGCTACCATCAAGTTTGATCGTGAACAAGCTTCCCACCGTTATTCAGATCTTCTCAAACCTGGCATGGCATATCGTGTTTCTCTTGGTATTTGCCTACAAATATGGCAACAACTCACTGGTATGAATATCATTATGTTCTATGTCGTGTTCATGTTTGAGCAAGCTGGTAAGTATTGTTTTCGCAACATCTTAAACAATGCTATGTTGCTTACTCTTATAATTCAGGTATTGGTGACTCCCAAGAAGCTACGCTACTTGCATCGGGCATCAACTACGTTGTTAACGTCGTCATGACCATCCCCGCTATTCTCTATGTGGACAAATGGGGTCGTCGTTATACCATGATTTTCGGAGCACTTGGAATGTCGCTTTTCCTTTGGGTAGTAGGTGGTTTGCTTAGCCGAGGCCACTATGTGATCAATCCCACGACCGGTCGATACCAAGTACAAGATTTGGGCACCCCAACTGCCAATGGAATTGTTGCCTGTGTATACCTTTTTGTCGCATGCTTTGCCACAACATGGGGTCCTTTAGGTTGGATTTATCCCGCTGAAATCTATCCTCTGCGCGTACGTGCAGTAGCTGTTTCCATGTCAACAGCTGCCAATTGGTTGTTTAATTGGGTCCTGAACTTTGTTGTGCCTTTGCTCATGGAAGAGATCCGCTATGGCTTGTACATGCTGTTTGCAGGCTTCAACTTTTTGATGGCATTGCATGTATTTATAGCATACCCCGAGACAAAGGGTTATACGGTAAGTCATTTTATGCATGAATTTATGTTTGTATCATGTAGCTAATCTAATGCATATCTTGTTGTCCATATCCAGTTGGAAGAAATGGATATTGTATTTCAGCACAATCCACGTAGGCGTATTCCCAGGGAAGTCATTGATCGGGAAATGGCTGAAAAGTACCATACCGACCAATTTGCCGGTGCTGATAATAGCCACGAACCCAAGACCGAAGAAGTATAATCGTAATACACCTTCATGTTCCACTATTGTCGTTAATGTAATACCCTCCTGTACGCGCTAAATCAAGGAAGAATATGTATATTGCTATCATCAATCTCTATGTTGTTGTAATAATAAAGGCATAAGCTATTACTGGTACTTTTGTGTTCCATTCATGGGCCAGCATGTTGCCTATTACTATCACCATATAAATGTGAACTCACATTGCAAGATCCACGTGTAGGGAAAGAACAAATAGGTCATTATTATGGTTCTTGCCATTGTTGTTGCGAACAGGGGATAATGGGGCCTTTTGATATCGACCCAACATGCATCCGTGTTATCGATCAAGATGCCAATGGCTTTACCAAATCTTTAGTTTTTCATTGTTTTCCTGTTTTCATTGTGAAATCGGCTCTTTTATTGAGGTAAAACTAATTATCCTTTCATGTAAGTAGTGCCTCTGCTGGAGATGCACATGCAAAGTTGGACTAAAGTGAGATAGGCCGCATGGAGGGATGATCTATAACGACCTCCGTGGTAATAAAACATTAGATGGGTGACGAGGATAGAATGAAGCATAAACGGTACGCAATGCTGCCTATGATGGAGTAATAAAAAGACGTTCATGCTTCTTATCGGAGGTTGCCCTGGTGATCAATTTCCTTTTTCGTGTGGCAACGGTAGTTACGTAAAGCCGCTTACAGGGTCCAACTTCCCCTTCCACCTAATTTGACATATACATACCCAAAGGTAAGTTGACGTTGGCCGATATGGTTTATTATGCTTTACCTGGGAGTTTTTAACCTTGTTCTTGGTGACATTGGCAGCTGCAATGCCTTCTGTGTACGTGTCTGGTTATACTGATGCAGGAGGACAAGGCATCTACTTGTACGATTTTGACAATGCGAGTGGCAACTTGACCGGTGGACGACTTGTGGCCAAGACACAACAACCATCCTACTTCGTGATCAATGAAGCAACTGAGTCTCTGTACGCGTTACTTGAAGTGACCGAATACAACAATATGAGCAATACTGGAGCAGTGCAAGCATTTCATCGAGATCCCAAAGACGGGTCATTGACAGCTCTTAACACTGTGGCGACTGAAGGTGGTGCACCATGTCATGGCGTTAGTGATCGTAACAAGTACCTTCATGTGGCCAATTATATGGGTGGTTCGGTGTCATCATTTGCCATTGAAGATCAAGGACGTATCAGCCCGCTCGTGTCACTTTACAAGCACAATGATTCTGCCAGTGGTGGTGTACCTGATCGTCAAGAAGCTCCACATGCACACTCCATTGATATGATTGATCCCGATTGGGCTATCTCTTGTGACCTGGGTACTGACTTGGCCGTTGTTTACAAGCACACCAACAAGGATAATGCTATCCTCGAACGATGCAGTGAATTTCAATTCCCCAAAGGTGCTGGACCTCGTCACGTCGCTATCACAAAGGATCAACAGCGTGTTTACGTGCTCACAGAGTTGTCAGTCGAAGTCTATGCACTGGAATTCAAGGATGGTGTATTATCCAAGATCGATCATCAGTCGGCTCGTCCAGAAGGAAACATGGATTTCGCAACCGGTGCTGAAATTGCTCTCACCCCTGATAATCGATTTTTATATGCATCGTTACGTGAGATCGATCAAATTGTCATGTACAAGGTTGATTCTGCCTCTGGTAAACTTACTCTTATTGGACACGTGCCATGCGGTGGTGTCCATCCAAGGCAATTTGTCATTGATCCTTCAGGCCAATACCTTCTCTTGGGTAACATGGTAAGTAGAGTGAGATTGTAGGCTATGAGGTACATTTTGCTCATTGTGTCGTATGTGTCATAGAATTCCAATACCATTGTGGTCTTTTCGATTGATCAAACAACGGGTCATCTCTCAGCTCTCCACACCATTGATCATCCACAACCCACTTGTATCCAATTCTGGAAATAGAAATGTCTCTTTATGTTCTATTAACTGCTATTGAGAGATGAATGAATAAAGAAAAAAAAGTAAAATTGTCTAAGATGTAATGAGATGCATATGCAAGGGAAATGAAGAGACAAAAATTAACGATATCCACTACTAGCACCACTGGACCAATTATTATTGCCTGCAGCAGGCCATTGACCGGAAGCGTTTGACATCATGGCACTAGCAGGACGACCACCAGGAGGGAATTGAGGAGGTTGCATCATTTGGTTTGTAGGTACCATCATTGGAGTAGCAGCCATGGGCATCAAGTATTGACCATACATGGATTGGCTGCTTGGCATCATGGTGGATTGACGATTGGATGTAGGCGTCGACATGCTTGGTGTCACGTGAGGAGCACTTTCGCTACGAATCATCTCTGAGCGTCGACGTACATCCGTGCTGGTCATACGGCCGCCACGTCCTCCATTGTTGATGTTACCCTTTCCACCACCACCACCAAGTGCCTTTTCAGGGCCTGGACTACGACTACGACGATATTGGGGTGATGATAAATTCATATCACTACGACTAGCACGCATCATCAACTTGCTGAGATCACCCGATTGCTGCATTTGTTGGAAGCTCATGCTATGGGTATTCTTTGCTGGCATACGACCCAATAAACCTACACCAAGGTCTGCATGTGTGGGATTCAGCTTAGGCTTAGGCTTGGGTTTGAGAGGTGACTCTGCCTTTTCTCTTTCAATTTGGGTCAATACATCCATAGCTGAAACGCTCTTGCGATTGGGATTACGAGCAGCAGCCGATTGACCTGCCATAGGAGGAGGTGGTGGTGGAGTAGCAACCAAAGTGGGTTGTGACATCATGGCGGCTTGTTGATATTGTTGAATTTGTGCCATTTGTGCCGCTTGTTGTTGTTGCATTTGCCATTGCATTTGTTGTTGTTGTTGTTGGAATTGTTGTTGTTGCATATGGTAATACATCATATCCATCTCACCCATGGTTGATCTACGACGACGTTGATAGGCACCTGCACTGCTATCCTCATCAAATGATTGCGAAGACGAGGGTCTCGATCCAAAAGCATCACCAGAAATATCCTGTCTCCATCGTTCAATGGCACCTGATTTCCCAGTAGGCTCAAGAGTAACATCAACATCGGCATAAGGGTTGTGTGCAACAGCGCCACCAACGCCAACAGCAGCAGCAGTTTCAGCTGCAACAGCTTGTTCTTGCATGAGATTCAAGTCACCATAAGAGCGAGATCTTTTGTGTACGCTTGGACCACGTTCCAATTGACGCAAGGTGGACATACGACGTGCATTCATCATCATATCTTCAGCTGCATTGTCGGATGCAGGTTTTTGTCTGGATGCAGCAGCTGCAAATGCGTCGGGGAATAAGTTTCATGTTATTGCTTTCCACGTGGTCAACAACGTGCTCTACTTACCATCTTGGCTACTGTCATCATCACTGCTACTATCAGCATCTTCATCAACTTGATCACTCTCATCATCACTTGGCTCTGGAATGTGTTGACTCAATCTTTGTTGTTTGTTGTTCAATGGCTGTAAAGAGGCTGATTTTCGAGGCATTGGTGTGGGCACAGGGATGGTGGATTCTTGTGGTGCTGGTGGCTGTGCTGGTGCGAGAATAGGGGAAGATGAAGTTGTAACGGGAGGAAGCATAGGTGCTGCATTGCTCTTTCCACCATCCTCATCGTCATCCTCGGAAGATTCTTGGTCCTCATCGTCATCCTCCTCATCTTCATCATCGCTAGCCATAATGTGTCGTCGTGTTCCTGCTGCTGCACCACCACCACCACCAACAGCGGATGTTTCAGTTACACCTGAAGTATAACCGTTTTAATTAGTAAACCCGCAAATACACCCCACCAAACAAATACATTATCATACCTCGATTCCTTTCTTGAGAAGAAGGTCGCATAAGAATGTCACTTTGACGATTAGACCGTTGTTGCGGATGAGTAGAAGTAGTTGTAGTAGTAGTAGCTATATTGTTGGTAGTAGTGATAGGCTCTTGATGTTGCTGAGAATGATATTGTTGCTGTGTTTGGTTATGATGTTGATATCCATGCTGCTGTTGGTATGCTTGCTGATGTTGTTGTTGTTGTTGTTGCTGCTGATACTGGTATTGATCCAGTAGTTGGCCACTACTTCTACTACGTCGTCTTGCTCCCGTTGGTCGGCCTTGTTGTTCCTGGAGGTGCCGAGATTGGCGATGGTGTTGTTGCTGATGTTGACGACCGCGTGGTTGATTTGGAAACAGCATACTCTGACGCATGGAATCAGAAACGTGAGACTGATGAAAGATGACACTCTTGGTCCAAGGTTCAGCTTCCGTTTCCCCCTCATCAGGGGTCTTGATCGCTTTGGCCAGTGCTAGTCGAGACAAGCTCACGGTGACATTATCGGTATTCAGGTTGGACATGATGTGTGATATAAAGAAAGGAAAGAGAACAATGAGTGGATGGGATATAAATAGAGAATGAATACAACTCGGCTTGTCATGTGCGCGTGAACGCGAAATCAAACATATTTATTCAATGTAGCAAACCGGCGGCCGGCGTTCCAATATGGACATTCATCATGTTGTACAAAAGCAACGTTATTTCAAGACCTGGTATGGTTCCTTTCTTTTTATTCTATCTATTCAATTATAAGAGAGAAGGCGAGGGAGAAGACATTGTGTGTGTGTGTGTGTGTGTGAATGATATGGAAGAATGAATGAAAGAGGGAAATGAGGAGAGAGATGGCAATGACTATTATTATTACTTTTGTGCTGATGCACCACCAGTAGCCTTGGAGATAGTATTGAGGAATACAGTCTTTTGATCCAAATTGTAGCTTGCATTGCCACCAACCAAAACGCTCAAGTTATCAACGTTGATTGTGGAACCCAACTGTACTTGCTTGGTCACATCGAAATATGCTTTGTATTCACCATTCTCCGCTGCTGCCAATAAAGCTGCTTGTTGCTCACCATCCACTTTGGTCTCGTTGGCTTCTACCTGGGTTGTAGCATCCACAACACCACTCATAGCTTCCCAATCGATATCCTTATCAATAAAGGTCGTTACTCGTCGTGTGACATTGTTGACAGGTGCTCGGGGTGCGGAGAATGCTGCCCGTGGTTGACGTTTGTTGTTGTTGTTGTTGTTGTTGTTGTTGTTGTTGTTATCACGTCGAGGGCGTTGATTCTTGTTGTTGTTGTTACTAGCAGCACGTCTTTGCTTTTGTTGTTGTGGACGAGAAGTGGTATTTTCGACAGCATCATCAAATTGACCAGGTGCAGCAGCAGCAGCCTTTTTACGGTTGTTCATATTGTTCTTGTTTTTGTTGTTGTTGTTTGGTCGTCTTCGTTCATTGGATCGTTGTGCATTCTTCAAGAACTGAGAAAAGGCATCACCATTATTACTATCTAACTGCTTGCCACGACCTGCACCACCACGAGCTAAGCGAGAAGAAAGAGGTTCGTCCTTCTTTTGAGGGGCGGGTTGTTGGGTATGGACCGGCTGCTCAACAGCAACGGCAGCAGCGGCTGTAGACTGCTTACGCAAGCACACCAAAGAAGAACGGAAGGCTGGTTGAATAGTTCGCAAGGTAGTGCCGGTCGATCGCAACATTGTGAAGCTGAAGAGATAAGTTTGGAAGAAGGAAGCAAGGTGGGGGGAGGGATACGGAAAAATCAACAGCAACAAGTCACCCTTGCATCACTTGGTTCTCAGCCACCACCACCATCACCACCACCACTACCATGTCCACTAATTCCATATTGATGCATTGCCAAATGTAATCAAACATATCCAATAGATACACACACATACATCTTTATGTATTCCACTCCTAATCAACTAGGCTTGTTCAGCAGGTGCAAGTACAATATTGACTGGATTGGATGCCGAACGCCCACTTTGCAGGACACCGACATGAGGCGTAATATCCCATCGGAGAGACAAGTCAATTGGTTGATGGCTATCATGGACGTACGTACGTACATGAGCATATCATCTTAATACATCGTTGCTTTACTTACCTCCATTTACGGCTCACATCGATAAATGCATACTTGTTTTGGATGTTACGAAGCGTCAAATTGGCATCTTGCTTGCTTTCAATGATATGATCCCACAAAACAATCGAATTGCGATCCTGCATAAATAATAGTCATAAGCTTTTCAATGATCTTGGGATGCTGCATATCACTTTTTCGCTTACATGTGTCTTGGATTCATATTCAGCCACCACAGTAACGAACACTTGCTTGGTATTCCAATTGAAAACAGGAGTGAAATCGACATCCAAATCAAAGTTGACTTTGGCAAAGTGGCTCTTGGGAGTGCCATAGTCGTAGTATTCAGGTCCGTATCGCCGACTCACACTAAAATCCATGTTAGGTTATCAATGACAACACAAAAGCCATATACACGCTATAGAAACCTACACGCGTAATGCATTGGTATCCACCCTGATATCGCTTGGAACGGTGGGATAACCGGTAATGTACGAGATGGCGGCAATGACGGCCAAGATAGAACCGAGGACGGTGCATGCAAAGGAGAATGCCACCTGAACAAGAGATGATAAGCAAGCCTGGGTCAATGTCGCTGTAGAAAGGTTGTCAAATACTGTACATTGGCACGTTGTTGTAAGTTGTGCATTGTGGTAGCGAAATAAGAAATAAAGGAAAGACGTGTCAAAAGCTGAGTTGCCGTACAAATGGACCTCTTTCACATCAACCCCCTTCATTTTATTACTACCACCAATACTGTAAACTATTTAATCCAATCTCTGACGTTTCCTTTGCTCGGCTTCTTGTACTTCACGTTGCATCCGTTGCATCTCTTTAAAGTCGTCATCCTCGTCGTCCTCGTCATCTTCAAGATGTCCGCCTTCAGCATCATTGAAAAAGGGTGAGCTGGGTGGTGGCGTAGTGGGACAAACATCCATAAACGGTATCCGATTGGCATCATGTCCATATTTCTTGACAGGTACAATGGCTGGGTGGTGGTGGTGATTACTGCCGTCCTCGTTTTCATTCACATGCCGTCTTGGTCGTTTATTGCTACGCGTCCACATTTCTGCTTCATCGTCTTCATCGATCGACATGTCCTTATTCTTGCTCATCAGCGAATTAATCGTACGAAGGGCCGCACGTGTCTCCTCCGTCAATTCGATCGTTATATCTTGAGGGGGATGGCCCACATTGTTGTCGGTATAATGGAATTCTAAGTCAATCATTCATTAGTCACCCATGTACTATCATAAAGCTATCATTGGAAACCATACCTGAAGACTCTCCAACGTCATCATCTTCTTCCACTTGCTTTTGTTTGCCTTTAGCCATCCGTCGTCGTTGTGATTGCATATGAGCACGGAGCTCCTCAAAGCTTGTAACGACACCATCCCGAATGCATTCCTGGTTTGCCGCTACTACCTCATGCTTTCCACCTGATGAACTTGAATGAATGTATATGTGTTTGTTGCGTTGGAATCGATCTACAAGCTCCTGCTGGGAGTTTTGATATGTGCGATGAGAATGCCCTGATTGATCAGATGACTATTGATAGAGATGTATATAAATTAATATGGATGATTGATACCATGCACCATTTCTTGTCTTACTTGATCACGATAGACTTGGAATTGTGAAGGAGGAGGGCGGATATAATCTTTTTGCGATAACGTGCTACCAGCAAACTTGTCGACTGGCATCTGATTTTCGATGCGATTGGAGATGATAGCGGATGATGTATTATTAGGGACGACGGCGTTATTACTAGATGATGGTGATGATGGTGATGTTGTTGTTGATGCTGATGATGATGATTCAGGGCCTGTAAAGACTGAAAATTGACGAGCTGGTGTAATGACGCTGGATACAGAATTTGCAATACCAGGTGAAACCCCTAATCGACGAGGTGTTGATGAAAATGAAGATCGTGCATCCAATCTCACGCCCAACATCACTCGATTCGGTGCACGCATTCTCGACCTTGGGTCATCTGTTGATCGCGCCAAGCTCTCCCTCATTGTCCGCCTATTCTCGAAAGCATCTTGATGTCGTCGTAATCGATTCAATGGTTGTGCTTCTCGTTCCATGCCGATCTTGTATACTTTGCTTGCTTCATCCATCTCTCCACAACGCTCAAGATAATCGGCGTACGTTTCATAAAACAATGCAAGATCTTGACCAATCCCCTTATTCATAAGGTCTCTGTAGATTTGCTTGGGCTGATCGGCATATTGTATGTATTGAATCCAACATCGTAAATAGCGTGCATCGTTCTTGTATTGTGTATGCTTCTCGAAACGTCCAGTGGTCTCTTCAAGCAACCCTCGTAGATCCGATTCCTGATTGTGTCCCTGCGGATAGTTGGCCTCCGTCCAGTGAATGTAGCGTATATACACATCAAGAGGATCGTCAAGGTCGTCAATGCGTTCAATTTCCTGCAGGAATGCCTCATGTCCTTGTTTCCTTTGTTGCTCTCTTTCATGCTGGTCGCTGTTGTAGGCTGCATCGAGATCACTAACGCGTCGTCCCTGCCGTCGTGGAAGCACATTCTCCTTATCGCCCTCAACAGCTTCGAAGCTGTTCATGCCCTCATAGTAGTCATCCCTTAGACGTTCATAGGCTGTAGCTGGATCTTCTTCCATTGTCGTTTGACAGCTGTGTGTGAGAGTATAGTAATAAAGCGGAAAAGATGGGTTGCGGACGCGGAGTTGTTTCAAAAGATGCTGCCATGTCGTACCACCTTGGGTTCATTCAAAATGCATGGAGGAGATCCATTGAATCTTGCTGTTTTATCATCAAGAGGTACTCGAATACCAAATAGTTTTTCGAAGATTGCATACATAGTATACATGAAATATCTCTTTGCCCCTCCCTATCTCGTCAATAATATAAAGATGATATGCTTCTTCTGCTGATAAAAGGATCTAGCTTCTTGTTTACTCTCATTAAGATAATGGTTGGATAAATCCTACTCGCAATATCCCTCATATTGTTCAAGTCAAGGTGCTCCTAGATAATGAATAGACCTATACAAGATCTAATGTGCTGAGTACATTTGACGGCAGGCACACTACTACTACTGCTGTTGCTGCTGCTGCTGCTTGAATCCGACATACCAATGTCATCATACACCCACCACTATTATAAGTAGCTACCACCTTGCTATCCATCAAGCATTGTAGGGATACTATTACGCGACTTGGGATATGTATGATTTGTGTACTACACATGTTCATGTTTCATCATGGGACATCATCATCATCAAGCATAGTGGTTTAAAAAAAAAGAACCAGCAAGATGCAACGTCGACCATAGCAACAAACAACCGATTGGATTCAATAACATTTGATGGTGAGTGATTCTAGCCACATGGAGCCACGTTGTGGCTGACACTTAATCCACAACCTGAAGAGGCAAGGGCGGCGGGCAAATACTTTCTCTTCTTGAACCCACAACTTCCTCCGAACTTGACATGGCAGGCGATCCCACAGTGAAAAAGGTACATTGAGTGTTGTGTATATGTAATAGAATAGATCCTTTATTGATTGACGTGATTAGCGAAAGAAACCGGCAAAGTCATATGACAATCAGTTCTTGTCAGGACCCGAGTACAACCCTGATCGTCCAGGCAAGCTTCAAAAGACACAGCAAGCCAAGCCCGTATCCAAGCGACAATTAAAGCCACGCAAGTACACTGTCAGTTTGGCCATACCAGCAAGTATCCTGGATACAGCACCTACCTTGGAGATGAAGACGTTATTGGCTGGCCAGGTAAATGATACAATGAAATTCTTTAGCAGCAACCATCGTACTAATATTATCATTAGATTGGACGTTTGCTAGCTATCCACAAAGTCGACGAGATTATTATTTACAGCGACAAGCCGCAATCCCCTGGAAGCAAGATAAACCCAACTCTATTTCTGGCACGCGTATTTCAATATATGGAGACACCACCGTACGTTCATTGTTTGAAATAGGTCTCATTGATCAAACCTATTCATTGTCCTTTTGATAGATATCTTCGAAAAGCTCTTGTACCTGTCAGCTCAGATCTCAAGTTTGCCGGCTTATTACCACATTTGGAATCTTCTCATCATCCATCTCGAGATGAAGGGCTGTACTATCGTGAAGGTGTGACACTTGACAAGGAAGGTGCATGTACATTGGTGGATGTGGGTCTTTATCGAAGAGCAAGATTGGAAAAGCAAATCCAACCTGGCGTGCGAGTAACGGTCGAATTACCACAACCGATTGCAGCTGCCGATACGCACAAAGGACAAAAGCCAATCAATGCCAAAGCTGTGAGCCCAAAGGTGCCAAGAGAAAAATCAGGTCTTTATTGGGGATACTCTATTCGGCTAGCATCTTCTATATCCCGTGTCATGACCGAATCGCCGTATGAGGTATGTATGCTGGTGAAAATAGAACATGGTTGATGCGAGAGAATGGCAAGGAATGGCAACGGAGTAACATGTTCTTTGTGGATCAAATAGGGTGGTTATGATTTCACAGTGGGCGTAGCACCCGGAGGAAGCGACATGCATGGCAGCAAGGTCAAATCATTCAGGTATGAGAAGAAAGGGAGAACAAAAGTGAGGGGAGAGAACAAGTGAATGCTCATGCATTGTATATATAGCCATATTCTTTTAGTATTTGGAGGTCTGCAGGAGGCTGTAGAAGCAGATGAAGATCTCAAGGTTACGGGAGATGATGCAGCCGAGTTGTTTGACTTGTTTATTGATCCAGGACAGCGTACAGGTGTACGTTCAGTACGCGTTGAGGTAAGAATGCATAAATTGTCACACAAGGCAAGCAATTCCTGATTTGATGTTCCACACAAGGAATCTGTTGCTATGGTGATGTCTGTGTTTGGTCCATCTATTGAAGCCCATGGAAGGTGACCGAGTTAGTGGCAAGGATAACCTAGATTCTTTTGAAATGGATGTCGGGTCAATTTAACCTGATATGGGAGAGTTGTACTTTAGAAGGCATGGATAAGTAGTGTAGCAGGTGAAGAGGGATTATGGGTGTATACCATAAATACATTTTGTATCTTCATGATTGAAAGCTTAATACAAAGAACGATTAATAATAGATATGTACTTCTTTCACTTTTCTTCCACACACAATCCCCCAGGGTCCTTTCTTTCCACTCATTAAATCCTTTTCATCCCTCTCCTTCTTTTTATTCTTAAACTTGGTCTTTCCCCTCCTTTCCTTCAAATGTCAAAGAGGCACACGCAAAGTTTGCTTTCTATTTCAGAAATGCAGTATGCTGTGCATCATGATTTGGACCGTTCACCACCAGAGGTACCACTTAATTCTTGGTCTGTAAAATCGGATGAAGATACACGCTCTTCTCTTTCCATGCAACCACTCAAACAACACAGACACATTTGCATCTATCCGAATTGCGGTTGGAGCTTCAAACGCTATGAACATCTCAAGCGCCATATGCTAGTTCATACTGGTGAACGACCACACGCTTGTCCATTTCCTGGTTGTGGAAAACGCTTTAGTCGCTCTGATAATTTACATGCACACCATCGTACACACTTGAAGAAAAGGCCAAAGCACCAGCTACACCATCAGCAGCAACCATCACCACCCACACCAACAACTACAAAGAAACCAGCTACACCTACACCTACACCTACACCTCCCCATCATACGCTTCCTCCAGTTGACCTTGCTCCTCCTGAACCACAACCACAACATGTTTTATCAGCAAGTGCTAGTGCTCCTCACCCTCATCCTCATCATCACACACATCACCATCATCAACAGCCACCTCTTCCTCAAGCACAAGCATACACGTATACACCCATGGTTCTCGATCAGTCAGATAAGCAACCACTATCATTTATCGGATACCCACCTGCTTCACCGTTATGTGGTTATGGGCAAGATCAAACCACTGATATGACAAGTACATCTTTACAGCAATTCATACCTGATTGGCATCCTGGAGGTGTGACAAGAAGATACTAGGCAATCAACTTCTATTCGTATTCGAGCATTCACCAAAGCCAAAAAGAAAAGCATCAACATACACACACACACATACATACATCTTTCTTTCTTTCGCAATCGAAATCGTTATCTATCATTCCAATAAATTTCATTTTTCATAATCCCTTATAAGGGATCTCGCTTTCTCACTCTCTCAACCCGTTGTTTTCATTGTCTACGTAAGCAAGTGATGTAAAGATGGATTAACACCTTGGTCGTTTATAGTCATCCAATAATGAGATAATGCATGGGACAGTACACAAAGAACTACATTTGATTGCGGGAAAGGGAAGTGTTTAGGGAATGATCATTCATGGCTGTCGATCCTTGAGTTTGACAGCACGACGACATACTACTAAAGGAACAACCCTCGGCTGCATAAGCGTATAGATAAAATGTTACTTTTTATTAACAAGACTACTCAAACAAAGATGGGGCAGGGGGGTTGGAGGGTGGAAAGGGGAGATGGCATGAGTTTGTGTGGTGGTGATGGTGTGTGCTGATTAAAGCGAGTCGTCCAGTGACGTGAATTCATTTGACTTGAAATATCTAATCCCACACTTTTCTTTATTCACTACTCTACTCCACTCCAAAATGGGTAACTTGCCATATAATATGACAAAGCATATGCAGAACACTGATGAACAAATTGGCCAGGTGCATTGTTCAGCAAGATACTAGGTCGATTATGGGGCGAAAAAGAAGTACGGATACTGATCCTTGGTTTGGATGGCGCTGGTAAAACCACCATTCTCTACCGTCTACAGGCAAGCTTTCGATAACGTCCATGCTCTATTATCGATCACGCAAGAGCTCATTTATTCTTCCATCCTTTACTATTAGATTGGAGAAGTAGTAACGACTATCCCCAGTATGTGTGCCTTTCAAGGCGATGAAGCAGCGTCGTCGATCGCGTGTGTATGACCTTTGGACTCAACGCGTATTATCTCTATAGCTATTGGATTCAATGTCGAGACCGTATCCTACAAGAATATCAAGTTCCAAGTATGGGATCTAGGTGGCCAAACGAGTATAAGGTAAAAAAAAAAGGGATACATACATCTCCTTCTTAACATACCAACGATGATGATCATTAGACCCTACTGGCGATGCTACTATGCCAATACCGATGCTGTGATCTATGTGGTGGACAGCGTGGACAAGGATCGTATGCAAACATCCAAGGAGGAATTACATGCCATGTTGGAGGAAGAGGAACTTAAGGATGCCGCTCTCCTTGTTTTCGCCAACAAGCAAGATATGGAAGGTGCTCTGTCAGCAGCTGAAGTTGCCGATGCTTTGGGTCTCTCGACTTTGAAGAACCGACAATACTCTATCTATAAGACAAGCGCTATCAAAGGTGAAGGCCTTACTGATGGATTGGATTGGTAATGATCATGGAATATCATGTATGGGGGTTGCTACATTACTAATGATTACTATGCTAGGCTTGTTAACATCATCCAGGAAAACAAGCAATAGATATTACAATCGCACCTGTTTCCTATTCCTCCCTTCCTCTTTTGTAATTGTAAACACGCGCACTAAGAAACTAGTATATACCAATATGATGGATTTAATGTGGGGGAGAAAACATAATGAGATGGGTACATTATTGGAGAAGACAATGAATGAGAGGTATCATGCCCTTTTTTGTATGCTTTTTTCTTGTTCTAGTCTTCATAACTATTTACACTTGTGGTTTATGCCTCGTTGCTTGTGGATGTTGTTGGAGATGCAGTTGCTGGTGGTGCTGGTTGACTAGGAGCGTTGGTTGCCCAAGAAAGCTTAAGATCTCCATGAGAAGATTTGGCGCCAGCCGTCATTGCCTTATATTCACAACAGCGTCAGTATCAATCACCACCTATACATCCAACCCATTGCTGCATTACCTTTTCCGCCTCAAACCGTTGGGCATATTGCACAATCAAATCACTCCCTTGCGTTTCAAAGGTGGTAATCGTTCCAAATTGCTATAAAAAGAGAACCAACTTTAGCATGATAATCGCATACGTCACATCATCCAGGATTACATACATTAAAATGAGTGCGTAGGTCATCCTTTGCATCCTCTGGAACATCCTTGACAAGGATCTTTTTGGGTCGATTATCCAACGTATATCGTGAACGATTTGGCCATTTTCCTCCTCCTCCGTAATATGCACCAGGACCAGATGTTGTTGGAGCACTTGATCCATGTACAGGAATACCCAATGCTGCAGCCTATATCCATCACATGGAATGAGTATACTCTCCTATCCATTTTCCTCACCACATACCTCTGCTTCCACTTTGGCAAGTTTGGCCTGAAGGTCTTCTGTGGACGTATTTTGATTATCCTCTGATGCCTTGGATCTTGTTGAATCGATATCAGTTGCAATCTTACGCAAGGCACCAAGTAACTCTTTCTTCTCCTCGTGAGTCATATTCTTGTTTGATAGCTTCTCCATCAATCGCTTCTGCTCAGCAATTTGTTTCTGCAACAATTGCTCTCGTTGTCTCTGTACTTCAAGGATAGCCTTCATACGTTCTTGATGCTTCTTTTGCTTCTCTTCTCGTATCTTGGCAAGTTCAGCAGCTCGTGCAGCCACCTCTTCCGGATCAGGGTCATTGGGACGTTTAACTGATGGGTTAAGCTCATGGGAATTGTCGCCTAAAGTAGAAGTGGATGGTGTCGTTGAAGGTGCAGGAGCTCCTGTTGCTGTTGCAGCTGCTGCTGATGCTGAAGAAGATGATGATGATGCTGTAGCAGGAACATCTGGGGCTGATACTGACGTTGGAGCTGACGTAGTAGTAGGTGCAGGAGACATTTGTTTTGGTGGTTTGCTATCTTCATCATTTTCCTTGTGCCAATACACTTTGACGAAACGATTATCAAAAATAGCATCTGGAGAATTGTATGCTGCCTTTGCTTCAGCGTTTGTTGAGAATTGAATGATAGCTTTGTGTGCATGTCCTTGGACGCTGATATTGGTGATGGATCCAAACTTTTTGAAAAACTCGTTCACTTTGGAAATGTCACAATGCTCAGCAGGGATGTTCTCCACTACCAAAGTTGAAGGCTGTTGTCGTTCACCAAAAGGTCTGTAACCACCTCCCATTCCACCTCGTCCTCGTCCTCGTCCACGTCCACCTAATCCACGTCCTCGTCCACGCGGTGTTGCAAACATACGATTGTCGACATTATCCATTGGAGCCATCATGGGTGGCATGTCCATAGGGAATGAACCATTTGGCATTAATGTTGCACTCTCAGGATCATAGGGATCTAACTCTACATGTTAGGATATCAATTCAAGTATAAAAAGAACAAATGCAACTTACCAAATGTATTGGGCATACCAAAGAATGGTGGTGCTGCTGCTGGTGCTGGTTGTTGCTGGCTCATTGGAGGGAAAGGAGTGTTGAATGATCCATCATCCACAACAATTCGGTCATCTCCATGGTCATAAGGGCACATGTCTCCTCGCATGCAGAATCCTTTTTCTGTTGCCAACGTGTCAGACTATGGCATCTCAATGGTTTTTTTTTGTGATGCTTACCATTATAATCGCGACACAATGGTTTTCCAGATCGACCAATTTCACGTCGGGAACTACGACCTCGTTCTCGATTATCATGCCGACTTTGATACATGGATGAGCTGCTGTAATGATGATGATCATCTCGATTATTGCGATATCCTTCTTCACGATAACGATTGTTGTTGTTTCCATATCCATTATTGTTGTCACCATATCGACGACGTGAATAGCGATCATCCGAATGCCGCATATGCCGAGAATCCTCTCGTGAGCTGTAGCGTGGTCGACGATGTTTAAAGTTGCGGTCGCTATCATCCTCCTCATCCGAATAGTCGCTCAATCTTCGACGTGAATGATGTTCCTCGGCTCGTCCTTCTCTCGTCGCAGCACTGTCGTATCCCAATTCTTTGAATAGCCGATTGATGAAGGGCACCGTTTCTATGCACAACCCATATTAGCCTTTCAAGAAGCAAAACAATAGCAATCACACATACGATCGTCAAAAAATTCTCTTAGCTTTTCTTCTAGTATCTGTCGCAGCTTGGCAGGTGAATCACCAGAAGAGATCAAGGCAGAGATATAACGCGCAACCAAATCTGGTTCAGCATCGCAGCTTCGAGAGCAAAAGACAACATGAGCCAATCCATCGCATGCAACAGAGTTCGATCCAAGCTTACATGTTTTTTACTTCGCGACAAAGGTATTCGTGCAGTGCATCGCCTTCCAAGGTTGACATGGTGTGCAGTGGCGTGTGCGAGTGAAGGAAAAGAAGTGGGTAAAGACCGCATGCGAATTGCCCGTCGTTACTCAAGTGGTACCAGTCACGAGGCTACTCCATGATCCTGATTCCATTTTGCCACTGGATCCATCCATCCAAGTCTCATTATGGGATAACGATGCTCATTCGTAACGTACAACGATTATTCAACCTTCATCCATACATTCAAACAATAAAACTTGATTTGATACCATTCTCATCCCTGCCCTGAGAAATCATTTACTATGCGAGCTATCTCATCATCTACCCAACAACAACCCACATCCTTCACTGAAACGTGCACCATTCAATGTTCATGACATACATAAAGTTCGGGGATATAAGAAAAGCTCCAGTGTATCTCGTCTATTGCATAAAGGATGATGATAACGATCTTGGATCTGTGAAAGTCGTTTTATATCTTTGAGGGTAGCATACATAAGACAAATGTAATAAGATAAACCAGTTTGCAATCAAGTCCCAATGTTGGGTAGATAATGTGAACCTACGTTAACTTAAATATCGTTACTCAAGCTCGTCTTTGGTGGTGGACGACGCAGGCTTTAGCCAAGTGAGTGAACTGAAAGCTGATGAAGAATACTCACGTGATAAAAGCACCTCCATCACTATGAGCCAAATCCAAGTATAAATGGCCCTATCAAAATCTAGCTTGTTTGTAACAAATTCGATGCATCAGCTATGCCATCACCCACTTGGATGATAATACATCCGCCTAATGATAATATCTAATAGCCCTGGGTTTCTCCTAAACAGGTTTGTTCAGCTGTGTTTGCTTTCTTTTACGAATAACTAATTATTAAGGGGAGTAAGAAGTCGTCAACCCATATCCAGTTGTGCCATTGTATTGTCTACCTAGGATTACGCCGACTGCATTCGTTCTACCCAGCTATTTGACAGCGTGAAGAAGGATTAATGCGAGCAATGTATCATGATCTCTTACTACTACTATAACCCAGTGAGCGGAAATCATGATAGATTAAGTGCAGGAGGAAGGCACATCGGAGAAATATTACGACAGGTGATAAATAAGACCCCATCCTATCTTCTCACAAGCGATCAACAACATATCATCAATCCTTTGTTGATGTTTATTTGCTCGCAACGGTTTCAAAATAACCACATCATAAGATTAACATCAAGGGGGAAAGAACAAACAATCACGACATGGTGGGCTTGGCCTACTACCTATCCCTAGAACAGGTATGCGTTGAAAGATCATTTCTGATTCTGATATCTAATATCCATTATCATGTTTCATCGGCAACGATAAATGGTGTCGAACGCTGTGAGTGATCAAACTGCCCAGGGAATGGGGAATGAATCATTGCATATGAGCAGTTGCACGCATGGCCGCTTTTGAAATTCCACACCCCATCCAGATTCGATCACGATGGGTGCCAGGGCGCTCAATGAAACATGCCTGTTTTATATATGAGCATTAATGGCACCATTCTTTTTGCTTCTAGAAAGCGAATAAGAAGCGTGCATTGTAACAAGATTTTCAAAGATCACCCATCGTGTTGCATCATTCAGAAGCAGAAAAGCGATGCATTTATTATCCAACGAGAGAGATCCAGTGGTAACCATAGAAATAGTTCTTTGTTTTATTTTAATGTTGTAGTAGCTTCGACCAAACTCATCAAATTGTCCTCGTCAAAGAATGCCTCGATGGCATATCTCATGTTGATGATGCTTCTCAATCGATCATAGCTCTTTTGATTACATTTTCTTTCACTTTTTTATCTTTTCGCTCCTTTTCTTCCTTGCTCATTGTTTTCCTGTGCGACCCCCTTAACGTGATCTATAAGACTTTCTGTATCGTGTTTCCCCTTTAAGGCTCAATAATGATGCAACAAACTTCTATCCTGGATACCAGCTGCGATTTCTTTTGCGACAGCAACAATAATGAAGACGTGTCATTTATGCACCAGGAAGAAGAGAAGGGATACCAGGATCACCCAAAACCATCGATCCAGACAATGTTCAAATATGCACCTCCACCGGATTTGACCACCCCAGAAGACAATGAATTGACGAATTTTGATTGCATGAATAATGCATTATCGCCACACATGTCGTCGTATCTGCAATACCTCAAAGATCCTGCATCAATGCCTACCTTGGATACACTTGAATGGCCATCCATCCCCCAAACTCAAGAATGGGTAGACATGGGCATCATGGACAATGGTGCTCATGATTTGCCATTCTACAACGATAGCAACCCACTCATTCAAGACAACCTACAAGTACCATCCGACATCTGGTTACATGCGCCATTCGATAATTGCATCGTACCTCCTCCACAGCAGGATCATAGGGTATCCATTTCTTCGCCCCTCGACCCATGCTTGTATGATACCATAACCCACAATACCAGTAATGGGATGACGCATGAATACGTTAGCCTCAGTGTAAGTCGATTTCTAAGGGCCTTGAAAAAAAAGGATGTGTGCTAATAATGATACAGGATATCAATTCATTTGTTGTTGAAACGGATTCACAAAAGAATACTACAACGTCAATGCATCCTTCATATTCGACACCCGAAAACCTTCAGCTTCTTGGTAATATGGATGAACAATGTCAAGAGGATGATGAATCAGCCGCAATTTACCCCTGGCTTGGATTGGCCAGCTATGCATCGGTTCCTGTGTCATTGAATCAACTGGATTCTGATACCGAGTCCTCATCCACAAGCTCGGATCCAATCTTTAAGGCTGCTGCTGGCTTGGCTTCCAGCTATAATCCCATCCCAAAACAATCATCATCATCATCATCCACTGTAGCCAATAAGAGGAAAAAGAAGGCATACAAATCGAGACAACAGCATCGCGTCATGAAAAGGTCACCTGATAGCATTAGCACACTCTTGGCTCGGCAATGTATCACGCCCTCTGAGGATCTCGATAACGATGATGGAGACTACTACGAAGACGACGACGCTAGTGATCAAAGCTTTCAATTATCCCATACGAGTTCGCAAGCAAGGTCGTTGGTGAGCCGTAAAGGACGTAATGTGGATAAAGCGTGTAACCATTGCAAACGATCACATCTTCGGTGTGACAACATGCGACCTTGCCGTCGTTGTGTAGCCACTGGCAAAGTGGGATGCAAAGATGTGGAACACAAACCCCGTGGAAGACCAAGATTAAACAAGAACCTCGCCGTCAAATCGAGAAAGGCAGCCTAAATAATACTTTTACACTAACGCACTATACCCATCTTCTTGTCAATTAATCTTTTATAATCAATGCTACTACCACCACCCACTTGAACCCAAATTTGCATGATCCAGTCATAAAAACTTTAAAACATCACCAACCCATGCAATGACAAAGTCTTTTGTGTAATGCTCTTGTGTATGTTTATTGGGTCTAGGGAGAAGAAGCATAGTCGCTTGTATCATAATACTCGGGATACTTTTTCATGAGATCTTCAAGTTCCTGCTTTTGATCACGAAGATTAGATGGCAGCTCATCGTATACATCGGTAAACAATGCATCCACCGCTGGCTTTTTGCGTTTCTCGGCTGCAGAGAAGCTCTTCATTAAGGAAGAGCGTACTTCCTTACGCCATTGGTCTTCCTCTTCTTGAGTCCACCATTGCTTGTTTTCCAGGTATCGTCGTAATCGTGTCACTGGGTTATCAAATTTGGCACGTTCTTCAACTTCTTTACGATCACGATACTTTGTCGAATCATCGGATGTGCTATGGTGGCCAATACGATAAGTCATGGCTTCAATAAGCACGGGGCGGTTTTCTTCAACAGCGATTTGACGTGCTGCCTTGGTAGCATTGTAGACGGCCCAAATGTCATTGCCATCCACACGAATCGTATCAATGCCATAGCCCACGCCTCGGCTTGCAATACCATCGCCCTTATACTGCTCAGATGCAGGTGTGGAAATAGCGTATCCATTGTTGCGACTAAAATGATCCACATGATGAGCCAAAGGTGTAATGTATAAAAGCACTCTTGCTTACCATAAAAAGATGACAGGGCAATTCAAGGTGGCAGCCATGTTAAGACCAGCATGGAAATCGCCTTCAGATGCAGCACCTTCACCGAAAAAGCATGCTACGCATGCACGGCTAGCTGATCGCTTAAGAGCATAAGCAGCACCTGTTGCTTGTGGGATTTGCGTAGCCAAAGGAGATGAAATGGTTTGGAAATTGAGCTTTTTGGACCCATAGTGGATAGGCATTTGACGACCCTTGCCATAATCAAGATCGTTGCTGAAGCACTGGTTCATCATTTCATCCATTGTAAATCCTCGATAGAGTAGCATAAATGCTTCACGATACTATACGTGTCGTGTTATTGGAAGGAATCCCACATGTGCCTATTCCCAATTTATACACACATACCTGACCATAAACAACATCGCAATCTTCCAATGCAGCAGCCGTTCCAATCATTGCTTCCTCACCATAGTGGGTCATGTAAAAGCTGATACGTCCTTGTCTTTGTGCTTCATACAAGATACCATCAATGACATGTAGCTGCACCATCTTTTTGTAGCAGTTGACAACTTGTTCCTTGCTCAGCCTTGGCTCATGGGCGCTATCAAGTACAGTGCCTGTGTGGTCCATGACGCGATACGCTTTCAAAGGTACCATTTGCTCGATAAATTTGAGCTCTGTTGTGAATCGATCCGTGTTTGTCCAATCAGTCCTGCTGTTTTTCTCTAAGACATTGACAGCCGGGTTGAACACCTGACAATGGAAGCAGAAAAAAGGTACACAAACGTCAGCTGTCAATCGTATGTTATCCTGATACCCTCTATGAAGGATACTTACTGCTCGTGATGTATGAATCCATTGGCGGTGCAGACCAGCTGCGTATCGTGGACGAATAATTGACTTTCTCAAAGTGGAGGAAAACATGGATTATGAGTGGGAAAGAAAGAGAGAGAAAGGAAAAAGCTACGTCAATGGGAAGGATGAGCAAATAAAACTGGGATGTAACCCCACCACCATAGACCGTGTGAAAAAAAGACTATGCGCCCATTGAAATACCGCATTGGATTGCCAAATGCATGTTGGACACTCCTTTCCATCTTTTCCACCCCTATCTTTGTCAAGGAAACGGCCCACACGTTCTCATACACTTGCCAACATATCATTACAGCCGCTGGTGGCAAAAAAAAAGAAATTTGAAATAGCCAAAATGTCGTAGGTCATGTGACCACGTGACCTAGCTTTTGCTCGTTCCTTCTAGAACCCTTTTCCTTTTGATGCTGGCAATTGCTAGAAGCCCTTTACTAGCATCTTCCACATCATTCATAGAATCCATACATTGAACATATATATATCGTGAACATCCTTAGCAATAAAAGATCATCACTTATCATAGCAACACCAAAAGTTATATCATTGGCCACTGATCTAATCAGCCATACGATAACGACAAAAACAAAAGGTGTCGTGATCAAGAATGGCTGCAAAGCAAAGGCCAAGACAACAAATGATAGAAGATGACTTTTTACAAGAGATAAAGATGATGATTTATTTTAGAATACAACATGTTCTTATATATGTGTGTGGATGTAGATTCTAGAAACGAAGGGAAAGGGAAAGTGTTGGAAGGCTGTGACCGTGTGTGATGTGTAAAGGAATGTTGAGGAAACATGGATGGAAATCATGTGATCTGCCAAAAGGTAAAGAGGTGTGTCCGAAAATGTGTCAAAAGGAATGTCATGGAATCATGGATCAAGATCATGTGATCTCGTCAAAAGGATAAAGAAGTACATCCGACAAAGGTATACAAAAAAGAATGTTTTCATTCAAGGTATGTCGACAACAGCAGGATTTGAACCTGCGCGGGCAGAGCCCATGAGATTTCTAGTCTCACGCCTTAACCACTCGGCCATGTTGTCTTCCTGTTTTTTACTACGTTTGAGTTTCCAGGTAGACGTGTCACCTTCCTAATTAGGAAGTTAGTCGTACGTATCCAATTTTTGCATCATCATGTAGCGGAAGTGATATAGTATACGATGTTGTAATTAATATGAGCATATGGGAGCTCAATGTGTGGCAATTTGGAGGAGAAGGATGAGATGTCAAATCAATTGGACAGGAGTACAGGATGGTAAGGTACTATAATCCCCGACATGGTCTTTTAATTTTGCCAACGTTCAGGTTGCTTGGATACCAGCTAACTTTCTATCCATTGCTTCGCCAGCACAACGTAAAGGTATCACGTGAGAGCAATGAAGAATCACAATACGTATAAATCCATAGATACAACAACTCAATGATGATGTTCAATCATCTCAGGAAGAGCAACCATAAGACATAAGAGGGTCAAATATCATTTTCACGCATTTGAGTAAGGGACATTGAAACGACAAGATACAAGGTATTCATTCATTGGATGTCATCAGAGAGAAACAAGGTCATTCATGGGTTGTAAATCACAATATCCAATTTATAAACCTCCAACAAAAAAAACACCACCCCCTTTGCATAAAGGATATCCTCCACCCTAATCCAAGTATCCAATATACCATCACCAACATTGCCGAGATAAGAACGAACGTAATCGAGTTTACGATGTATGTGTGTGTTGAATGCAGCTGTCTTATTTACAATAATAGGTTGAAAGAGATACGATCCATTGACGGGTGAGATTGAAGGGAGGGTGAAAGATGTAATCCATTAGAATCCCTTTTGAATAAGCCATTCCTTGATCTCGTTCATGTGGATGCCCTTGAGAATGATATGGTTGTTGACAGGGTTGACACGTGCAAAGTTGCTGGGTGCGTCTGGAAACAGAGCGACGATCTCGTTCTTGAGTGCTTCAGCATCGCCTTCAATGCGACGAATGATAGTCAAGTGTTGGGTGCCGCCGTTTTTGAAATCAGTGTACACGGGAATGCCATTGTTGGAGGTGCGTGAGACAAAGTAGGAAGGGGCATTGTTAGCCGTTGTGTATGATCGTCGGGCGAGCAAGGTCAATGAACGCAGCATGTCTAATTGGGCGAGAGCGACAACGAGTCAATTGTACTTGTCAAGCCATGATTTGCGTTTGCTGTTTGTGTTGAGGTCGCATGTGCACTTACTTTACAAGAAAGGCGGGGGGAAGAAGAGGAAGAGAGAGATTGTTTACGCTGGCTGGTCAAATCATAAGCCTCGACACCGCCGCCTGAAAAATCGAGCTGTTGTCAGGTACCGCCTCGCATGACAACCATCTTGAATAAATCAATATTACAACTTTTTTCTTTCGAAACACAACATATACAAAGGGGAATAATATGAACACACAAATAGGGAGAGAGAGAGAGGGGAGGGTTATTATATACAATCGACCTTTTGGGCATAGGTATAATGGAGATTCATAAACGCTCGCTGTGAATCCATATCAGCATCCAATTGCTCAAGTACTGAATCCGGGGTATGTAGAGGATTGACATCTTCAGCCGCCAATGAATACTCGTCTTGTTGTTGGTGTTGCTGTTGTTGTTGCTTTTCTGCCACGATAGATCGAAAACGTTCAAACAAGCTACGAACATCATCTCTAAACATGACACCTAAACGACCGCCCCAGACACCAAGTGGTAAAGACTTATAGTTGCCATGATACAACAGACGACATGAATCACAAGGTTGTGATAGATCACCTACAACGCTATTGAGTTGCCTGGCGAGGCGTGGATCTAATGACTTGTTCTCCATGGCATGGATAACTAAAGACCGTATCAACAAAAAGTGACCCTTTTGATGGATAAATAACATACCTTGTGAATTAAACAGCTGCATAACTTTTCCCGTGCAGGGGCGAGTATAATAAACACGCATATCCATTTCAAGCAACTCCACATAGCCTCCTGGTTTGCATATACGCCAACATTCTTGTACCAATTCCTGATACTGCTCCGAAGATAACGATAGTATCAAGAAGCGACAATGTACCAAATCATATGATCCATTAGGGAAACGTCGTAGCATGTCAAGCAAGGATACTTCGGGATCTCGGAGGAACCTCACATTCGGCCTTAGTGGTGATCGATGACGCTTATGTGTGATTGACAAACGATCGTCAATACCCATTACCACCCATTTTGGATATTCAAGTGCCACCCTTGACGCCCATGTACCATCCCCACAGCTGTAAAGATGGAATTTTGATGAGATACAAATGCCATTTTATGATGTTGTTGACTTACCCAACGTGAAGCACATGCTTCTCAGAAGCACCAGCGGAAGAAGAAATGTTGAACGGACTACAAAAGAGCCTAAACAATGGAGAAGGGGGTCATCAGTGTATTTAGTTGACACAAGGAAACACAAATGAGAAAGGAAAAAAAGACACAAAGTTGCCTATCTCTGCACTCCGTCACTCTTTTTTCCCCTCCGCCACATTCACACACCCACACCCAGCATGTCCATCACATCATGCATTGATACAAGTACTCACCCATTGTCCAACGCTAATTGCACAAGCTCCGGCTTGATGACCCATCGATCTGGTAGAAAATGGGTTCGATTCTCACGCGTATCGTCATTTATCCTTGAATACAAATCATCCATTGTTGCAGCATCTCCATTGGTAGTGGTGGTGTCATTTGACGTATTATCATTATGTCTGCTGGCAGTTCTTGAGAGCATGGGAGAAGCAGGTTGAGAACAAAAAATGGATGCTGGTCGTGATGCAAAAGTGATCCGATCACCTGACATGAGGGAGGTAATTGAATGGCGTTTGTTGTGTGGGTGAAGTAGCTCTTGGCAACTAGAAGAATCGGCTCGTATCATCATTGTCTCGTCATAAGATAGTCGTTGTGAACAAGATGATGGAATGCTATGCGTAGTTAACTCATTTTGCTGTTGTTGCTGTTGTTGCAGTGTGGGATCAAAGATCAAGTGATGTTGATGATGATGATGATGGTGTCGTCGGTGGTGATTATGGTGATTGTTACGACTCGGCCAATGAAACCGTGGGTAATGCGGATGATGTTTCCGTGCTTTGAGCCATAACTCTTTAAGCATCGATCGCTCACTACTACTACGTCGTCGTGCACTGGATAAAGTTGAGTATTGATCATCACTATCGGAAAAGAAGGTCCGTGTTGTGCTGACGGTTTGTTGTGATCCACGTCGCTCTGGAGGTGGTGTTGGTGGAGGTGTATCTTCATCAACGGATGTTGCTTGTTGCCTTGGTGGCAAGTCGGATGGTGGTGGTGATGCAGGTATTATTTCTGTTGCTGCTGCATTTTCGTTTGAAGATGATGATGAACGTCCTGATTGTGCGAGTTGTGAGAACCAGTTAAGGATCCAAGATGTTTTGTTGTTGTTGTTATTATTGTCGCGGGGACCAACAAGCATTATTGTTGGAAAGCGAAAAAGTAGGAAAAGAAAGACCTGTAAAAAAGAAAATGCAATCGTATTTATTTATCTACAAGCGGCGCCAACGAGAAAAGGGGGCGGGGGAAGGAATGGCATTACTCACGCACACCACCAGCATCATGATGAATGTTCACACACAAGGTGGCATTCGACCACCTTCGTTTCACTACAGTTGCATATCGCCGTGTCACCATGTGCTTTCAGCATTTTTAATGCCGTTTCCAGCGGATCGTCGGCCAAGTCAATTGCTGATGCACCTTTTGTTGCACCAGATGGCAACAACGCCCCCGTCTTTCATGCTTGTCGCATATATACAGCTGCAAAGAAATCAATATCAATGCATTAGTTGGGTAATTCATTCAGCTCTCATAAACCTTGTGATTCGCCACATATACACACAACACACACATTTTATATATGGATAATGGTTTGCTTGTTGTTGCTCTTTGTTTTGGGTGGGATGTAGCTGCTGCTTTTTTTTTTGGGGGGGGTTGGTGGTTCTCTGTACAAAAAAGAAATCTACATTGGAAGGAAGGAAGGATGATGGGGGAACTGTATAGGCGGGTACGTGTTGTTGTTTTGAGGAGGTGGTAATGCACACATAGCATGAAATGCATATAATAGGTAGGATGGGTTGGCTGTGTTGTGTTGTGTTGCAAGCATGGGTATAGAAATTTACTTTGTGCTTTGCTCGTTGGTAGGAGAGCGTGCTTCAGCCATGACAACAAATCGTTCCAAGACCTTGCTGAAACCCTCACGACCGGTTGCTGCATTCTGTTGAAAACGTCTCAGGGTAAATTCTTCAAGCAAACTGCCCCAGCGAGACACCAGACTTCCAGCTGAAATGGCTGCTTGTTGTGAGCATTGTGTCCTACCATGACAAAAATCCCATGTTTAAATAAACAATGAAATCACGCACCCGTCAAATGGGATAATAATGATGACTCACTTGTTGTTGTCGGTTGGATGTTCTCGGTAGCGCATTGTCTCCTCCACACGTAATAGATTGCCCATGGTCAAGTTGTAGCTTTTCATAGTCAACGTCTTGGTTTTAGGATCAATAGCCGACGTTTCACGCACGTAGTGAGTTGTACCTGAACCAAGGATCTGAAACAGATAAAATGGAACATTCATCAGTCAAAAGACATTACACGCAACTAGCAACATCAGCACATACGAGTTTCATACCTTGAGGATGATTGTAGGCACGTTTTGTTTGACCGTAAAGAGTCGTTCAGTGTAAAGGATACCAGTGGCTGGATCCACAAAACGGTGTAGGACATCGACGTGCTTCACATGAGGGCAGTTCTCATTCGGGTACTTTTGCCAATTGGCTGCCGACACCAAGCTCCATTTGTAGTGGAAGTCATGCACTCCTTCGTAGATCTTCATGGTTCACCGATCAATACAGCAAGCAGAAAAAAAAGTGGTGGACTTTTAAGGAGACGGAAGGGATAAAAGACCAAAGTGGGATTAGTTAATTTTCAAAGAGGAAGAGAGAAGGAGGAAAGAGAAAGAACAATCTACACACACAAGATGCACACAAGCCATGTCCGAATCCCTCCGAAAGGACCCAACAACTTCATTCTGAGCTTATGGAATACGCTCCATCCATTTATCCTTCTTTCGATGTTGCACTCGTCGTCTTGGCAACTTGTTTGCCAGGGTCCATGATGTCATCTCTCAGCCGCCCGACGTTTCGGTATTGTTTCGGATAAGCAACTGACATCTTTTCTAAAGCACAATGTCATCAATGGCACAATCAACTTTGCCACTCTTTATTATTGGAACAAGAAAAAGGATAGCTAAGAGTAGCAAATGTATGTGCAACAGTGCTTGTTTTTATATTTCGTGCAACCCCGTCCCTATCATTCGTTACTCACAAATAGTCGAAGATGGTAGATTTTATCATGTGAATCCTCGGTACACGCTTTCCCGATGATTGTTTGCTCTTGAATAACACGCTTTATATGCCATCATCCTTGAACGTGAAGAAGGTACATCATGAATTGGACCAGAATGATCAATAAAAAGCCTCCATTATGCACATTACTACTATTGTCAAAGGTATAAAGATAGCCATAAATAACGTGGGCACGCCTTCTCTTTTGTTCCAATATCCAGCTACCCATCCACTTCATTCTTTGGTTGAACACAGGGATGCAGCAATCAATGGCAACTCGCTCTTGCTGATCATAGCTCGGTATCCTCCATAGAAACAAACGTATCCTTTTATTAATCATAAAAGTACAAATGATTTGATATCTCTCGTATATACATCCATAATGCTAAGGCGATTACATAATCCACGTCCTTCAAAGATTGCTGTGTACTATGCGCATGCAGATATGCGTGAATTAGAGCAGCTGCTTGAATCACACCTTTTTCTCCGCTTTTCCAGCCACGACACACACACACACCCTCCACCTTTTACTGCATACCTACTTTCTCGGTTACCCATGCTCACCATCGACGACGATGTCTGCAGGAACGTTTGGAACGGCAAGATCGCGATTCAAATTACACTCGACCCAGTAGAAGCAGCCGGCAAAGAAACCGAACCCATCTATGTAATGCTTGACACACCCCCGCCTACCCCTTTTATGAGGTCACCGACTGCCAATGCTCATTAGACCTTGTAGATTGAGGCGTTGCGGTTCTCATACCTGCCGCTGATAACGCAAGAGATATACCCCATATTCACTGGGTTTGGTCTGGTAGCCAACGACAGCGAGGGTGACGAGAAGGAAAGCAAGCCCGTATGGTATGATTTTCAAGGCCAACCTCTTAAATGGTAAGGTATTAGATGTAAGCAATGTCGATGGATGTTGATAGTGCTCTTAGGCATTATCCAATTGGGTTGTTATACGATATGCATGATCCACGACCCCAGTTGCCATGGCAGATCACTGTTCATTTTGAAAACTTTCCAGCGGGGACACTCTTACGAAATCCTTCAGTGGATACGGCGCAGGACATGTTTATGGCTATGCTTAAGCAGGTAATAATGGACAAAGAAAATGGGGAAGAATGGGACATCATTGACGGCTCGTGTAATAGGCTGATTTTTTGAAGCATGGTACAACGAAGCGTGTCATGAACTTATCCAAGAATGACCAAACGCAGCTATGGCAATCACTATTGTCAGGTATTCTCATATTCGATCTTTTATTGGCAAGGATGGTGTATTGATGGGATTAAGTAGATCGATACGAGGACTTTTGGAAAGTGAATAATCACCTTGTTGGTGTTGTGGAGAACGAATTGCGATACATTCCCTTACGGATTTACTTGCCGGATGGTTGTCCTGTTATCCAAGAGCCAGTATCTTACATAGAAGAAGGTATGTGTATATGTGTACATCCATGTATGGAATGAGGAAAAGCTGACAACAATGAACCAGGATATGAGCGATCGCTTGGTCAAGTGTTAGGGGAGATCTTACCTGACATATTTCCTCCATCCGAGAACGAGCATACGGGATACCCCATTATACACGGCGTCACCTTGCCATTAGATACACCGATTGCATGGGCATCACTCAACTTGTCATATGCAGATCATTTCTTACATCTCATTGTGAATAAAAAGACATGATCCCACATACTACATCTTGTCGCATGGTGGTTACTATAAAGAATTGACAGCGCAGCCAAAAATTTCTTCTTTCTTTCAGACAAGATGCTCTACATTATCGGCTTGGGTCTCTCTGACGAGACTGATATCACTGTCAAGGGTTTGAAGGCTGTTCAAGGAAGCGAACGGGTTTATTTGGAAGCATACACCTCTATTTTGACTGTTGGCAAGGAGAAGCTTGTAAGTAAAAGACGACATGGTGCTCGCGATTAGATCCTTTTATCAACACATGAGCCACCCACAGGAAGAGTTCTATGGCAAATCAGTCATTGTCGCCGATCGTGAGATGGTGGAATCCGAGAGCGATGCTATCCTGGAAAACGCGGATAAGGTGGACGTTAGTTTCCTAGTGGTGGGTGACCCATATGGGTAAGTGCAGTATGATGACTTCATACGTGGTGGATGATGACACTTATATGTAACGGTATATATACTAGCGCCACGACACACACTGATCTAGTGATCCGAGCTCGTGAACTAGGTATTCCGGTGCAGGTGATTCACAATGCGTCTATCATGAATGCAGCTGGTGCTTGCGGATTGCAGTTGTACAACTTTGGTCAAACCATTTCCATCGTCTTCTTTACCGATACTTGGAGACCCGATAGCTTTTATGATCGCGTTGCTGAAAACAAAAAGTATGGTTTGCATACATTGTGCTTGCTAGGTGAGTAATCATCATCATCATCATGTGGATATCAAGATCACAGTTTCAGATTTACGTTATGTTTAGATATCAAGGTCAAGGAACAAAGCATTGAAAATTTGGCAAGGTAAGGGATATGGAACAAAATGGATTACGTTGACCTGACGTAAATGGATATACAGAGGACGCAAGATCTATGAACCTCCACGATACATGACTGTGAACCAAGCTGTTGAGCAATTACTTGAGATTGAGGAGAATCGAGGCGAAGGTCATTGTACACCTGATACGCTTGCTATTGGATGCGCACGGATAGGCACTCCTAGTCAAAAGATCGTCGCTGGCTCGCTGGCCGAGTTGGTCAACGTTGATTTTGGTGGTCCTTTACATTCTTTGGTGCTCATCGGTTCCAGGATGCATCACATGGAAGCTGACTTTGTCCGTGAATATGCTGTCGACAAGACTACATTTGATGATCTCGTGAAGAAAAGCATTGGTCCAAAATAAAAAGGGGGTTTTTTCCTGCCCAATTGTTTCCCACATCCTTTTTTCTTTCTTTTCCCCAATGTCTTCTTCAAACACTGAAACCAAGATCAACGAGAATATTGACAAGGCATCCAACCGTGCACATGAAGAAGTTACTCGTTTGCGAGCTGAACTCGATGATTTGAAACGTCGTGCAGGTCCAAAAATGCATGAAGCTGAAACCTTCCTTACATCACCCACTGCTTTGGGTTTCTATCAAGGTGATTATCATGGTCTTCTTATGGTAGTGGATTGGGATTAACAAATGGATGATATCTAGGATTGGCTGTTGGTGTGGTGATGGTCCTTGGTTATGCAAAATGGAACGGAGGCATTCAGCTATGAATATCCAATTATCATCTTATTGAGTAACTTTATTCATAAAGACGTCATCGATTATACAATGTATATATACGTGTGTGTGTGTGTGTGTGTGTGCCGTGGATCAACTAGGGGAGAGAAAAGAGAGAAGGTGGGGGGTGGTTGGAGTGGCAACATCCGCACTTGTAGATAGGTAGAGGTGTCCACAACTGGTCGATCCGAGGTAGTACAAACCACCCCGTTTTTCCAACTTTTTCACGCTTTCTCTTGACAAGTTGAACAAGTAGTTACCCACCCTCGTCATTTCGTCTTCTAATGTTGAGGCGCTTCGGTTTTAGCCGAGCAACAAGTCTAGAGGCCATACTTGCGAAACCAAATGCGAGACTGGAGGAGTTGCTTGACAATGAGGATCTATTACAAGAAGTGCATCTACAAAATACAAAGCTCATCACCTTGTATGTTTTACTTCTCTATCACTCACCTATGCTTGTGCTGATGGTCTATCTTGCGTATTAGCCTACGACAACCGGCCATATTGTCTCAACTCGTCAATTACATTGTAAGCGAGCGGATAACATCATCATCTTCATCATCGTCATCATCATCGTCACCTGGACAACAACAAGCACCAGCATCAGTACAGAAGAAGCTTAATGTCAATGGTGATATCAATTCAACTTACATGGCACTCTCATGCGAGATTCTCGGTGCAGGCGTACCAGCACTTATGGATGGATTGGTGTATGCACATCCCGAATTGTTGACAATGCTTTGGGCGTTACTGGATCAGCAGCATCAACTTGCACCACGGCAACTCGCTGGCTTTTGCAAAGTCAATGCCGTTCTCCTACAACGACGTACGAGCGATCTGGTTCATTTCATCCAAACACACAATGACATCGTTGCAAAATGGTTACATCACATTTTCATTCATGGCGGTGGTGGTATGCCGTACTTATCGGATTTGCTTGCTGCGCTTATACAATGCGAAGGATCTCCAGAGGGCGCTGGTATCGCTCAGGTACATACTCTCACAAGGTTTCATGCAGCTTGCAAGGGCTTAAAAACATTTGGTATATAGTGGTTGGCGGATCATGGCTTATTGACCTTGCTTGTGGATCGTTTGCAGCCTCAATTGGATCCTGTGGTAAGCATTGGATGGATGTAAAAGGGAAGATCACGTGGAATAACCATCATGTTCGATCGAGATTAGAACCATGAAATTGCTCAACAGCTTTTATGCGACATCATCTACCTGTCACCATCTCCTCAAACACGCAATCCGCTTATTGACGAGCTTACAAGGTAAAAGGGTGGGATGCTTGTATTGCAAAGGTGATTTATGAAAAAGTTTCATAGCTCTGTGACGATGAAGCGCATGGCGAACTATATGCTTGATTCATCCGCTGATAATGCATCAAGCTCTCTGCAATGTTGTACAACCATCATACGAGGTCTAAGGCAGTATAGCGAAAGAGTGTAAGGAATCATCAATGGGGTTGTATGGAGGCCAACAAAAGGTAACATGTATATATGTAGCCTTCCTGATCTATTGCAGAACCCGGAAAAGCTGCTATCACATTCATCGATGTTTCACCCTATGCTCGACACATTTATCAATCACATGGAAGGTCTCATGCTCGTGCTGAAGATAGAGGTAGGAAGGGCGATGGAAAGAAAAACAAAATGGGATCATTTATTAACATGCGCGTAATGTAGCCAAAGGAACCCATGGTTTTCGGTTTGAAGCGATTAGCTGTATGCGAATTACTTGTCGAGTTGTTATACTTTATCAGCATCGTTAATGGTGACAAAGGGCTCGATCTGCTGCAACGATTCGGTGATGCCATGGTTGAGCAGCACGCTATACCCAAATGCTTGGTAGGTACTTTTTCAGGGAGTGGATTACTGGTAACTTTATACTGACCATGTAATCAAGGATCTATTCTTTGCATTTCCTTACAACAACGTGCTGCACAATTCCGTGTATGGCATGCTACGAGAGATCCTGACGTGTGAGTCACGTGTACCAAGAGAGGGTCCTGGTCCAGATCTGGTGAAAGAGGTAGGATAGGATTGAAACAGGGTGCTTGCTTTTGGTCCGATATCTAATTTGTTCCCAGGTATTGGAGACCGGTCGACTTGTGGAAAGGATATTGAAGGCACAGGAGAAAAATGATGAGAGCGTGTAAGTCTAAAAGGGTCTTAAAGTAGGCATAACATTAATGGTGATTTTCAATAGAAAGAAGCGAGGTCGATTGGGGTATATGGGACATTTGGCATTGATGTCGAATGATGTACAATACGTGTTACAAGAACGAGATCCCAAGCTCCCTGAACAACTTTTTGTGGATACGCCTGGTCTTGCCGACCGCTGGTCACAGCACATGGATCAGCTACACGAACAATCCATCAACCAAATGACATACCAAGGAGAAACTGTGTTTTGGAGTGGAAGATACCAATTTACAACTACCCTGGTACGTGCTTTTTCTTTCAGTTGTTGATTGTGGAATAAACGTTTTCTTATTCGCTGCTTTACAGGACGATACTACTACGACCAGGATTTATGATACAACAGATACTTAATTGAGTCATTCATCATATTCCTACATGTCATTTCATCTAATAGAGCACACCATTTGATTCAAAGTCATTGCAAATTTGAGGAATGATAGCAGCGGATAGGGCATATGGGGTGGTTACCATGGCAACACTTTTAACAGTAACATCTTCGTAACCAACAAGCACTGTAACCATGGTACTATGGATTGTCTTTCGTTATGATTGGGTTTGGGTTTATGCCTGCTTTGTGTGTATAATAAACGGTGTCAAATTCTAATCTTAACTTCGCCTGGCACGGCAGCATACTCAAATGCAAGTAATGCATGGCTCCCGATTGGCTCATTGTTATTATCACGATAGTTGTAACCGGTATGCTAGGCTTCAGTTCTTGGATTCGTATTATCGACTTGACAGCAGGGAATGGAATGCGACGATTTACTAGCATTCTTTCCTCAAAACGTATAAAACAAAGTCAACCAGCGTTATCGAAACGATGGACGTATAATCGCACACACACGTTATTATACAACATGAAGGTTACCTACCTTGCAGGATTTGCTCTCTTGCCAATCACAGCGTTTGCAGCTGCACCTGTCAACAATTTCCAACGCCAACAACAGCAGCAGGTATGTACCAATGACCCATTAGTATACGGAGATGATGCATGTTAACAACCAGGATGATGTAGCAGCAGGCAGTTGCCAACCCTAGAAATGTAGCTTCAGGTCAGCTGGCTGATGTCTTTGATAGCCAATTGCTACTTGTGGCACAAGAGATGCTTCAAAATATGGATGCTGCTGTTGCCAAGCAAGCTCGTGCTGCTGGTGTACTGGCGCCTCCTTCGATTGCCAATGCCATTAAAATCGACATACCTAATCCTACCAACAGCACAAAGGATGAGGTGGTTGATAGGGTTATCAATGGTGCCAAGAGCGTGATTAATGGATTTATTCATGGTGCTCAAGACGTTGCTGATGGGATTGTCAATGGTATCCACGAAGTCTTTGGTCCCCATGACGACGTTGATGGTACTAAGCAGCCTGTTCAACCAAGTGAACCTCCTACGGAACCTGTACCACCTGCCGATCGGGTGGTAAATGAGCACGTGCACCGTACCATGCAAACCGTTTTCGATCGTGCTGATTCTGCAAAGTTACTCCAGGTCTTTGAAGACTTTTCACGTATCCACAAGAGCTTCTTTGACGACTTTGGTACTGGCAACAGCCCTGTTGAACGCATCCTTGATGAGATTAAAGCCGTTGTCAACACCTATCATCAGGAGCTTGAGCATACCGATGACCCCGCTGCTTTAATATCACAATTGGTGCCTGCTCTTCGAGCTATGGTGAATCCTCAAATTGAGGATGTTATTGCTACTTCCGATAACAACATTGGTCAAATCGTTTCCGATAGCATCGATCGAAATGATTTGGAGAACTTCAAGCAGGATATCGCCTCTACTGTCGATAAGGATAATTATGGAATTGAAGGTGCTATGGCCATGGCTGTGGCACGTACCGTTGACTTTGCTGTTCAAGAAGGTGCCGCCTTTCTCCAAGACTATGCCCGTGCTATGAATACCCTTGTTTTAATGATTAATCATTTGAACGAGCATTTTGATTCTGCTGTTGAACGTTTCGAGCAAGTAGCTGATGCCATTCGCAAAGGCACAGTCCTCAAGAACGATCCTCTCTATGACTTCCTTACCCACATTGATGATTATTCCGAATTTATGGATGCACTCGCTGACTCTGTGGATGACATGTTCGGCTCCATCTCGAAGGGTGCTGTTGTTGACGCTGCTGCTGCTGCTGCTGGTGCCAACAATGGTCTCAATATTGCTATTCGCAGCCTCCAATCCATTGCTGATAGTGTCATCAACGCTGCCTTTGGTGATGTCGACTACATCAACCTCACTTATGTGGCTCCTGATAAACGCAAAGAGCCCCCGATCTTTAAGATTATTGACAAGATTGTTAAAGCTATTAGCTCCAAGAATCCAAAGCTTGGCGGCGTCCTCAGCAAGCTCGTCACTTTTATTGAAACCATCAAGATGGCTGATCCTGATTTTACATCTGATATCAAGAGTCCCACAGGAATCAAGGATGCTCTCCATGCCATTATCGATGCTCTCAAGGCTGCTATCTCTGCATAGATTGTTCCGTATATAATTTAAGATGTAGATGCTGATTACTAAAACGGTTTATTCTTCCGTGGGGGATGATGCTGTTATATACACAAACTATGGCCAAGTAAAGTGATGGGTGGCCTCTATGAGGATCTCGCGGGTAAAACGTATCGAAGATAGAGTTCATCTACAAAATGAGCGTGTCTAAGGCAAAGCATTAAGTATGATGGCATACAATTCATTCAGCTAAAGAATGGTGCTTACCTAATTCCTGGTGGTCGTGCGTCTGCAAAATAACGCAATGCATCTGGTACAGAGACACCCAATCGCTCAATCATGTAACAACATATAAAGAAGCCGGTGCGATTGAACCTGTAACATGTTGTCAGTAAACTTGGGCGTGTAACCATGATGTTGTACTCGATGCCTACCCATAATGACAATGCACTGCAATTTGTGCGTCGGGCTTCTTCTCCCAGCATTGTGAAGCGACCTCGATAAACTTTGCAACATCGTCACGTTCAGGAGGAATCTTGGACACCGTTCGTAGTTTGATGTACTCGATGCGTGAATGCTCAAAATCGCTTGCACGATAAGGTGGAGTGTCATTAGAAATGTCGATAATAAAACCAATCTCGGGATATTTGGCAAGAAAGCCTGATGGACAATGTGCGCTATCGGTTTGCCGCATAACCTAATGGACGTAATGAGTATCTTGATTGCTTCAACCATTCATTGTTATCATTCTCCCTACCTTCATAGCACGAAAAAGCGATGGCCCAATCGGTCCAGCCGTGATGCATTGTGTACGTGACCACTACAAGGATCATTCTTAGCCTTCATCCTCCACAATGGACCAAGAACCTTCCTTCTTACCTTTTCATAGTTCTTTAAATCCCATTTGTTTTCTCCTTTGGTCTTGTGTAATACTTGCCATGCACCACTCAATGTATGTAAACCACAATTCTTGATAAGGAATTCGGATATTACTGGATTCACCAGTTCGGGATGAACGACCATGGGCATATGACCAACATCTGGAATGACATAAGGTTCTGGCACTCGAATGTTGTCGGCGTGACTAAGATGTTCCCAATTCATGTCTTGCGGGTCCAGCCCAAGAAGATGATTATGTATGATATTGACATCGTTTGGCGGTGTCACCTTGTCCTATCCCTCTTCAATGTCAGTGTTTTGCATTCTTTCTTGTGGATATATATCCCCGATCATACCTCACTTCCACTGATTAAAAGCACGCCAACATTGATTTTTTGATATACGGTGGGTGGAGGAAAGCTGGCACCGAATACGAATCGCTTATAGGTGGATGTACGATTGAGCAAGTTCCAACGCAACTGACTGTCCCCATGAGTATCTTGTGATGAATGAAACAAAGAAATCAAGGACAAAGAATACTTACTTGCGACGTAATTGATCTTCCGCATCGAAACCCAAGAGACGTTCCACGCTTTTGCTATAGAGCCCGCCCTTCCTGTCGGCCGTCCATGCACATTCGAATAACCAGTCGGGGATCCAACGTAGATTCCTTTTGCTCTTTTTTTGTGAATCATCAATGTGTTCCTTGGGAGAGATCAACACCAGCCCACGTAAACTTGGTTGGATCAAGGGTGATGCGGCCACATGAGTAGCAATGGAACAGCCATAGGCATGCGCAATGATAACAGTTGATGGGTATTGGTATCGATCCGTCAGCAGACTTATTACATCATTGACCAGGCTGGCTGTCGTATAAGGATCCCAGCTTTTTTCACGTGTAAATGTCAAATGTTGAGTTTTACAGCATAAAGTGCACCACTTACTCGTAACTCAATTCGCTTTTGCCGCAGCCCAGAAGATCAATGGCAAGCACATGGGCCGTTTGGGAAAAATATTCAAGCTGGTACTGCCATTGTGCCACCTTTTCCATACCTTTGTGAGTAAACCACATGTACGAGTGAACCATTCTCACATTCTTTACCTGTCCTCCCAATCCATGAATAAATACAAGTAATGGTACTCGACTTCCCAGCTCATGAATGATGTGTACAATACGTAGTCGATGCCCATTCAAATCAACGTATTGAGTATGAGATGCAATTATATCCGGTTCGGCTATATTGAATAAACGTTTTGCCGGTGAGTCAACGTGTTATGGAGTGCTTTGTATAATAGTACTTGCGTTCTTTGAGTAATTCGCGTTCCAATTTGGCTTCGGCAAGATCACGTTTGCAAATGAGGAACCATAGCCTTGATAGCAAGCGACGACGATAATGGCGCGGATCTTTATAGACATAGTAGGAGCCGGCGAATGCTGCAATGGTGACAATGAGGGCTGCATTTCTGCAAGAGATTGGTGCCCGTGAGCAAAGGAGCATGATAAAAAGGTGTTTGGGCGTGTACACAAGTCGTCGAGTGATAAAAGTTGTGGTGGTGGAAAGCGGGAGAAGAAGGGAAATGAAATCAACGACGACCCAGTTCTCAGTTAGTTGAAGCTTGTCTATAATAAGAAAATCCAGCTATAAGGATCTCTTATGCAACGCATCATGTTTTTCTGTTAACCCCACATCGTCATCATCAATAAAGAAACAAAATGCTGATACAAAATGCAATCTCTACTACCCCTTTGTTCTCTTGCTTTCTTTATCTAACTGGATAACTATGCTTGTATCGATCATCTGATAATTGACTTGATGCTGTTGTTGTGATGCTGTTATCTTCTATCTCATGTGATGTGTACACCGTGGCTCCAGGTGCTGATAATTGCTGTTGCTGCTGTTCTGGATCATCGGAGCACGATCCGAACCTTGCTGAATATGGGTTGTGACATTCGACATGGATCAAAGAAGGATAATATTGTCGATATGCGAAATAGGCACATCCGGCACCCAACAATCCCCCAATAAATACATCTTGCCAATGATGACGATAATCGCGTGTACGTGAAATAGCAACCAGCAATGCAGCAAGACTTGGGAAGGCAAAAAGAAAACACTTGTAGGTATGCTAGGTGATGAGAAGATGTTTAAGTAACAAATAGCTCTTTCTCTTGCTATGTGCGTATCATCCTCCTTCTTACCCCACGCTCATCAAACAATTGCATCTTTCCAGCCAAGTAGAATGCCAAGTATCCAAGGCCTGCAAATGAGACTACAATAGATAGATGAATATACAAGTATGTAGAGATCGATAGATGGGGAATGCTATAGCTTACATGAAGCATGACCACTTGGAAAGCTCTTGTAACCATCTTTCATTTCATACGAGTCAATGGGTGTTGAACAAATGGTGTAATTGGAAAGTCCCCTTGGAGGATCTTGAGCATCCAGTGGCGGTTGACATCTTGCGAGGAAATCGGGCCTTGGCCTGCCGGCAGTGATCTTTCGTGTGCGATGTCAACAAATGTCTTTAAATAGTATCTCACGTTTCTTTCCTTTTTTATATGCTTACCTTGATAACATCAGTCAACATGATCACCATGGATAACGCTAGGAACAATCCTTTATGAATTACAATCAGGGCGCCGCTCACCCAATTAGATCATGGGAACATCATCATCATCATCATTCCAACCTTCTTCATCTCCCCCCTTTTCCCCACCTTGGTTCCATCATCAACGGACTCTTACCTAGTACACCACTATGAAAGTCGTGCATACTTCGTTGAAAGTACCATGCAATAAATCCAATAGCAATGATAGGACCAAGAAAGCAAATCAACTATTGCATTGTCAGTAATTGGAATGATCATCTTGGATCATCTCGGCTCACTCACTACTAGCGTCCAAGCAGGTATTGACTCTTTGGGTGTGTATGTGTACATGATACTTTTGTCTTGCAACGAGAACTCACGGTGGAATGGTGGAATAACGTCGATTGCGAAAAAGACACCAATCATAACGATGACCAGCAGCCAATCTTGAGCATACGACAGCACGACTCGTCGCTTCCGAGGGTTTTTCAGGTGTTGAGTGAACATAGCAGTAAGGAGAAGAAGGAAGAAAGGGGAGTGAACAAATTAGAGAGAGACTTGTAAACATGCTGGTGTGTATAAGTATAGGTGTATGTGTATGCGCGCCAAGACGGCCATAGGTTGAATCAAACACTAACAAAGTCGTGTGAACACATAAACAGATGGTGAGTAAACTATACGATCGCCATTTGATGATGGTGCCACAACATCACTTTCTCCTTTTCGAATTTCATATAAAGAGCAAAGTATATTGTATTCTCTTGGCAGACACATGCTATAGACACTTTTTGTGATCAAATCATATAAACACTCTTGTGATTTCTAATCCACAACAATCCGGGCTTCGAGTTCAGCAAATTCCTCGTAAAAGACCTGTTATTGTACATCCCAATTATTCATCGATCCTTTGTGTGATAAGTTAACCCTATATTGCTTACCTTCAAGAGATCAATACCATGCTTCACATCATCTGTGCCACCCACTTCACGAATAGAATGCATGCTGAGCTGAGGATTACCGACATCTATTTTATCATGCCCGACAATTTCCATAAGAACTTGTTGCCCTGTGCATTAATCCCGACATTTTTGCGCACTTACCAACGGTACGCAAACCTAGCTTAGCACTCAGCATAGGGCCAATTGTAGATCCGCATGGACTATCGTTACGGACAACGAATTCCTAAAGACAATGATGTTACCATTAGCATGCATACATACATGCATGTACCATATCCTCTCCTTGTACCTGGATGGGGATGCTGTGCTTTTTGGCAAGCTCCTTCAACACTAGGCTAGTCACAGCGGTAGTGGCATATCGCTATGTATGATTCATGATGAATAAAATGAAGATCGTTTCATAAAAGAAGGGCTACTTACTTGGTTAGCATTGATCTTGATGACGGTACCCTTATGCATGCGAGGACGGTGGTTGGATTCATGCTTTTCAGGGTAGTTGGGGTGGATGGCATGGGCCATATCAGCGCTCACGAGAATACTCTTGTGCATAGCTTCTTCAAATGCAGTAGGCGATACATCAGAACCAGACATGAGCTGAGTGGCTGCAAGACGCTGTAAAGTTACTGGCAACAAGTTTGAATCAGCGCCATGAGCAGTGGTGCTTCCAATTTCCTCATTGTCAAAGAGTACAGCAATACGCATGTTGGTATCATTCTCAACGTTGGTGGCTTCAGTCAAAGCACGGATGGAGCAGTACGACATTTCCAAGTTGTCCAAGCGAGGCGAGAAGATGAATTCGTTGCAAATTCCACCAACAGTGGATGGCTATCACCTGATGTTAGCCTTCCTTTCCCCCCAAAATGATCCTCCTTATATTCCTTACCTGAGTATCGTAAAGAGCAAGCTCGAAATCACGGATTTGACCAGCTAACCATATTCTCAATGTCAATATCAAATACAAAGATGTGGAGTGTAATTCACTTACGCTTAATCTTCATTTCTTGTGCAAGAACACGAACCAACAAAGGATGGTGAGCCTCATCAGCTTCAGCCTTATCCGACTCAGCAGGCTTGTTGAGCTCCCTGATTTCAATCGCATGTTAGTTTTCTAGTACAGCTTTTCGTATAAGATTTTCACTTACGCCTTGGTGGCAGTAGCAAGGATAGGTGCAAGTTGTTCCTCCTTGTTGAAAGTGAACTATGGTATCATATAAGTACAAAGATCTAAAATCGTATCACACCTTCGGTTACATACTTGGTCATTGGCTGTACGATCCAAATGGATGGCGAGCGTGGGAATACGCAAAAGAGGTCTAAATGCGATGGTCTGATATTAGATGTTGTACTTGGTATTGTCAAAGCATTGATGCATTTACCTGTTAATCTTGACCAAGGTGTGGCGATAAGTACCATCTTCTTGCTCTACCATAACACGGCCTGCAAGACTCAAATCACGATCGAACCACGTGTGCCTATCCAAATATGCAATGAGCAATTGGGTGAACGAATGCATTCCTTCCTCTTTACCAGATGCCACCACCATAAAGCTGAACACCAACTTCGAGATAGCCACTCTTTTCCTTGTTAGAGATGGGCTTGACCTTGAGACAAGGGGAATCGGTGTGTGCGCCGACGACAGAGAAGCCATTACCAGGTTGATACTTGCCACCAACAACGAAGCCGACAATGGATGAACCGTTACGCGTAAAGTAGTACTTTCCATTGTTCTTGATCTTGCCGTTCCAGTTGTCGCGTTCCTTGATCTCTTCAAAACCTGCCTACAAGTGGTTTTCTTCAATGAATACAGAGCCATCCATATGCATCCTATATCTTACAGTACCTTCTTCAAGAGCTCGGCAGCTTCGTGCGTGGCATGGAATGGCGAGGGCGACTTGTTGACAAATTCGATAAAGTCAAGTGCTGTTGTAGACATAAAATAGAACGTGTATGAGAGACGAGATTGACACCAATAAACGCTTATTGTAAAGTACCTTGTTGAGGAACTTTGGGATCGCACTACACAATGTCCTGATGGGTCAGTTTACCATGCTCAAAGAACCCATTCTCCCTACCCAATTGAATGCATACCATGTTTTCTGGTTCAAGAGGAAAAGATTGTGGGAAACTGCTGTGAACGTGTCTCGCGTGCGGGGTCATACCAAGACGGGATAAAGTTTCCCAATACACAACATGTCCTTTCCTTGCTGGTAACGCCTTTTGCATACGAGGTCGTCCAATGATCAATGCCCTTGACTGACGCACCCATGTTTGTACAGCACCTGATAATGCTACTTGGGTCCTTGCATTCAACATTGCTTGGTGTACTCACAAAGAATGATTGTTTTTCGGGAAAGGATGGCGTGTAAATTCGCCCAGTGATGACTTTGAAAGATGTCATATAGGGTGCCTGAAATACAAAGTAGAAAGTGACACAAGGACAAGTGATGTAAAGCACCACAATGTTAAGCACTTGTATATAAGATGCCATATCCAGCCTATGCGTGCTACCTACTATTACCCTTGTAGTGGTTATATAAGGACGACAATGAATGCCGTCATTATTCATTTCTATAACAAAGAATTGGCCAAGTATAAAGAAACATCACTGCACCACCGTAGCTCTTGCTTGTACTTTAAATCAGCGAGATCATAGAGAGAAAAAATGTCTCAGAAAGGAAAAGCGGAGCCAAATGAGAGAGAAAATAGCCACCTTTTCTTCATTGACTCTTCCATATCAATTGCCTTAAGATAGCTTGGCATTTGGTGTTTATTGTTTGCATCGATCTGCCATCAGCCCATGACAAGTATGGTTGCTAGGCTATCTAAAATCACACACCATCAGCTAATTGAGACTCTGCATCATCGCATTGAGGCCCTTGGACAAAGGTTGATGCTCGAAACGATGACACATCACATGGAGATCCATGTGTAGCGCCCAATTTTGACAGCGAAAATGTCCAATGTCGTTTGCTTATTAATCTGCTCAGGGCGGGGATGAGATCTACTCCGAATCAGTATAAGTATCCCAACACCTGGAAGAGTATTTATATGGCTGATACGGTGTGTGTCCCCGCCCAGGATGCAGTTTTCTTCTCCTAACGTTCCTTACTATTTAAAACAACATGACGGCCACAGTCTTTATCGTCTTCCACACCATACACCACCACATTTATAAGCTTTCACTCGAAGTTCAAAAGGGATTGGAAGCAGCTGGTGTCACCACCAAATTGTTCCAAGGTATATATATAACCTCTCATATCATGCTCGCGGATCCATTGTTAAATTCTTTTGGTCATGCTCAAAGTACCCGAGACGCTTCCTGAAGAAGTTTTGACCAAGATGAAAGCACCCCCAAAGCCCGACGTACCTGTTATCACCGTTGATCAGCTTGCTCAAGCAGATGGTATCATGTTTGGATTCGGCACTCGCTTTGGCATGGTCCCTGCACAAATGAAAAATCTCTGGGATAGCACAGGTCAATTATGGGCCAAGCGTCAATTGGAAGGCAAATTTGTCGGCACATTCTTTTCTACTGGATCTCAGCATGGGGTAAGATCCACATTTTATTTATGCCATAGGTCTCGATGAAATAATACGATCTTCTCTATAGGGTCAAGAAACCACTGCTTATAATGCAGTCCCTTTCTTCGCTCATCATGGCATGATGTATGTGCCTTTCGGTTTCCCTAGCAAAGTATGATTCTCGTAACGCCATTCATTGATGTCGTCACTAATGAAGATGAGCAATAATAGCATATGAGTGATAACTCGCAAGTAATTGGTGGATCACCCTATGGCGCTGGTACATGCGTGTAAGTAATCGTCTTGCCCTTCGCTCATGCAAGCAATCATTGATCTAATACAAATGCAACCTATATCATAGAAATGGTGATCGTCCAGAAGAGGCTTTACAGATTGAGCGGGACCTTGCAAAACTCCAGGGTGAAAACTTTGGCAAGATCGTTGCAACCTATGTTAAAGGAAAACAAGCACTTGAGCAATAACAAAGCGCATCTGCATCACATACCAAGTTGTGAGTAAACCTCCTGCGTGGTTGGCTTACTATGTATGTTTGATAAACGTGTATATAAAAACATCATGATTGCATTGAAAGGAATTCGATGGCTATAAAAAACATACCTTTGAGCTATGCTTCCTCGAATGACAAATTCTCTGTAGTTGAGATGCACTGCTACCTCCCTCGCCATGTTACTACTGTATTTATTTGGATCTTCCTATGAAAAGATAGAAGGGGTGGGAGGGTCTCAGCGATTAGCAGTTGCGTAGGTTGCTAGATATCCTAGGTTGTAGCATGTTTTGACTAGTGATTGCATTGGCTGGATGTCTCAAGTGGTGAATCAAGAAAGTAAATCTTCCATATTAAGATTGGTTGTATTGATGGCTAAGTATGGATAATACTCACTCCACATAGAGGTTACACTAGGCCCAAGATATTCCAAGTACTCAATGGATCTCGTGGCTAAAGTGGCATGAAGCAGCTATAGCTTGGAAAATCACCAGCTTTCTTGCTGCAAGCTTACTACCTCTTCTACATTGGCACTCAGCCATTCCCAACTTTTATCTACTCCACCACAATGGAATGATGAGCCTGCTCCAGATTTTTCCTTCCATGATTCAATTTTCTTGATCAAGGTTGATTTGACTGAGCTACGCCTAAACAAAGAGTACATTATGCATTACCTATCTCAACCTGTGTACTCTTTGTTTGAGCGTACGTAGTAGCTCAGTCAAATCAGCCCTGATCAAGGCAATTGAATCATGGAAACGAATGTCTGGAGCAGGAGCATTGTTCACATGTCATAGGATGGACAACAGTGCCAATTGGGAGGAAGTGACTATTAGCTGCCAATGATGAGCTGCTATTGAATAGTGCATAAAGTATCATCCATCAACCCTTCCATTCATGCAAAACTGCTGTGTTACGCAAACACGCCCCTCTGAATCTTTTGCTCCGCCAGGATCTAGCTACTTCACAATGAACAAAGACCACTCTTCCTATAGCATCACGCTTACAGCATAGGTAAAACATAAACGTGCCTGTATCTCCAAACTTTACAATGAAACGTGGGGTTCTTATTAGAGCAATGTGCTCGGCTTGGCCAACAGCACCTTGTGTGAAAGTTTCGCGTTCAATGTCACAAACAGCCCAAAAAATATTTTTTTGGTCATCGTCGTCGAAGAGGTCGACCCTCAGATCCAGTTTGGCTGGTGGCGACATTGCGAATTCTGGGATTGGCAAGCTTGATCGTGAAACTTTCACACAAGGTGCAGTTGGCCAAGCCGAGCACGTAGCTCTATTCAAAACCCCACGTTTCATTGTAAAGTTCGGAGATACAGGCACCTTTATGTTTGTAAGCGTGATGCTATATGAGAAGTGGTCTTTGTTCATTGTCAAGTAGGTGGACCCTGGAGAGCCAAAGATGCAGAAGGACCTCTTTGGGTAACTCAGCTAAAAAGTCAGGACTTCAGGGACAATGCATGATAGGTACGCAACCCTCACTTTTATGTCATACACTGGCAGCTAATAGCCACTTTTGTGCATTCCCAACTTTTGTACATTCTATTGTAAGTGAACGATGCTCCTGCTCGAGACATTCATTTCCATGATTAAAGTAGGTTGATCCGAGCTGATTTGGTTGAGTTACGCTCACACAAGATTACATCGGTTGAGCTACATCGAGCGTGCTTTATGTCCAGAGTGATGTAATCTCTCTTTGACCGCAGCTCAGTCAAATCAGCTCGGATCAACCTACTTTAATCATGGAATTGAATGTCTAGAGCAGGGGCATCGTTCCCATGCAATGGATCTCGCAACAATGATGATTGGATAAAAGTGGCCGTTAGCTAGCAATACGTGCCTGTTCCTAGATGGTCCATAAAGTAATTATACATTGACCCTTTCATTCATGCAAACGTAGCTGTGTTACACAACACGACCCTCTGCATCTTTTGCTCTGCCAGGGTCCACCTACTTGACAATGAACAAAGCCCACTCTTCTTATAGCATCACACTTACAAACATAAAGGTGCCTGTATCTCCAAACTTTACAATGAAACGTGGGGTTTTGAATAGAGCAATGGGCTCAGCTTGGCCAACCGCACCTGGTGTGAAAGCTTCACGTTCAATGTCGCTACTAGCCCAAAAAATATTTTTTTGGTCGTCGTCATCGAAGAGGTTGACCCCCGGATCCAGTTTGGCTGGTGGTGACATTTGCGAAATCTGGGATTGGCCAGCTTGATCGTGAAACTGGCACACAAGGTGCAGTTGGCCAAGCCGAGCACATTGCTCTAATAAAAACCCCATGTTTGATTGTAAAGTTCGGAGATACAGACACCTTTACGTTTGTAAGCGTGATGCTATATGAGAAGCGGTCTTTGTTCATTGTCAAGTAGGTGGACCCTGGCAGAGCAAAAGATGCAGAAGGACCTCTTTGGGTAACTCAGCTAAAAAGTCAGGACTTCAGGGACAATGCATGAAAGGTACGCAACCCTCACTTTTATGTCATACACTGGCAGCTAATAGCCACTTTTGTGCATTCCCAACTTTTGTACATTCTATTGTAAGTGGACGATGCTCCTGCTCGAGACATTCATTTCCATGATTAAAGTAGGTTGATCCGAGCTGATTTGGTTGAGTTACGCTCACACAAGATTACATCGGTTGAGCTACATCGAGCGTGCTCTATGTCCAGAGTGATGTAATCTCTCTTTGACTGCAGCTCAGTCAAATCAGCTCGGATCAACTTACTTTAATCATGGAAATGAATGTCTAGAGCAGGGGCATCGTTCCCATGCAGTGGATCTTGCAACAATGATGATTGGATAAAAGTGGCCGTTAGCTAGCAATACATGCCTGTTCCTAGATGATCCATAAAGTAATTATACATTGGCCCTTTCATTCATGCAAACGTAGCTGCGTTACACAACACGATCCTCTGCATCTTTTGCTCTGCCAGGGTCCACCTACTTGACAATGAACAAAGACCACTCTTCATATAGCATCACGCTTACAAACATAAAGGTGCCTGTATCTCCAAACTTTACAATCAAACGTGGGGTTTTTACTAGAGCAATGTGCTCGGCTTGGCCAACAGCACCTTGTGTGAAAGTTTCACGTTCAATGTCGCAAACAGCCCAAAAAATATTTTTTGGTCGTCGTCGTCGAAGAGGTCGACCCCTGGATCCAGTTTGGCTGGTGGCGACATTGCGAACTCTGGGATTGGCAAGCTTGATCGTGAAACTTTCACACAAGGTGCAGTTGACCAAGCCGAGCACATTGCACTAATAAAAACCACACGTTTGATTGTAAAGTTTAGAGATACAGGTGTCTTTATGTTTTTACTATGCTGTAAGCATCATGCTGTATGAAAAGAGGTCGTTGTTCATTGTCAAGTAGTATGACTATAATAGAGCAAAAGATGCAGAGGGACATGTTGTGTAACTTGAGTCATTCAGCACAGGCGATGCATGATTCTTGTACACTATTTAGCAGGGGTGACATAAAATTTACTGTACCTAGCCACAATGAGCCACCACTTTTACTGTAGTAGCCTTTACTCGCCGATTAAATAATCAGACCCAGTGTACATTTGTACTATAAAATTGTCCATTTTCGGTTTAGCTTGTCCTTACTGTGGTTTGTTGCCTTATTGATCTGCTTTACTGTGGTTTGCTTTACCATATTGCCTTAATGAGCTGCTTTACTGTAGTAGACAAATGGTTTACTGTAGTAAACGTCCCACAAGAGCTACGTGCTGTTTAATGGAACGAATCGATGAAAGTGAACGAGTCACTTCTTTTAATTGTCATCCAATACCTCCTCAAGCAATTATACGTTTATGCATCAACGAAGGGTCACGATACCCTTGAATAAACCAAGCATCCCCCATACCACAAGTTGGAAGTGCAATCAGAAGCAACCATTTTAAAAGGCGTTTGAATCCCTTTGTCAGGAGCAGCTTCGAGCAGCTCACTATTAGTTTTACACCAACAATGTGAAAAGCGACTTTTTTTGGGCTTTTTTATCATCGTCGATGCGTTGGGGCACTGCTGGGACACTGTTATCATGGAATTCCATTATAGCGACAGCTGTATAGCTTCGTTTGTAATGCTGTGTGTGTTTGGTATATGGTTGATGGAGGAAAGATGGATTTAACATCATCACTCGCGACTTTTTTGTCCTTGCAATACATGCGGTTGAGAATCACTACTACCATTTGTATGTCATCATATGAGCTAGAAAGCTTTAGCAAATGTAATATGGTTGTGACGATAAAGAACAAAAGCCTCTTGACACGATGATGTAAATGATCCCATCTCGTTTTCCAACCTTCGTATTTCTATTCCCCCTTTCAATCCAGAAACCAACCAAGTAATCCACATCTTGCACGTATGAGCTGATAGCACGGTACTCTAACAATTATGTTGATTTCAGTGTTTATTCGATTGAGGTTGAAAAGAAGAAGAATGTAAATATGGTGGTAGGTATGATTGTTATGTGTCAAGTGGATATGAAGAAGATAAGAAGCTGCATCGCCCAATGTTGGGTGAATCACATAGAGCCAACGGGCATCATTGTGCCATCGTGTTGGCTGCTGCTAACATAAGCGTACTCATCCATGATACCAAAACAGCTGCTGTGTGATTTGAATCGAGTACTCCAGTAATCCATCCATGGTCATCAACCACCCTTCGTCAAAGCAATCCAATCCACCATCACCTTTAGCCGTATCCACATGCCATTACCCATCCTTCCTGCTGATGACATGCCAAGTACGTAACCTCAGCAACATTCCAAGATTCTCATCATTGCGCTTGATGGCATCCATCCATCGTAACCATTGCAAGCCCAATACGTTGAGAGAAGGAACCTCTGTGATCGCTGCTCATCTAGCCGTTGGTCTACCTCTTGTGTGGTCATTTTCTATCGTAGCTCAACAAGGTGAAGATTGCTTGTATGGTTGATATGGTGCCATGGAAACCAAGCATCACATTCCAACTAGGCCAAGGGGAACCAACCCAATCAATATCCAATTCCTTCCATCCCATATACCAAAGCAATATCCACATCCATATCCATAAGCAAGTCGTATGTATTGAAAGCAAGTTGCTACACGTAAATAAAGCTGCTTCTATATGATTTCTATCTGCTGTTCACGTAACAAGGGTTGCAAGGTAAGTTGCTGCAGTAGCTTTAGACAATGGAGTAAAGTCCTCGCTAATGGCAACTGCTGTTACGTTTGTTCGCGGCAGAGGGGCGTACAAGAGAAGGTGTAGTGTCAAGAAACGCTGATGTTGTAGTAGGAGGGTGTACACGCCATGGACTTGCCATTCAGTCAAAGACAATCGGATCAAGAGAGTTGTAGGATTGACATGGTGGGTTGAAGCAGGACAATCGTTCGTAGCTGGTAATTGTACTTGAATGGGGCAAGAGAAGATAAAGTGGAGGGGAAGAGCTGGAAATTAAAGTAGGTTGACCTGCCAGACACCTGTCAGACACATGCATGAACGCTGTACATCAATCCTTGATATTGAGATTGCCCAAGTGAGCAGCAAACACTTTGCGGTATAAAATGAAGAAGGGAATAATGGAGAAATGGATGTACATGTAGTGTGATGGTGTAGGTGTTGATGCCGATGCAGGCCGAAGAAAGGTGTACAATGGGCTGAAAGGATTAAAAGTGATGAAGACGAGGTGACAATGCCGAGCTAGTATAAGGAATGAGAAAAAAGAAGGGTGAAAGAGAAAAAGTGGAAGGTGTAAAGTTGAATTAAGATCGGATCACTAACGTTAACGGGTGATGATGCCGCAACAGGAGCATTGCTCAAGCTAGTTTGGATAGCAGAAAAAGTGATGATAATTGAAGGACTAGCAGTCTTTGACTCTTCACTTCGCTTGGTTTGAGCTCCATGCTTCGCTTCATGTCAAGGTTTGTCTTTAGCAGAGGGTGCTGGCTGCTGGGGGAATCCCCAAGCCAACCAACATGCAACATTTATGCATCAGTGCTTAACGCACATTGATGGATTAATGGTTATGACCACCTTTATGATTTGATGCTCATCTTTACTTTAATTCTTTATGCTATTATCGCTTGCCTGTTGTATGTCCCTGTACCATTCTTCCTTCCCCACCTTTTAATCGTTTTAGGGAATCACTACACCACACATACCAACAACTTTTGTATATTCATCCGTCATTCGCCATGAGGGCACAATAGACTTTGTGTTTTGGTGAAAAGTATCCAATGCTAAAATAGAAAGGAGGAGTAATGACATGATGCAAATTGGGGATTATCTTGTGTTCATCCTTTTCGTGTTTCGATCCGTGTGATGGATGGCCGAATGAATTAGAATAAACAATGCAAATGCTAAAGAGAAAAATTTTCACGTTACTCGTTTCCTTGCTACAGTAAACACACTCCATTTATAGTAGTCGTATGCTTTTACCACAGTAAAGGAGTACGTTTATGGCAACCAAAGGAAGACTGCTTTTCCTTACTGTAGCATGACGACTTTTCCTTACTGTACCGGAGTATTTTGGCAGGTGAATTGGATTTTACGCTGCGATTTAAACCAGCAACTACAGTAAGCTACAGTAAAAATCTGGCACCCCATTTAGCAGTAGTTCAAAGTGCCAGCTAATAACCCATTCCTCCCATTCTCCATTGTTGATCAATCCAATGCATGTGAACGATTGTCTTGCTCCAGCCCAGTATGCCCATCATTCAAGTTTCTTGATCCGAGAGGATTTGGTTGAGTTACGCTCAAACACAGAAACATCATCCAATATCAGAAGAGTTTATCTGGTTAGTTATTTGTAAACTGCCAGCTAATAGCCCATGCCTCCCATTCACCTTTGTTGCCCAATCCAATGCATGTGAACGATTGTCCTGCTCCAGCCCATCATGTCCATACTTCAACTTTCTTGATCCAAGACGATTTGACTGAACGACGCTCAAACCAAGAAAGGCCATCCAACCATCAGAAGAATCCTTTTAATTTCCACTTCTTCCACTCACAGCATCTTGTCTCTTCCTCCCATTCTCAACTGTTGCCCCATTCAAGTATACAACTACCACCAACGAACGATTGTCCTGCTTCAACCTACCATGTCAATCCTACGATTGTCTTGATTCGATTGTCTTTGACTCAATGGCAAGTGCATGGCCTGTGAACAGCCTTCTTGCCACTCTTCTACAACACAAGTCTCTTGACACAGCACACGCTCTTGCACGCTCCTCTGCCACAATCAAACGTAACAGCATTCATTCCAGCAATTGCTATTCATTCCATTGCCTCAAAGCACGTTCTTTATTTGCAGCAACTTGCCTTACAGCCTGTTTTACGTGAACAGCATATAGCCATTATATAGAAGCAGCTTTACTTACGTGTCGCAACTTGCTTTAATACACGCGAATTCTTGTACATATGAACATGGATGCCACTTTTGTATATGGATGGAAGGTTATGGATACATAAGAACTCTGAAACAGTGGAAGGGTGGAATGGGTCGATGGGGTTTCGCGTGGTATGGTTGAACTAGTTCCAGGCACTCGTGTCATGTGATGATGGAGCAGCTATGATATCAGGTTCTTGATGTCAATGCTACACCAGGTACAAGAGAAATTAGGTGAATTAAGCTTCCGCGCGGAGCGATCACACAAGCGCGCGCATAATATCCGAATCCTTGTTGGTGTCTTATTACGATTATTACATTTGCCTACGTTACTAGTCCAAATACTGTCTACATGCTCTAATTGTAGACAAGCCGATATGGAAGCAAATCTTTTGTGTGTATGTGGAATGGTAGAAAAGGGTTATCGGCATTATAGCTTCTATTTTCTTCACGTGCGTTCTAGTACTATAGCACAAAAAGCGGTAGGACAGTTGACGAAATCTCATCAACAACGGTTACATGTTGAAAAACAAGGCACACGTCTTATGCCTTGCTTGAGACTCATTGATGAGCGGAGCGGAAGGTCCCGGAAGAAAAGGAATTTTGTGTAAGCAATCCAACTTGTTGTGTTAAAACAATCTACAACCACCATTGAGGTTTGGTGGTTTTGAAGATAAGTGATAGCGATTTTCGCGTTGCTGAGCTGTATGGAACTTGATCTTAGGTTCAATTTCTAGAAAGCGGATCATTTGGTCGGTGTGTAGAACCAATGCTAAAGTCCCAATGGTGTTATTATTGTCCCATTCTTCTTGCAAAGATAATCTTCTTTGTTCATATAACAATCAGGGTTCATTGTACCCTTGTATTTGTGAAGTCATCAATTACCGCTGAAATAGCATGCACATGCCTAAAAGTGGCACAGGCCGCTGCCTATAGGCAATGTAGATTGTATATATTGTATTCCATGGCATAGGGCTCAGCTAGCACATGCACATTCGATATACAGAAAAGTCCGAACAAAATGGAAGGATTGTCAATGACCGAAGCCTCTTTTTTCCAGATTAAGTCATAGGAAAACAGTGGTGTGGCTAAGATACATTGAAGATTCTGCTACCAATCATAGTAGCAGTACGAAAGAGATTATGGGGTTGCCGGGCCTTCTAGCCTCGATGACCGGTACAGGTTTTCCCCCAATGGTTTGATTGTTAGCACGAACATCTATATGGGGCAATGTGGAGAGCAAACTCTAACGAATTTTAAAGTTGTGCATCATCCACATTTGTAGCACTGGGAAACAATGAAATTGATGTAGAGTACTTTTGTCAGCTCCTACTACATAAAAAGATGGATGAGTGTTTCGAAGAGCATGATGTCAAGCACATGTTGCGTCATTTATTGGCACTAGAAATGATAGACATGTACGCACGGTGTAAAAGTGGCTGTACCTTGTAAAGATTACCATTCGTGCTACAAACGTGGGCGGTGTGTCACGCATATATAAACAAGCAAATGCAAAGGAAACAGTGAATTGGCGATTCGGTAACCGCAGATCAATTTTGCTTCTTTTTCCGCTGCTTTTCACTTTGCTTTATATCTGATTTTCATTCTTTTTGATTCCTTTTCTTTGTTTTCGATTGCTATACAATACAATGGGTGGGCAGCTAAGCAAAGCTGGGTTGCCAGGTGTCGAACGAAATAGCCGAGCTCGAAGGAAAACGGTTTCATCATCATCACCATCACCACATCATCATCCAAAACCACATACTACTACTACTACTACTAGACAACAAACAACCTCTTATAAGATACCATCCACAATCGACCATACTCAAAGTGTCCCAAATGCAGGGAGCAGCTATGATAAAGCTATTCGTCGCCATGCCAACAAAAAAGAAGGGGCTCTTCGTCGAACGAATAGCACAGCAGCAATGCAACAACAACATGGAGGATCAGCACCGAATATACCATCAAGTCAACGAATAACGCGAGACACAGCAAAAGCGACTGCTGCAGCAATTCACCAGCGGAGGCTGGATCTCCATAGCAACAGCACACCTTCTTTCTCAAGCGAAGAATCCGGTAACACCACAACCCCGTTATCTGGTTCGCCATCATCTAGCATTACGGGTAAAGCCTACACTCGCTCAATCCAATCCACATCAATGAGTAGCCAACAAGAGTATTCACAAGATTTTACCGAGGAGCAAGAATATAACCGGTAAGATATCCCCAACGAAGACTTACCTACCACGTGGTAGGTTTATGTCATATGGATTTTCTCACCCTTCTTCCATCCTTTTTTTCGGGTTGATGCTTGTTGACAGGCATCAGCGACAGGTTCGGCGGCTCACAATAAGCGTTGTGTATCATTGTGTTGATGAGTTACAGCTAACACTCTTATTCATACAACCAGCATTACGTTTTCAAGCAAGTGCTTGGAGACAACATTAAGTGTACCTTCGACAAGCCTCCAAAACGTATACTTGACAGCGCATGTGGAGCAGGTAATAACATAAGAGAAATGCTTGTTTGCACTTTACTGATGACGTTGATGATAAGGCTTTTGGGTCCTGGAAACGGCACAAGCGTATCCCGATGCTCAGGTGGTAGCATTGGGGTCAACGTTACCAATCCCTATATCGTCAGAGAATAATGGCGGTGAAAGTAGCAGCAGTGGATCTTCTCGATTGGCATTCCCTAAAAACGTCAATTTTGTACATGGCAGTATCCAATCTCCTCCGCTTCCATTTCCCGACAATACCTTTGATTTGGTTCATCAACGTGAAGTCGGCATCTTATTGCCTTTCCAATGTTGGCAACCGCTACTAGTAGACATATACCGGATCCTTAAGCCGGGTGGCATTATACATTTGGTCGAATATGGTAAGCATCCTATTATAGCTTCCTCTTTATCTTGCCCGCTGCTGTTTCGAAAAAAAGCTGAACCATATCCATGGACCCCAATAGACATGGCATATCCAGAAAACTGTGGACCTCTTTGTGATCGTACCAATGAAGCTGTTCGACGTGCAACGAAGGACTTGGGTTTTGCTATATACATTACGGAGCCTATTGAACGCATGCTGCATCAAATCGGATTTCATAATGTGCAAGTACAGCGTTTTTTCGTGCCTATTGGTGAATGGCCTGACGATGATAGTAAGTGACACAAACGAGCAACAAGGCTATTTGCAACATTACACCTAACGTCTGTGTGCTTACTTTTCCCCCCAAATTCTCTTCACCCGCGGTACGTCATACGCTCAAGTCGGCTTACAGCAAGGTTTCCTTCTCAAATCGGTTGCATCTCAATTGCTAAAACGCTCCAAACCAATCCTGGGACCATACCTTGGTGTAGAACCCGAAGACTTTGACAAGTATTGTGCAGCGCTCATTCAAGAATTGGAACAAAATCACGGCACCGTTTGTTGGAAGGTGCTTACTGCTCGCAAGTGATGCCCACTTTTTAGACGAGGTTGATGAAAAAGCGTTAATACAAGAGACGCTGACGCTAGTAGACGACGTATTCCATGACTTAAAAAGTGGATGTTCAAAAAGTACACGCGTCTTTCATACGTGTTTGACAGCTGCGTCAATATCAAGAAGCAAACATGGGTGACGAGTACGCGTATACACGTTCGAATTATATGAATTAAACTCAAATCAACGCCTACAACGACGTGTATGGGAAGAGAATGATGATATCGAGAGGAGCGCTGATTGGGTTTGGTTAGAGAGGAGAGGCAAAAAAAAAAACAATGGGATGGCCACTGTACTACCACAGGTGGCAGGCATCATTCCTACTTTGTTCATCGGCCGATATTTTTTCTTTTTGGCATTGCGTACATACAAAAGGCATGATGCACCAAGACCAAAAAAGTACAAAATCGTTGATTCCTTTCCTTCTTTCTTTGCACTTCTCAGGCGTAACCATACACAAAAGATACCCAATTATGGCACCTTGGATACCGAAACCAATATGTGAGTGAAGCAACGTGGACATGGTGGTACAGATCAGAGCAAACAAGGTGTGTGTGCGCGTGTTGTCTGGACCCTTGCATGTTTATCCTGCCGTGTGTACAATAACTAAACAAACACAACTCTATGTCTGCATGACTCCTAGCAAGCGCATTGACGCATATGCCGCTTTCCAATGTCCACCGCACATTACTAACATACCCATGCCCAATGTGCGATCCTTGGAGTACATCCTATTTCCCACCAGCTATAGCATAGCTTTTTATAATCCATCAGATAATAAAACAACAGCTATTCAAAATCGATTCAAACCCCATGACATGCTTTTTTCTTCCGGATACACATGATCTGTACTCCACCACAACCCCTTTCCAACAATACCACAACAACGCCATCGCTCGTTAATGCGTTCAAACTTACATTCACCATCACCATTATCATCATCGTGATGGAGTTTTCTTCTATATGGTTATAAGAGTACCCCTAATAGTTCTCCTAGATAGCATCTAATGATGATGGCAGATTGCATCATCGTTTTATCTCTTGCCATCAAAGGGCATGCTCCTATTGTTACATGGGGTGGGGAAGAAAAAGTGGTTGTTGTATCACAGGCTTTGTGCTACGATCGCTAGACCGGTGACGCCAATGGAGAAGGATAGGCGACAGCTGTACCTGAAAAGAAAATGAAGGCTGTTACCCATTGGTTGTTGCGTAAAGGATGTTCATGCGGCACGTTTATCAATAAACTGTATACCTTATCGCCACGATTTACGTACACAAAAGCGCATACTTGTAATAGGGACGTGCTCAGCATCATGCAAGGAGCAAAGTAGAAAAGGAGGAAAACAACTAGGGGCGGGGAAATGTGAGATAACAAGTCATGTGCGGTTTGACAACAATGCTTGGGGAGCGGACATAATAGTAAGGAGCATAGAAAATTAGTTTATGCTTTCTTTTGTCTTGCTTAACCCGGTCCCATGCTTCCGGCGCGGTTAAATGCTCTCCTGGTATCAATCAAAGTGAAGGATGGTGTCCACATGTGTGCGACCAATCATTCAAAGTCCACACAGGGACCTCTCTTTCGAAGGAAAAGCGCATTGCTGTCGGCTTTCCTTACTTTACGTGCGTCACCAGTACTTATCCATATCCAACGAACCAACGGCAAAGGTCATGGGGCACCAGCATGCTGTGATCGCATGCAAAGATCAGTAGATCTCCATGGCAACACAACTCACTCGATGACATGATCGGATGGAAATCACGTTGCAAAGATATTAAACGAATGAATAAGTGAGAGATTGGCACATCCTCCTTGTGCGGTAGTTATTCACACACACAAAGAGGGGTTATACATTCCACTTATAATAGGGCATATACGTTACACGACTGTATTTGGTGCCGCGTTAGACGTCCAAACAACCTTGCACGCTTTCTGTACACCTTTATTCAATACCTTTCTCTTTCCTCTCTCTCTTTTTTTCTTTATTTCTTTTCACTTTCCTTCTCTTACTTGTACGCCATCCTTCTTTTTTTCTCGTATCCTCGTATTCCTCTATTACACTTATATTCAATATGGGAGTACAAATGAGTAAGCAACGACTTAACGGTGGTGTCGCCACCAGTGATCGACGTAAGAAAAAGAAATCATCTCGCACCACCCACCATCATCATCACCCTCGGCAACCGACAACTAGCACGTCAGCTACTACGTTTGATCATCATTCCAAGACATTCAATGATAAGCTCAGCCATCGATCTATGAGCAGCACTACTACTACCACCGCTACCACTGTAAATGGCCATGCCCATCACCATGCCTTTGCTACTGATGGCCCCTTGTCAACCCTTTCATCTGCCATCCAATCACCCACCTCACCCAAACGCACTCGTTGGACCACTGCAGGCTCATCATCCAGCGAACATCCACATCATCATCATCATCATCACTACAATAGATCACATGTAGTTGAAATGGATCATCGAAGCATGGCTTCTTGCAAGAGTGAAGATTCAGCACAAGCACCATCTATTGCATCAACAGCATCAGTAGAGCGCACCGCATCGGTGACTAGCCAACCTGAATCTGTAACGTTTGATCGCAACGATGAGCAAGAATATAACCGGTAAGGCTGACAGATCGACCCAAGGACAAGGAACGTGGGTTCGGAAAAAAAGAAGGCTAACACAAAGATGTGCACAAAATTTGTATCTCCTGTTGTACACAAAAGACAATTGCGACAGGTAAGTTATCTCGAGCTAGGCATAGCTGCATATCATAGATTGCAAACACTGATACGTTTCATACATCAATAGCATTATATCCTGAAACAGATACTCGGTGGGAATATCCAGCTGCAAATGGATGAGCCACCCAAAATGATTCTTGATAGTGCAGCAGGTGCAGGTACGGTAACCATCATCTATTGTGCATATAAATGACGGGTTGTGATATGCGAGAGAGCGAGTGAAATCATCAAAATCGGCAATCTATGATCATTGTTTGGCTCATCATCCTTATGGATATGTAGGCTTTTGGGCCTTTGAAATTGCACAAAAGTATCCTGAGAGTAAAGTGGTTGCCATGGATATTTCGCTGCCGACCGATAGCGCTCAAGTCAATAATGGCCAACCGATCACGCCCAACGTGTCATTTGTTTTTGGCGACATCCTCAACACACCTTTACCCTTTGCTGATGGCACATTTGATCTTGTTTATCAACGCGAAGTTGGTGCTATTGTTCCAATCCCCTATTGGAAACCACTATTTGAAGACTTCGCAAGGATTCTTAAACCCAATGGTTCGGTGCACCTTGTCGAATATGGTAAGCTATCACCTTGTCAACCGCTTTCATCGACTTCCACTCATAGTATCATAACCACATTGCAGATCTTCGCATGCCAGACTGTGGGCCATTAACTCGCAAAGGCAACAAGGCCGTTGACGAGTTTGCTTTAGCTACTGGGTACAACATGAAATTTACAGAAGGTTTCGAGGGGCACCTGCTCTCTGTTGGTTTCACAGATGTGCGGATTCAAGAGTTTCCCATCCCAGTCGGCGAGTGGCCCGAAGACGAGAGTAAGTTTTTTGAGCTTGTTGTTAGGAAAATGCATGCTTAAATGTTTTGCATCTTCACTTGCAGTTCGATTGCAGCAAGGTTTCTTAGTCAAATCGGTATTCAAGGGAATCCTCAAGATGGTAAAACCAAGATTGGCTCCTTTCCTTGAATTAACCTTGGATGAATACGATCAATATTGTGTCGCCGTCATGGATGAAATCGAGAGAAATAAGGGACTCACAGAGTGGAAAGTGATTACAGCTAGGAAAGCTTAGAGCAAGATTTGAGGAGATGGAACAACATGTCGTCGTCGCCCTTGCTCTATAATGATTTCCTTAGCATGTATTCTCTTTTCCTCTATTATGATAATCGAGGACCCACAATTGAAGATGCCCTGATCTGTTACCCCACGTACAATTACCCACATGCACACAAGCATTTTTTCATCCCCCCATCTCACACAAAACACACACACTCACACACACGCACAATCGCACACATTGAACTCATTCAGCTTTTTTCTTTTCGTATATCTATCTTGTGTATGCTTTTCCCTTTAATACCTTTGTATGTATGCATAATCCTCGTAAGCAAATTGTATGATGTCGCATATACTTTTTCAAGCTTGCATACATATTCGATCTTTTTCTCAATGGCAAAAGTGGGGTGGTAATGGTGGTGGTAGGGTGAGACAACGATAATCAGCGCATGTGTATCTGAGCAATAAGGTTATTGATACGGTTACAAGCATGATGCAGCCTCTCCCATCCTCTATCTTGGTTGTATGCAATATGAGAAAGGGGTTTGGATTACAAGCGATCCGAATGCAGTATCCCACGCGCAAATCTTGAACTAAACAATCTGCTGTGCAACGTGAGGCTCAGTTGTGATCTTTGGGCTCGCAACAGCGGCGTTTTCATTTTCCTGTTATATACCTTGGTTATGCAAAAGAAGAGCCATATGCATCTGAGCTCAACTTGTAAATGAAAAAGTTGAAATATCCGCTCATCATCACGAGTTGAGCCTCCTCCACAAAAGAAGCTACCCTTTCAAGACAAGGTAAAAGTGGTGTAACCATTGATCGCTTTCTCCAGAAAAAGGTAGGTGTACTTGTTGTTGTTGCGTATTGTTCCATGCCAATCCATTATCCCTGACGGACATGCCCTATTTGACAAGTCAGCCTCCCATGTCACTGATCGCAGCTCCTTTTGGCTGGGTAGTACGCAACCTACTACAATTACATTTCCGACAACGATCGACACGATGTCTTTATGATTTGATACGTCCTGTTTCTTTGTCTAGTGAGTATATCATGAATGGATCGGTCTTTACTTTAGCAAGGAGGCTCGTGCACGCGTATACGATTTATGCAGAATACTACCATGTTGCATGATAATAGAATGCATGACAACGAGATGACCATTTCATACGCACACCACACAACACAACACTCACACACTGTATTTCACACGACCCTTATCTCGGAGTGTGTATTGTACAACCACACAAATGATTCATGTGACTCGAATGAAAACCAACTGGGTTTCCCGAGAAATGGTTCCTCAAACAAATTGCAAAATGAGCTTAGCCGTGGGGTGAAAAAAGTACACAGAGAAATCGGTATTCACATTTTGTGTTATAGTTGTACAAGATAATTTAACTCAACACGCCATACAGGAGGTGGGAGAAAAGGCTAAGCATACAACGCGTGGTGGTCTACTACTATCATTGAAGACACCTAATAATGGAACGACGGCACGGCTCATCCGTTGCAGTAATGCGCAATTGATCTAGGACTCATGGAGTGGCTTTGGCAGTGAACACAAAATGCGACATGTCGAACAATCACGTTGATACCACGCGGCATGTACAAAATGCTTGAAAAAGGAGTGATTAGTGCGCGGTACACCTTTCCCCCGAGTTCGGCATCAAAGACATATGATAAGTTTGTATTTTCAATTAGGGGCATCATTCCACTAGAGGCATAATTATCCATTTTCATGGGTGATCGAATGTTACTTTTAGTAAACAAGATCAGTATAACGTGACAACACTATGATGTTATTTAAATAGCTACAGCACCCTTGGGAGCACCAGATGGCCAAATGCGTTCAATATCAATCTTTTGTGATGAAGATGACGGCGTCACCAATGTATCCTTTTCACGATCCACAAGGTCCGTCGATTGAGAAAATGTAGCAATAGCATGAGCGATAGCACGTGCATTCAACAAAAAGGCGTCATGGTTGAGGTTGTCAATGTCGTCACAAGCAGCATGATAGCATGCATCGTATGGTACACCCGCTTCACGTCCATAACGCTCGGCTTGATCCTCCGTCATGAGCACTTCAGCACCTGTGAATAGGCCACCACTGGGTAAACCAACTTCCTATTGACATTTTTGTGTTTAGTGATCTCGATGACGAAATACGGTTTATACAACTTACAATGAAAGGACCATAATCACTACGACCATCGAACTCTGAAGGATCATAGGGCTCGCCCTTGCTCTTGAAATAATCTTGGAAGAGCTTTTCAATGGCTGCTGAACCAGGAGGACCAGACATGCTGCTATCGGATCCATCACCTATAGATAAAACACATGATGGCAATCAATAATCCCATCCAAAGCACATACTATACCGATCCTTACCATCATAGATGCCGTTGATGGCATTAGGGCTGGCAACCATGTCAAAGTTAAGATACAAAGCAATCTTCTTCTTCTCTTCAATTGACAAGTTGTCAACGTGATGCTTAGCACCCAGCAAGCCGAATTCTATGATAATAGTAGAGTTAGCAACGTACATACATAATACGAATAAATGATATGAAGTACATGCCTTCAGCAGTCCACCAGCAAAATCTGACCTTGTTGCGATTTTGAACATTGCGGAAGAGGTATGAGATCTCCAATAAGGCAGCAGTACCAGATCCATTGTCATTGATGCCAGGGCCAGCATGCACACTATCCGAATGACCACCTACGACAATGACATTGTTCTCGTCACCTCCCTGGATAAGCATGGATTAGGCAAATAATGAATCTTGTCACATCCAATCGTACTCTACCTTTGTTTCGGCAATCACATTGTATGTCAATCGCTCCTCACGTTTCTCCACAATAGCCACGCGTAATTCAATCTTGTTATGACCCGCCAACAAGCGAAGCAACTTGTCGCCATCCTCTTTGGAGATACCAGCTGTGGGCGCACCGGGTGGGAAGTCTTGGCCAAGGGTACCAGAAAGAGATCCACCTTCATTGTTGTAGATTAACAAGGCTTTGGCACCTGCTTGACCTGCTGCATACGCCTTTTGACCAAAAGCACACTCGCCACGTTCAACCAATGCTATCTTGCCATTGACATGGTTTGGATAATCCTCGGCGTTGCAGCCATGACCTGGAGCATGAATCAAAGCGGCACGTACACCTTCCAAAGGAGTACTCTCGGTAAATGTCATGAGACCCACAGGGATGTCGATATGGATAGGTGATACAACGGATGCTTCTTGCTTGACCTTTTCTGTATAATTCAAATGCATTGCTATAGAACAAACGACGTCAATATAGGATCATCCATCATCCATGGTTGTATGTGTACGTACGTTCAAGCCATGTGTGATAGCCATTCAATAAAGCTGACTCTGCAATATAGGCCAAAGTAGCATTGTGCCCTGGCGAGCTAAAGACACGGGTACCACCATTCTCGTCGGCAATGGCTTGAAGTTTCCGAGAATGTCGTAAGAGACCTTCGATAGTAAGGCTGTCCTGCAATTGCTGAGAGAGCGATTCTGAATGCGTTGTGAAAGGTGTCTGCTGCAACCCAGGAATTGCATAGCTGCATGCTGCCAAAGCTGCCGTGATAGTGACGAATGACGCGCGCATGGCGTATTTGCGTTTGAAAAGTAGTAGTGTGAACGAGGAAAAGAAGTAAGAAATTGCCCTTTTGGTCACGCGGCCGAGGATATCGGAAACATTGATTGATAGCTAGCTGCTGTGATGATGGCGTACACTATGCATCGAATCACGTTATCTCCGTATGTAGCACAACCTTGTACTCATTCATTCATTCATCCATCCATCCATATGTACGTACATCGAGGTAAGTCATTGTTTATTGATACAAAGGTGGGGGGGTAATCTCATTATACTTTCTCTTGTCGAATAGCATCTTGTTGCATCATCCGATAGCTTTGACTCACTAGATTCAATCCACAGCTATCCATCTCCTCAATACGACGAGAAGCTTTGCTCTTCTTGTACACGCTCTCATCTTCAGATGGTGGAGGGAAGAAATCGGGATCATAATCACACCGCTGTTCTGATTTACCGGCACGGATGGCACAAATGGCTGTGGATCTGCACTCTTCATCACATTCGTTCATCAGCGGGGCTGACTTGACTCTGTACTTCCAGTATTTGGTAAACATCGTTTCAGGATCTTCTTCCATGGAAACAGACACATTGTGCCACCAACCAGCTGTCAACGGGGAGCTCTCTTCCAGGGGTGCATACGATGATTGATATGCTTCACGAGCCGAATATTCGACATGCCAATTCTAACATAATCCATGTAAGCATCTTGAACCCTTTCTTTTACAGACACATTTATATTTACCGGTCCTGTAACCCATTGATCAGCTTGATCCAAATCGGCCACGTAGGTGATAGAATCCATAACTTCAAAGGTCTCGGCATTCACGCGATAGAGTCGAAATGCAGGATTGGTATTCAAAAATGGTGTCACTGAAGGAGCCACGTATCCCACCGATATGGCATTGTCTGCTGTTTGATTTCCATCCCGATAAAATAGCTGGTATTCATCTCTGGAGTAATAATAAATCAGTACCTGGATCATTGTTACCTGCAATAGCAAGATCAAACTTACTTGTGAGTGTGTCCATAAAATTGTGCGGTGATCACATGAGGAGAATAGCGCTCGACGATTTGGTGGAAGTAATTCGAGTAGTCATGCAAGCAGGTGACATCTCCAGGGGCAATGTGACCAGTGATCCAAACCTTCTCTCCAATATCTTCAGATGCTTGTAATTGATTGATGAGCCAATCCAAAATACCATCAGGATCCTATTTTCTCATATGAGTAATCCATCTCCTTTTCATTGTACTAATTCTCTCACCTTTTGTTGCGGACTTTCATATAGCCACCAATTCATTGTGTAGCAAAAGTTGGTATTGAGACTGATAAGCTTGAGACCTGGTTTGGGGTATGCAACATAGCTTCCACTGTTTTGCTCCACCTGAAGCACTGTATTTGGAGCGAGCCATCCAAGCCAGCTTTTGGCGAGAGAAGCGTACATCCATTCGAGTCGTAGATACTCCTTCTCGTCTTCGATAGGGATCTTGGATTGCTTGAGTGGGAAGATATTGGTGGGTGCTGATTCATGATTACCAACGGCAGGATATAGCACCGAATTGATGAGATGCGGGGAATCAAAGTGGGCATGCATAAGTGCAAACGAGTGCTCTTCGACAAGCTGAGTCTTGAGTGCTGGTAGTGTTGACCATACTTCATGCGAAGGAATGTCGCCAGTGAGTAAACCAAAAGCAAGATCGGGTGCCACAGTGGGAATAAATTCAAGCATTGACTCGATCAGTGTTAATGGCGTATCACAGGTGTATGCTCCCCATATTGATGCTGGCATAGTAACGTTGGCATAATCAGTGTTGGATGCTCGACAACAGATGGGCTTATCGCAAAAGGCATCGGCCCCAGCCTCGTATTCAGGATCGACATGCCAATCGCTTAGTTGCAGAACAGTGAATGTTGATGAAGATTCATGCTGCTGTTGCGGTGCATTGTTGTTGATTGGCCTTGGTTTAGGAAAAGGAACATCCCATTCGTCAACTTCTGGATAAGGGCAACTGTTCAACACAGCAGCACACAAAAGATGCCCATCTCGTCCTGATACAGTCATCGTCTAGAATACGACATTGTAAGTACCAATATCGTCATCCATGCCTCACGTGCCCCCATCCACGGTGCAACATCCCATGATTGTGTTACCTTGAGCACCTTCCGCAGGATAGGAGCTTGCTCCTGGACGACACCAGCACACTTGCAATACCCATGTCATTATCATGCTATCATATAAAACCTATCCCCCCACCCCCTTATCACTTACCACGTCAGGGTGTACTTGTTGAAATCGCCCGCATAGCCGTATCAACGTTGCAATCAGAAAGGATTCAGACATGTACGATAAATCTTTGCCCAGCTGCATGAGTGAAATGCATTTGGCACACGACATGGCCTGGGTGTCAGCCTGTAACCAGTCAACTGTTGTGGTGTAAAGCTTTTCTTCAATGTCGCTGGGTTGTGATGGGCGGTGAAAGGGAACTTGGGGCAATTGAGGCGGCCATGGTAAAGAGGACGTGTGTTGTAGGAATATGGCAAAGAATGAAAGTAGCAAGAAGAGAATAGAGGAGTGCATGAGAGAAACTATGAAACGTCTTGTTCAGTAGGAGATTACTTTTTATATAGCACCCCATTTAGGATCAGATGCCACATCCAACTGCTTCCTTATCTTGCTCTACTGACAGCTGATGGTCAACCATCGTCATCCTTCTCCTTGCTGAATGTTTATCCATCACCCCAAATATCATGCGCTTATCATGCAGTACCTTACATATGCATCATTTCTATATGCACTTCCTAATAAATTGGCACCATCAAAGATGGCTGATATTGACAACATTCATATGCATGCTACAATCTTCATCGGAAAATACGGCCCGACAAGGCACACACGCACCTATTGTCAGGAGATGTTACCATCAATGGACACCTTGTACCTGCTCTTCATTTTATTGGGCAATGTAAAGCAGCTGCAGGTGCAATGTGGCAAATGTTCACGTGGGAAAAAATCCGTTGTTGTCAACAGCTTGGATAGGCGCATGAATGCGTAGCATGTCTTTATTAAGTTTAATTAAGCTATAGCTGGATGTGCATTGTAAAGCAGCATCGAGGATTGAACGAACCACATTTCACTTGAGAACAAAACGAGACCTTCATTACCATGAGCATACAACCTTAGCGAATTGATGGGAAATGATACTTTTATCAACGACATGTAGTAAACATGATTAGATGCAGGTTGTCTTTATTGTTGCGAATGGGTAATAATTGCGATTAAGAAGATGCTTTGTTGAGTGATGGAAGTTCTATTATCTTTGTACAGTTCTTGGCACCCTTCAAGCGTAACCAGCGACCTCCCTTGAGTTCCTGACCCACACCGACGATCAAAAATGTTCGATTTGATGGGAAGACGGTCTTGATATCAAGGCTATTGATCACGCCCTTGACAGGAAGCTTGGCTATTTCAGTAAAGTTCTTGTTGTCCTCACCAATCTTCCAAAAGCGAATATATCCATCCCATGATCCAGATACAAATAAATCAGAGTATCGAAGTGATGCTATTGCTGTGATCCAGTAGGGTGTGTTGATGTCGCCTTCGGTCTCACTTTGTGTGGTGTTGATGCCGTGAGCTTCTGTTACTGAAAAAACGGGTTTCTTTTTGTTGATATCCCATAACGAAACAACACTAACCATTGTCTTATTAGCAAACCTGGTACAATGAAACAAGAGAGAGAGCGTAGATGCTTACCCACTATCGCCACCGGTAACAAACATGCTTTCATCGATTTGTGAAATACAATCCAATGATCCCTCCAAGTACAATGGTCGTTCTCTCGCATCCTTTTGTTTGCTTTGTGTGCCGCCACGATATACAAGTTGCGTTTCATCCACAATCTTCCATACTCGAGCTGTTCTATCTCGACTACCGACCGATACGCAGCGTTCTCGAATTAGGGTATCAATGCTGGCAATCTGGTCTTGATGTCCAAACAGTGTTTCAATATAGGCCCGCTCATCAATGTTCCATACTTTGATGGTTCGATCCCATGATGCCGAGTACAATTGATTCTTGCCTTTACGGAAACATAAACCCTGTACATGCATCGTTGTTAATGATCCGTATCACCAAAGTCCTTCATCCAATACTCACCGAAATGGCATCTTTGTGATGTGGGAAAACAGCAAGATGCTTATTATCCTTTACAGACCAGATGTTGATCTTCTTATCCCGTCCACCGCTAGCAAGATATTCGCCATTTGAGCTGATAGCCAATGCAAAAACGTGATCTGTGTGGCCTTCAAATTCTTTGGCACTCTTTTGACCACCTGGGAAAACATGTAACTTTTCAAGCGTCTTTGCGTCCCCTAATGAAATACAATAAGCGTCTCGCATTCTTCCATCTTTTCGAGAGTATCTTACATTTGATAATTGAACAATCCTTTGACGCAGTGTAAAAAACAGATCCATTCTCGGCTAATGCAACGGCAGTGATCGAAAGCTGATGTCCACGTCGACTTTGAATCTTTTCCTCATCAATGGCTGCAAAATCAAACTGGAATATAGGAATTGCGTCAGGATGCATGGTCGTATACATGTGTGTGTATGTTTGTATCTTACCTTGTCGGCTACTCTTCGATGCATTCGACCAGCAATCTCATCCTGTAAATGAACGTTGTCAGCACTCTTTGCATATACACACACATCACTCATCACTCTTTATAACCATACCTCATCCTTCTTAAGACGCTCTGAAATCAAATCTCGATCCAAATCAGCCGCATCAAAACCATCGAGTTCCTCTGTTGATGAATACATGGTTAAGACTCTATGAAATGATCCGTTGTTGTCATGCTCCTTTCTCACCTTCGAGACCAGTTTGGATCTTATCCAGGTACGCTTTGGCCAAACGAACACGTTTCTCGGCTGCGGTTTCCTCGATTTCCTCTTCAGAGGATTCGTCCTCGCTTGCACTCAAGTTCTCGAATCGATCGGATTCATCGCCACTCTCGACATCGCTGTCTTTGCGAGGTGCTGGTGCTGATTTGTTGTTATCTGTGGGCCGAGAACGTCTTGTGGGCTTATTTGTTGAATCGGACGATTTAGCTGGACCGGTGCGTTTACGTTTCCGGGATGAGACAAAGAAAGAATCCTGCATGTCAATCGTAGAGTAAAAAGAGAAAGGGAACGGGCGGCGGTGCAACCAAAAAATGAAAATGGAAATGGGCAACAAAAGCCACTCACTGCTGGGTCGTCGTCGGATAAAGCATAGGTAAATTCCACTCCCGAAAGATGCGCCTATGCAGGACATCCCTCACCTTATCCTATTAGATGACACACAACACATTTGCTGATAAGGCCATTTGCTATACTCTTTTGACATTATTGCAACACAATGATAGTAATCGCTCAAGATTAACCAAAGATAGCAATCCCATACGATATCCCAGGATCAAGCGCAGCTTCATTGTTGCCGTTGTTGTTGGCTTATCTACATAATAGGTAATGCGAAAATAGTTATCATTGTGTCTCTTATCAAGGCCATACGTGACATCGGGAAAGCCTTTCCAACGATTCTATCTATACCACTAGATCATAGTATACAACTTTGAGTTGATGGATCTCACAAAGGAATAAATTCTATCTTGTTGCATGAGTTCTTCCAGCGTCATATAACAATAATGTCCCTCCAGTTATAAAGCATTGATGCAAAACCAAAAAAGGATACAGCGGCAGGTAAATGCAACCTGCCAATGTTGAATGACATCCTTATCTCTTGCCCTTTGCTTATCAGTAAGCAGTGATTGGCATTTCATATAACAAGCGTTCCCTCCCCTGCAGCTTTCTTCCATACCAACTTGCTCTTTTCCACTAAACTTGGCCTTTCACCACAACACTCCTATTTTGATCCTCTTTTAAACATTGTCACATCTTTCCCTTTTACAACAACTAGTTTTATGGATCCATCATCTTCTGTTTATGGCTCCGAATTCAGTGCTGGAGATATTAGCTTTGTGCTAACATCCATGGCATTGGTGTGGCTCATGATCCCTGGCATCGGCTACTTTTATAGTGGCATGGCACGTTCCAAGAACGCCTTATCACTCATTATGTGTTGTGTGCTATCGTTAGTAGTGGTAACGCTCCAGGTGAGAACAAAACCATCACTATGATCCATCATCATCTCATCATCCTTTTTTATTATTATAGTGGTTTATATGGGGATACAGTCTCACTTTCAGCAAGACGGCTAGCTCTTCATTCCTTGGGAATATGGATTATGCGCTTTTCCGTAACGTACTAGGCTCAGCCTCCATGGGCAGTGACAAGATCCCCGATATTGTCTTTGCACTTTACCAAAACATGTTTGCGGCCTTGACACCAGCATTGGCTATTGGCTCTGCTGCTGAGCGTGGAAGATTACTTCCCATGATCATCTTCATATTTATTTGGTCAACCGTTGTTTACGACCCTATTGCCTATTGGACATGGAACGCCAATGGATGGAGTGCACAACTTGGTGGGCTTGATTTTGCAGGTGGCACACCCGTGCATATTTCAAGTGGATTCGCTAGCCTTGCGTACGCCATCATTTTGGGCAAACGTCAAGGCCATGGCAGTATCACCCAAGTTGATGAATTTAAACCACACAACATGTCCAATGTAGTCCTCGGTACAGCATTCCTTTGGTTTGGCTGGTTCGGCTTTAACGGTGGTTCAGCACTCTCGGGCAATTTACGTGCGGCTATGGCATGTGTAGTAACCAACTTGGCGGCTGCTACAGGTGCTATCACATGGCTACTATTGGATTATCGGATCACAAAAAAGTATTCAGCCTTGGGATTTTGCTCTGGTGCTATCGCTGGTCTTGTTGCTATCACCCCAGCATCAGGATTCGTAGGTCCTGGCCCTGCTATTGCTATTGGATTCTTAGGTGGCCTATGCTGCAACCTTGCTGTGCGTCTTAAGCACATGCTCAACTTTGATGATGCTGCTGATGTCTTCGCCGTTCATGGTGTAGGTGGTTTTGTGGGTGGATTACTCACAGGCTTGTTTGCTGAAAGCTATGTCGCTGGTCTTGATGGCTCAACGGTCATTGATGGGGGATGGATGAATCATCATTGGATACAACTTGCATATCAATTAGCGGATTGCTCAGCAGGTGCTGCATGGTCCTTTGGTATCACTTACATCATCCTTTTTACTATGGACCATATCCCAGGCTTATCTTTGCGAGTTGATCCTGAAGTTGAACTACAAGGCTTGGATACCGCTGAAATCGGTGAAATGGCATATTATCATGTCGACAAGGTTGTCACTGTCAATCCTACAAGCGGTGAAGAACGCATCGTTTCGGAACAGATAAGAGAAATCTCACAACAACAGCTACGGGATTCACTCTCTTCTGAGAAATAGCTTATATATACATTATTGAATGTTCCCCTCCCTTCTTAACAATACGTATGATACAATGATACTCCCCATTAATACATAAACCTGCCATTATCTTATTGTATGTGGGCGTGAAGGTATAATGGATGGCGTTTTTAGATACCAATGCCTTAGCAAGCGAATGACAAAATCAATGGTTCATTGACGGGTTGTTATTTACATGATCATCACGATGTTTTGGACCTAGCAAACTATCATCTAACGTAAAGTCGTGTCGACATCTAATAACATAGATTCAGGATACCCGAGGCAAGCGAGCTGCTGATTACTTGTCATAGCTTGCTGATAAATCCTCTCCAATGGCGGTTGACTTGGGCGTTCTTGCAGTACTACACAAAGCATATTATGAGTCCTCTCTTCTACCTTCGGTGAAACCTTTTTTCCCCTTTTACCTAGCATCGCTGAATTCAGTCGATTCGCAAGTTCTTGCCGACCCGAATTATCCATCAAATATGCCATGGGACTTGTTGCTGGATCAGAGTATGCAAATAATGAAAACACTTCCTATTATCTCGCCATGAGCAACAAGATCCGTCACCTTTAATGTAGTGTTACCTTTAGTCGTTGACGTATTTCAGGTCGCTGATCAGAATGGTATTCGTTTTGTAATGCCTTGCCATAAGCCATGATATCTTCCAGCATTGTTTCACTTGCTTCGTCATCCGATAAGACCAATCCACTATCCATGAAGCCATTCGCTCTGCCATTTGTATTGCTAACACCTGACGTATCTCGCACTCGTTTTGAGGTTGATGGGTCGCGATCATTGCTATCGATATCCATGTACTCAGGTTGTGATTTGCCGGTGTGAACATGCTTCTGCACTGTTGATCTTGATTTCACGTGACCATTGTTCCTTTGTGGCACCTTTTCCCTTCTCGCATGTCGTTTGCTGTATTCACGCATCATCTCCACAAGCTTGCGACATTTGAGCTCAAACAAGATATTTTGACCATCAGCCATATCCTCCAGAGTATGAGAAAAGTGTTCTTGTACCAACTCGAGAGCACGATCCACGTTGCCAGCCAAAACAGCAGCTCGTATACCTGCATAGGATCACGCACTTTTGTAAGTATAATGGCAACCTTATCCGTAGTGGTGCTGGTGGTGATGACTCACTTTGTCGTGCATACATATCCTTTTCTTCTCGATCGTTTGGCTCTGATCCTGCGTGTGAGAGGCGTAACGTGCGACTAGTAACATGCTCAATGTTTTTGATCGCTGCCTGAGCTGTTCTCATATAGCCTTGATAGACCAAGTAGGATAATACAAGCTGATCCATGGCACCATTAGCAGCTGTATGAGGCCTCGTTGTCACTTGTTTCATGATGTTGAGTTTTTGCTCCTATGTCATTTCTTCATCAGCTACATGTAGATGCTCATCATGTTTGTTTGTATCATTTACCTTGATATATTGCACAATGTCAAACACAAAAGGATTCTGACCAAAGTTGACGGATACACGTTCACCCACAGTTCTTAGACCAACACACGGGTAAAGATCCATATGCGTTTTGATGGACTTGAAGGCAGGGCCGAGAAAAGTGCCATTCTTGGTATAAAAAGCGGTCTTGTGAATCAAGTCAACACCACATCCAACTACGTCGCCAGTAGTAAATTGAGGACCATACTTGTCGCCTGTACCACATTCTTGGAAAGAATGACCATCATCACCATGATATCCCCATGAATCATTGTCCCATCCTTCCATATGGATTGATATTAATATTCTTCTTTGTTCTCTCACACCCTCTTCAAGGACGTTACCTGGCAATCGATCCAATCCATTTTTACCACTGCAAAACCCAATGCCGATAAATCCATCCTCGCCTTTGGAAAGCACCTTCATCTCAAAGTAGTATATGCCACATTGTCGTCTTATCGGGAAGTTGGCACGAACCGAAGCCGCATGTGATTCTGTTTTGCCTGGCCCTATTGTATGCCCATCAAGTTAGACCCTTTCTATATGTAGAAAGATATCAGTACTCACCAGTATACATTAATTCAAGACCTGTAGGGTCGATTTCGAGATGGCGAGACTTATCATGGATGTTCCACTCGGATGGCAACCGTAGCTCAAGATTGTCGAGTGAACTGGAGCCTGATCCCTCACCAGATCGAGCTTGGCGATTACGATGCTGTTCTCTCACAAGGTCTGCGTAGAGAGTATGTTCCAAATAAGAAGGAAAGCGAGGTGGCGCGCTCGTGTAAAGACTGGTTGCAGTGGTGGTAGTACTGGTGCATCGTCGTTTGGCACTATTCACTTTCTGCAAGGGAGATAATGGAGCGTGGGATTGTCTTCGAAACGACATTGATCGTGCAATGGACGATTGAGCGTGTGTGTGTCGATGGCGATACAGTGTCTTGTGGACCCAAAGGGAAGAAAGAAAGGTGAAATGCAAGAGCTGCTGACCCCCACCAAGGCTATTTGTGAATCGTCATTGTGTTACCTTGCGCCGTTTTGCAGGAATCACTATGCTGTTGTTGCCACTTGCACTCCCTTTGTATACAACATCACCCATACTTATGCAGCCTATCTCTTCCACTCATAATAAACGTAATTCAAATTATACAAGCGTCTTGTTGTTGATGGTTCTATTTGTCATGGATGCGTGTATAACGGTTGCATAAATCCTCAGATGGCCTAGTCAGTCGGAGCATCCCCAGCTGTCCATGCGATTGGACGCCATCACCCCCCGAGTTCGCATCAACGACCTCGTGTGAAAAGTGCTACTCGCAATAATCTACGTAATGGGAAGCACTTGTAAACACTATAATGTAGGTAATAAAGAAGAAGAAGATGATGATGATGATAGCTCTCTTAATGAAGATGGTTGAGTAGATGCTTGTTGTAATGGTTACCTCCAACGATCGATTCTTCCTCATGCTACTAAAGTTTTAGGGAGGGTCAGCTGTCATGCATGGGTTGCATCCGACTTTTGTTCTTTCATCTCTATTCAAGTCGTTATCATGTACACAAGCATCCCGTCACCTTTGGGCGATGATGATGGAATGGCCTTACAAAGACACCTTTTTTCACTACCACTTTTACGCCGTCATTCCACTTTAGTTGTTTGCTCATTTATCTCATCTCAATACAAGTTCGCATGCGAAAATCACCTATCCTTTTGCTTATGAAGTGATTATTAATAAAAGTAGAGTGTCCTAGATGATTGAAAATCTGCCTTTTAAGATATATCGGTGACCTTCGGAACCACCAGATTGATGAAAATCGGGTGAGAAAGCGCTCCACGTGAGAATGATACCATAGGTAGTCTCAATCTCGAGATTTGCTTTAGGCCCCAACCGAGACATAGATCACATTGGATAGTGTAGTTTTCAGGCACAGTCATCGACACCTTGATGCTATAGTGTAGCAGCAAGATTCATTTTCAAAGCAAACACGCGTGTAAGCACGTGATCAGCGAAGCGGAAGAGCTATTGCTCATGGTGATAAGCCTTTAGCTAATGATGATGAACTTTTGTTGTGGCCCCAGAATGATCTTTTAAGCACATGCCCATTATCATTTTTACGTCCCTCGATAAGGCGGTGTCAGCTTGCTAACCCAAAAACAACCGCCTACACTTTATCTTCTATCTCATTGCACTTGCAGCTTGTAAACTTTTTCGATTAATGTCCTATGGTATAGTACATGTCAACCCAATTTTCATCACATAGGTTGATTATCTTTGAAACCGTTTACTCGATCAATACATATGCAATTATGATATGGGTGATTCATGATATGTACCTCCTCTTCATCCTCCTTTAACATTAGTTTTTGACAATGATGCATGCATACAACGTGCCCTGTGGCTCTTTCAGGAACTAACAAAAGCACGAAAAACTGCACATCTATAACGATTCCCTTTCATGTTGAATAATAAATCGTACAGAAACAAGGAGAGTGTAGCATTAAATGTGATTCCCAAGTGAAGAATCGAGTTCACAACAGTCGCTGCAGCTATTAGGCGGGAGGTGGTACGCATTTGGGGGTGGGGAAAGAGAATGAACGAGGTAGCGAATGAGAATAAGGAGGAAAATGCCCTTTAGCCCTCCCTCCCCTTTACCTCTGCTGTCTCAAAACCTATAGTCGTGTTATTCGGTCACTCCCTAGATCATAAAATTCACGCCTTCTTTATACTTTGGGCTACTCTGCAACAGCTAAAGCATCTCTCCTCCAAACACACACTCTTTTTCTTAGTGATTTCATCTTTTGAGTTTCTCTTTTTTTCCCTTTTCCTTATTACTGTACAAGTATCCCATGATCTAATATTCTTCCAACAATGCGGATAATACGATTCATCAACACGGTGCGCTTCTTTGTTTTCCTCGTTAGCGTTTGTGCGCTCGGCTGTCATGTTGTTCAGTGTGCTTTGCTAGGGATCTATCAAGATCAGGTACTACTATAATCATCATTGGATATTAAGCAGCTATAAACTGAATCATCAATGCATGATTTATAGGCAAAGATACCAAGTTGGATGGAAGCTGGGCATTGGCAGGTATGAATGAAAGGGTAACGAATACAAAGATGATGATAGCTAACGTTCATTTAGTATCTTTCATGGTACATTGTGTTGAGCCTGTCAACGATCAGCGGGGTTGCCATATGCGCACACGCCTTTTGCTTCAAACGATCGCATGTCGTACGTGGAGACCGATTCTTGAGCATCCTCAATGCCATTCCCTTGCTCATTTCCTTGTTGACGGCATTCTTCCTTGAAGATCCTGAGCCATGGGCTGCAGGCAGCGTCCATTTCACACGTTCTTCCACTGGATTTCTCGCTTCATGCTCTGTGTTTGACAGTAATGAGCAGCCGCTGTTATACCAAAGGTAAGATATGAAGCCACATTGGCAAGTAGAGTCGCGTTAAATAACGTATATGTTAGATGTATGTTGGCAGATGGTACATGGCTTGCGGCAGCAGTTGCATGTCTTCTTTGGCTACTTTTGGCGTGCCTGGCGATGTCTACAAGATCATCCTCTTCAGCCGTTGTGGCCATTGAACCCGCCAAGGAACCCAAATGGGGTCGCTATATTCCCGAACGACCAGCATCACTTCAATCTGTCAACTTGCAAATTGTTCCACCACCGCCACCACACCATTTGAGACATTCCGTCGTATACAACACCTACGTACCACGATCAGATGTATCATTTGACAGCCAAGCATCAACGGCTACCTACGATAACAAGCGAAGTTCTTGGTATTACAATGATGACTACTACTATACTCCATCATCACCACCCCCTGCTTCTGCACCACCCTTCATGAGCAGCTTTGATCATCGATACCCAACAACGCCATCTTATCACAAACCACCTGTTGTTCCTTTACTGCCCATGGTGCCACAAATGGATAGTATCGAATTGTTTGGAGGCACACCACCACCTGCTACGGCGTCTCCAATGGCAACAACAACCGTTGCTAGTGAAAAGGAATACGATCAATTCCACCACCACCACCACCACCACCATGGAATGTCTTCAATATCATCACCTCCCATTGAACGTGAATCCCAGCATGATTTGGTCATGTCTCCATTGGATTACAATAATAGTAGACATCAACATCCATATGATCGATCCTCCTTTGCAGCACAATCAATTTCATCCGCTGGTGCCGCTTACACGAGCAGCAAGGTGGAACTCGTTGAAGACCTTGTGCCATCATCTTCTCCAACCTATAACGATCATCAGCACTTTAACCATGAGCAACAGCATTACAACAATGACCCTCGTGATAATGATCCTTCTTCAATGATGAATTCCCTCCATGCTCCCTTTGTAGACCCTGCATCCCAACAGAAACCACAACAATACTAGCCTTGTATCTACACACAATCAATCCACATGCTTCGAATGATGGGGCAATTTAATTTTATCTTCTTTCTTCTCGTTTCTTCGTATTAATAAATAACAACACCAATGTGTCTTGGGGTATAAACAATTACTCGATTCATGACATGCTGCAGAAAAAAAGTTGACAAGGGGGGGGGTTGCAGGAGAGGAGGAGGATTTGAATCTGGCATCCGAAAGAAAAGGAAAAGGAGGTGTTCTTTGCTGCTGTGTTGTTGTTGATTGATTAGGACAAGCAGCTGCATTGCCCATCCATACAAAATCCTAGTAGGTTTGGTGACATTTCTTGACAATACGCATCGCAGCTTTCATGGTCATCGTCTTCGCATATATCCAAGCCGACATCATCCGTGCAGTAACAAGTACGATAGATGCAAATGCCATTATTGTCGCTATCCATCATTGAACATGCCGAGGAACACGCGGATGAATCACCTTGTATGTCGCACAGACCCGTGTCTTTTAATTCCAGTACAGCTGCTGCCATTGTAATGAGTGTGAAAAAGAACGTGAAGAGGATGTTGGCGTGAAACATTGGGTAAGGATGGGATAAAGAGTGTAAGAAGAAATACGGGGACAAAGAATTCGCACAAAGACACACGCACATATATATACCTTTTTTCATTATATCCATCAACACGCACTATGCTGCATGTGTCGCTGTTCCACACACATAATATACACACCCCACTCTCTCTCTCCGAAAAGTCACTTTACCCCCCTTGGAACGTTCCATGCTCCTTGCCACTCACACACTAATTGCTCAAGTTTGGATTCAGGCAACACGCAATTAACCTTTTAGTGTTGTGTCTTTTTCCCTTTATTCTGACATTTCTATGACAACTATCTTGTTATATTACTTGTTTTGGGTTGTTAATCGTCGGTACACATCTTGCAGCTCTTCATCAAGATTGATCCTGTTTTTCCTTACAGAAGCCGGGCACATGACATTATAACTTCGTACCTGTTGATTGACTTTTTCAAATAGCTTCTCAAAGTAGTCACCATGCTGCTGCTGCCAATCTCTAAATACCCGTGATGCCGTACTTGAAATACCACCACCGCCATCATCCATCATGCATAATTCCAAAGATCGTTCAAGAGATGTGCGTAATTGAGTGATCTCGGTATCTACTTCCTGCTGCATCATAATCCAAGGTGCTGCTGCTCCTTGACGTTGTACAATACGATTCAAGAAATACTCGGTACGATCGACAAATGGATTGCTCTCATGGATATCAACAGGGATCGGTTTTCCTCTTCCCGCCAAATTATCGAAATGACCCTTGGCTTTGGCTTCTCGTATCCGCTCTTCAGCCAATGACGCAATCTCTGCTATACTTCGAGGTCGTTCTTGTTCATGCTCTTCCTCCCTCTTCTCCTTTTCTTGCTTTGTTGATGGATACTTTCTCTCCATGGAATAATCAAATGCAGCATCTCGAGCACTCATAATCCGCTTTTGCTTCTTGGATCGAGCCAACTTGTCACGCAATACAGCCTTTTCACCAGAAGATGTCTCCTGCTTGTCATCGTCGTATAAACCTTGTACTTGAGATGGATGCACTTGTGGCTGTGGTAAATGCCTTCTTGCAGCTCCTTCCACTCGTAACGGCTTGTTGTATTTATCCATAATCATACGAAGCACCGAGTCTGCCACTGATTCATCGCCATCCCATGGCTTCTCTTGTTGCGATTGTTGCTGTTGTTGCTTCCGTTGTTGCTTCGTCAACTTGTTCAAGTGATCCTCGTCTGGATCAGGGTGGAAAATGTTGCGTGTGGCTAATGACCGAATCCCCAATCGACAGGTACAAGTGCGAGTGATCGTCGAACGATAGAGTGCCATGGATAGCAAGGTAAAGGTGCAAGAAGAGGTAAGAAAGGTGATGTGTTACTGAAAGATAAAGGATAACCAATCGAGTAGCTGCATTCGATATCGCATTGACAGGCCTTTACGTCCCGACATTGCCAATAAGAGCATCTCCCAGTCGACTATTAAGGTATCTTTGTAGGCGTCCTATAGGGCATTGTTATGGATCACCTGGTGCAAGGAAACTTCAAACTACAAGTGACTGAGGCAAAAAGGTATGTGTAAGAGCATCTCCAATGGTTGGGCCTATAGCCTAAATTGCCCCATATTCCCTCTGCCTAGCAACATTAGAGCTCTATGATACTACCGTTACTTGCTAGTTGATAGCCCATTCATGAAATAAATGATTCTGCTAGTTCTTTAAAGTATGCATGGAATTGAGTTACACGGTGATAATTGTTAAGGAGTCAACACAACATTGGGCTCAAAGGGTGGGTTGTTGCCAAGAAACAAAAGCGATTACGTTCACTGAAACGCTGTCCAGCATCATGTCATTTATACAATATTCCAGGGGTTCCTCAATACCTTTAATCGTATGACCTTCAACATTCCACTAATTAGACTACAGCTTAATATCCACAACAGCATTGTAATCATCGTATCCATGGTAACCAGCAGGAGCGTATTGGCATGATCAACGGACATCAGCAAGATTCCTAAAGCGGATGTGGGGAGAGGGTTGCAATGCACCACTGTTCAATTTGTTTCGCCAGCTTTTCTTTATTCTCAGTGTCCAATATACCTAACAATGTTGCCGATCGCTTCATACGAGAGCAGCAGCGATTCTGAGAGCGAGGATGACGTCCATGGATCACGGTAAATGCAACCTTGAAGGCGACATTGGAACGATCGATCAGCGCTAAGGATAGCTTACATTGTAGATCAACTGCTATGCCCACCCTACCGAGCTTCTTGTCCTCAAGTATAGTATCGAAGAGCTTGCACATGCAAGGATTTCATATACTGAATACGAGTTCTATACATCTGGTAGCGAGTAGCCCACGTGATGATCCAATCGAGCATCGAGGACGAGTAAGGAAGCAGCCACATATGGAAAACAGTTGGGCGACCTATGTCTACTTGGAAGGTATGTTCATCTATTGGGAATGTCTGGTACATGATAGGGGAAATAGGAGGGGGGGGAGATGTTTATCCATAAGCTGTGAGGAAAGGAGCAAAGTGCTTATTTGGAATTATAGTGCCAGTGAATGACGAGATCCAACGAATCATTGACCATATCACCCACTACGACAATGTCCATCCTATCATTGACGAGGAAGAAAAAAGGCTGCATATCAGCTTAAGCCGCTGTATCTATCTCAAGCATCATCAATTGGAGCCTTTTGTGCAATCAATACGAGACCACGTGAATAGCCCAAAGTAAGTGGAATGTGGATTGGTATATATATATATGGTCAAGTGCCGATCTATATGCTTAATACTTATACATCCCCCTCTTGTATCTAATCTTCACTAGCATGACATTAGCATTTGCCCTGATTTCAATTCTGACCAATGATGAGAGGACAAGATCATTTATCACAGCCGAAGTGGGAGCAGGTTATGATAAGGTGAGTAAAATGGCGCCCGCCACATGCAAGCGGCGATAGAATCCACAACCCAATGTGCAGGGTCTCATTTTTAAAATAACCATTGGTTGTACCAGCTCATTGACATCCTCGGATATGTGGACTCGGTCATGAACATCTTCCGGCAACCCGTATTCTACAAGGTATTACGCGATAGTGTATTGGGGGGAGAGGAGGTTCATGGGGGGTGGGGTTTGTATGTATGCATGCAGGAACTGATTGGCAATGCAATGTTAGCCCCCACGTTTCCATGCAAGTATTGCTTGGGCACTAAAACCTGAGCCATTGGAAAAAGCGATCGGAACAATCCCGGAAGATTTTGTAGATGATTTAACCGAGATTACGTTTACAATAGCGAGCATGGTTGTAAAAATGGGCAATCGCATTGTTCGAATTCCACTCAACAAAGATGTTTGACCTTTTTTTGTTCATTCAACGTTGCATTACCTTTTTTATCACATGTGGAATGTTATGCTGGGAACGAAAGGCTATTTCTCTCTTCATCGCTCTCTCACTCTTTTTCTTGTGTGAGCGGCTAGCTGAATGAAAATAGATAGGATCGGATTGAGCCACCCGTCAAATGATGCTTCGGATCTTGGCTTGTATACACAAATACATACATTACGTCTTTGATGCAAATGTGACTGATTGCAGATGGCGTGTAATGCATCATCATTATCCCAGGTACACATACACACACACACATAAACATATATAGCGTGAATGGCAGGAGCAACAATGTTTTAAGGGGGGTTAATGAGCGGTGGGATATTAGTTACTTTTAAATGCCAGCTTTCTGAAACTGATGAAACAGAATAAATGATCGTCATCCACCGCAGAATGATGAAGCGTGTCTTTATTTCATGTACAGCAATAATAACAATCGGGAAGACATCTTGCAGCGGATGTTGCCAAGTAGGGCAAATGATCCAAAACGACAAACAAGACCAAAAATAGCTGTGCAATTGTTACACAAACTGCTGCTGGGTGGCAATTCATTTTTTGTGTGTCCCAAGGAGCCAGTCCAAAAGGTACCTAATTTCTTATAGCGAATTACAGCCCCGTTTCAGCACTTGCTTCTCGGTTCTAGTCCTTTTTTTGCTATTCCCTTTCTTTTCCGTACTTGTCGGTAGCCCTTCTCTTTCCTCTCATTGCCCTTGCAATGTCGAATCCACATCGCAGTAGCTCGGGCTATGGATTCCCTCCTACTCGAGGCTACTCCAATGACCCACGCATGTCGCAACAACAACAACACGATCCGCGTATGTCCCGTCAAAGCAGCTATCAGCAGCAGCAATACTATCAACCTCAAATGCGCCAGTCTGGTTATTATTCAATGACTCCTGGTAACAATACACCACCTCGACCACCAGCACATCGTCAACATCATACACCATCACCCCAATATCAACAGCAACAATACCGTGCTATGGAAGAATCTCGTCGATCCTATGATCAACACCATCAACATCATCAACATCGATCACAACAACAACATCGGATACCTCCAGGGCAAGGACAACATGGTAGACCTATGCATGGACAACGACCACCACAAGCACAATACAATGCAGGCAACAACATGGCATATCGTCAAGGTAGCGTGAGCCGCTCCAGATCACTTTCTCGTCCCGAACGCCAACGACCACGCCAAGGCATGTTAAATCGTACACCATCTCAGCACCGTGCTGCTGCAGGCGTACATCTTGCTCCTGGTGCTGCTAATCCACAAGCTGCACGTCAACCAATGTCTCCAGCTCAGCTGCAGCAACAAAAGTTACAACAACAACGTGCTGCTGGTTTGACAGCAGGTGGTATGGGTGCTGCTGCTGCTGCTGCTAGTGGTAGTGCCATGCATATGCAATCACAACAACCACCTCTTCCACCACCCAAAGATGATGATGAAGAAGAAGATAAACCTCCTGTACGAACTACCCTTTGGGGATGGGTTGCTTTCCTTGTCACTTGCTGCTATCCACCAGTATTCATTCGTGTCGTCTTTCGTAAAGAAAATGCTCTCATGCAACAAGCTTGGCGTGAAAAGGTAACATGGCAAATCTCCTACTTTTCATTCCTTCATTTATTAATCACTTTGATATAGGTTGCTCTTTTCTACATTATCTTGATTCTATGCGGTGCCCTCACATATATCACCGTTGGCTTGGCAAAGACGCTTTGTCCAGACTCTGTACAAGGTTTCCCTTACTCGGCAGATGTGGATGGTGAACGTCTACCTGTTTATCGTGAAAATCCTCGTGTCTTTGGTGATATCTACGACATGGACAAGTTGAAGGATTTCTTTTCAAGCAAAGGTCTCAATTTGACAAATGACTATCAAAACATGGATATCGGTGGTATGTTTGATGGTGACACCAAAGGCGCATGCACCACGTTTGATCAAGGAAGTGTCAAAACCCTTAGCAATTGCAAAGTGGATAGTCCTTATGGTAAGCTCGCATACAAACAACATGCTTGAATCCTATAACTGATAAACGATTCTATTAGGTGGATCCATTAGCAATGACGATGGCAGCTGTTTATCACTTGCAGAATTGGAATCCTTCACCTCAAAGATCGGATCGGTAGCTTTTGACTGGATTGACTTGCGACCCGGTGGTGCTGATGATTTAGGTGCCACTGACTTGGTGGTGGTCGGCGATAGTGGTAAGTTTTTTCCCGCCTCCTTTTTCATGTTTGCCCCCGATTGTTATCATGAATGCACACACACATACACAATGCATGCCTATGTCTGACAACATCAATATTTATATGCAGTGCTCAACCTTACCAACTACATTGGTGCCAACCAAAAGTTTTTCGGCGACACAGTGGATACGGCTTTACTCAACACGCGTGGCAATGATGCATCGTACGCTGTTTTGGCAAGCGCTGGCAAAAAGACACGAGATTGCCTTATTGCACGCTATCGAGCTGGCATGATGGAAACTGAAACGGGTGGATGTATTGCCAACAACATTGTTATGAACATCATGTTTGCAGTCATCATTGCTATTATTGTGGTGCGTTATTCAATGGCATTGCTATTCCAATGGGTGATTGCTAAGCGGCTCGTGAAACCTGGTGGTCGATCCAATTGGCTCGCTTGGCGTTCTATCAAAGGAGGCAACGATGACCCTGCCAACCATATCCCAGGTCCCTATAACAACTATGGCCCTATGAATATGGCTGCACGTGGTTCTTCATCTTCGGTTAGCTCAGGCACAGTTTCTTCTCGAGGAGGTGCTGCAAGTAGCGGGAGCGAACAAAACTCTGCCGTTGAAATTAGCGGCACCCAGTCCGATATCGTGTCCACTGAATTGTACACCATCATGTTAGTCACCTGCTATTCGGAAGGCGAAGATGGTTTACGCACCACAATGGATAGCTTGGCTGAAACTACCTATTCCAAAAAACACAAGGTAACTAAAAAGGATAATAATAGCATATGCAATGTCTCATTCTTTTTTTATTTGGTAGTGCTTTTTTATCATTTGTGATGGCATGATCACGGGTGCTGGTGAAAGCAAATCGACTCCTGATATTGTCGTAAGCATGATGGATCTCGACCCTACTATGAGCAACCCCAAAAAATGTACCTACCTTGCTATTGCCGATGGTGAAAAACAGCTCAACATGGCCAAAGTGGTATGTGTCGCGGTCTTTGTCTTCCGAGAAACAACCTTGTGTCTTAACCTTATAGCACCATGTACATAGTATGCAGGTCATTACAAGGGCACACCTTGTGTCACCATTGTAAAGTGTGGTACAGAGGAAGAGGAACAATCTAGTCCTAAACCCGGCAACCGAGGTAAACGTGACTCGCAGGTAAATATATGCAACAAGGCGTGCGCGCAATGACGATCATCTGTGCGAGGGCGTACACAAAAGCATTCATCCATCTAATCTGTACGACATTACTATTGCATTGCAGCTTATTCTCATGTCATTTTTTCAACGCGTCTTGTTCAATGATCGACTTTCGGAGCTCGATTATGAGATATTCTGGAAAACTACTTGGTTGATGAAGGGAGTGACTCCTGACAAGTTCGAATTGGTACTCATGGTATGTGCGCAACGACATCACATAATGTGCTTTTGCATTAATGCATAATGTATGCATAGGTGGATGCTGATACAAAAGTATTGCCGGATGCATTAACCTACATGGTTGCAGCAATGGCCAATGACATCACCATTATGGGTCTTTGTGGCGAAACTCGTATTGCAAACAAACGTGCATCATGTAAGTTCCTATTTATTGAATGCATTTATAGATCCATGCTAACGACGCTTATCTTCAGGGGTAACGGCTATCCAGGTGTTTGAATACTACATTTCCCATCACTATGCCAAAGCATTCGAATCTCTCTTTGGTATCGTCACATGTCTTCCAGGCTGTTTCAGTATGTTCCGCGTCAAGGCTCCTAAGAATGGCGCGTGGGTTCCATTGCTTGCCAATCCTGATATTATCCTCGAATACAATCAAAACGTCGTCAACACCCTTCACGAGAAGAACTTGTTGTTGCTTGGCGAAGATCGTTTCTTATCCACGCTCATGTTACGCACTTTCCCCAAGCGCCAAATGATGTTTGTTCCCCAAGCTCGTTGTCGAACCATTGTGCCTGACGAATTCAAGGTGTTGTTATCGCAACGTCGTCGATGGATTAATTCAACGGTCCACAACCTTATGGAATTGATTCTCGTATCGGACTTGTGTGGTATTGCATGCTTGTCAATGCAATTCTCCGTCTTTGTCGATTTGGTTGCTGCACTTGTACTTCCCGCTGCTATTTGTTTGACGATTTACTTGATCATCAGCTCTGCTATTTCATCCAATCCTCAATGGCAATCTCTCGCTCTTTTGATCGCTATTTTGTTCTTGCCCGGTATCCTTATTGGTATCACGACGTTCAAGCTTGTTTATATTTGTTGGATGATTAGTAAGTTTCTTTATTCTGGTATCAGCAAAGCACAACGTGGACAAGATGACTTACATGATTCGCATAGTTTACATCATTGCATTACCGATTTGGAACTTTGTTTTGCCCCTGTACTCATTCTGGCACTTTGACGATTTCTCATGGGGTGCTACTCGTATGGTAGCTGGTGAAAAGAAGGATAAGGGCCATGGTGATAGTGAAGGTCGATTTGACTCTTCTCGCTTGGTGATGAAGAAATGGGAAGATTGGGAAGCTGAACGTACAGGTCAACGTATCACTCGAAACCGATTTACATTGAAAACACCATTGGATCCTCCTCCAGCATTTGACGGCAAATCTTCAGTGACACCTGTAACACCAACATTTGGCAGCATTTTCAATGACCGCAAAATGTTCAATTCATCCACATCACTTGCAAGCATGAGTGGCATGGCAACGCCTACACGTACACCTACTCCTCCTCTTCCACCACCACCACCACCACCACCACCATCGTCAGGACGATAAATCTATTAATCCTTTTTCTCCTTTTCTTCCCTTCCCCATTTGTGCACAAATCATCTCACTGAAACATACTTTCATTTTTTCTCTCTGTTCTCACCATTCACACACTCACACCTTATCTTTTTTCCCGCCATACCCACATGGGAACCCTTATCATTAGAACACTTGTAAGATAAAACGTAATTTCAACCAAAAGTATAGCTGACTGATAGATGATTTGTGGGGGGATACAAAATGTCAAATTACTCCTAATTGGAGGCCCAAGCGCAGACGCACGTGTCGACGGGGGTCTTGGCAATTCACGCATGAAAGCTGTTTGTACTCCCATTTGTTTATTCTAGTTTAACACACAAACGTCCTCTCACACACACACGCTTATCCTTTTTTTCTTCTTTTTATCCCCATCTTTTTATGACGCACTCGGCCACACGCCTTATCGCACTACGCTCGTTGTTCTTATCTATAGTCTCACTGGCGACCCATATCCACGGCTATCCAACGACACCTCCCTCCATTGCTGAAGTGTCCACCGAAGCACCCAATGTCGATTACGGATCGCCAGAATTCTATGAACGCGTGGTCGCCATTAGCGTGCTGGTAGTGCTTGGTGGTGTCTTTGCTGGTACTTTTTGTTGCTACTCGAATGAAGAGATATGTATATGTGAATTTGACATGTTGTTGTATCGTATGCAGGACTCACCCTTGGGTTGATGGGTCTGGATGAAACCAACTTGCATGTCCTGATTGCTTCGGGTACACCGGCTGAAAGAAAGAATGCTGAAAAGGTGCTCGCGTTACTGGATCGAGGCAAGCATTGGGTCCTGGTGACCTTGTTGCTATCCAACGTCGTCGTGAACGAAACATTGCCCATTATCTTGGATGGTGTCCTTGGTGGAGGATGGAAAGCCATTGTCATATCAACAGCTCTCATTGTTATTTTCGGCGAGTAAGGGGCTCTTCTTTATTACAAGCATTTGAAATAAGATCAAGACTACTAACCCAACACCCTTATTACTCCTTTTTCCTCTGCCGCAGGGTCATTCCTCAATGTAAGCATTGTACAGCAGCAAAAAGTGATAGGATGAACTATGCTAACAACTTACCTACCATCCAGCCATTTGTGTTCGTTATGGTTTGGCCATTGGAGCAAAAACCGCCCCCATGGTCTTGGTGCTCATGTATATCATGTATCCTGTCGCTTATCCCACCGCTCTTTTGTTGGATTACTTTCTTGGTGAATCCCATGGCACAGTATATAAGAAAGCTGGCAAGTTGGATCATTATCTACACACACCCCCTATTTTGATAATAATGCATGTTAATACGTTCTAGGCCTCAAAACGCTGGTATCGCTTCATCAAGCTGTCAACCCATCCGATGTGGAAGCCCTTACTCCAGATGAAGTAACGATTATTGGCGCTGTACTTGATTTGCGTTCAAAAAGTGTATCCCAGGTGATGACACCAATTGCAAACGTGTTTACACTTTCTACGGATGATACCCTGGATGAGGCGTTGGTGGATATGGTATAACCAAGAATCATGGTGCTATGCTTAAAAGTGGTGTTTACTAAGCACCTTTTAGATTTTGTATGCTGGCTATTCTCGAATACCTGTACACCATCCCAATGACAAGAACAACTTTGTTGGCATGCTCTTGACAAAACGACTCATCACCTATGATCCTGAAGACGCCTTGCCAGTGTCTCACCTTCAAGTCAGCACTCTTCCTGAAACTGGGCCTGATACCAGCTGCCTTGATATTCTCAATTTCTTCCAAGAAGGAAAAAGTAAGTCTTTTACAAATGCGTGTGCATGTAAGATAGCTAACTAATCGTGTGATTAGGCCATATGGCACTTGTTTCAAATGATCCTGGAGGAACAAGCGGTGCATTGGGAGTAATTACATTAGAGGATGTCATTGAAGAGCTCATTGGCGAGGTAACCATGGGATCAATAACATCATGTGGTAGTAGATGTATGCTCATTGGTTGTTTTGCTATGTAGGAAATCATTGATGAAACGGATGTATATGTGGATGGTAAGTAAACCTATTATTGTGTGTGACATGGAAACTTATTGCCAGGATAGTTCGCAACAAGATTCGTGTTGTACGCAAACAAGTACCCAACAGCAAGAGATCAGCACGACTTCATGCAAGGTTACAAGCACGAAAACGAGGCTCTGCGCCCGCCACACCCAAAGAAGGTCTCAAGAGATCAGAGTCAACCCAATCCATGTCACAATCCACAAGGTTCACAGAGCCGTATCAAAAGAATTATGGATCCATTATCACGAGTGGTAGATTATCCACTTCACCCAATACTGCTCATGAGACAACATCCATTGAGCATCCACCTTCGCACCCACACCATCATCATCAAGGCTAGCATAGGATGATTTCTTCTCCCTTGGGTATAAAAATTGTCGAATGTTTTAATAATGAAGCCAAATACAATGCAATTATTGATTATCCTTGGTCTATCTGTTATACAAGCTTCTAAGCACTGAGCGATTCTTCTAATCAAACATCGTGCCTTGTTAGCATCCATCCCATTCGTTTACATATGACCTTTTGTTTGTCGTTTTCGCTTGAAATCGTCAACGGATGCCGTTGGTCTTTCAAAGATTTCAGCTGACTTTGACTCGACTAGGGTATTGTCGATGCTGCTTGTAATTGATCATACTTCCGCTTCATAACTTGCTTGGGCAGCCATGTTGATTGCTATCATACTCCGCAAATTGTCATATTCATGCTATTGTTGTGTGTCGATGGCTTGTCGGAGTGCTTCACAGAGATGTTGCTCGTTGCCAAGGATACAGCTATAACGATCCGCATGTATTATGCACCAACAAAAGGGTCCCAAATTTCCCATCAAATTGAAATTGCTGCTTGCCTACAAATGTACAAGGCATCCTTTTAATTACATGCAATGATAGATTACACCTACCACAAAGGGTCCCTCAAGGAACACAGCCAAATGTCATTAGGCACCAATGAGCACATGATAAAGGAATGAAGTGAGCTACATAGATGGATGCATTATCATGAGTACCCTCATTTTGGGGATCACATAAAGGTTATCTTTGAGATTTACCAAAGGCCATTGATGATGGTATACATACAAGTAGAAAGAAAGGGTGTATGATAGCGCTGGTGCAAACAGCCTTGTTTATATGTGAGTGGGCGTAAGAATTGTTGTCATGATGGATTGAATTGATAAAGTGGTCAAGGATCTTGGAGTATCGAGTCGAAGTGATGGAAAATCAACAACTGATATACACAAATCCACCTGCGGCTTACAAGGTGGGTTGTTTTGTAGGTGACTCAAGTATGTCCCATTCTCGTACTTGAGGGTATGTGGCCTGTTGGCTATATGACATCGCTTCCTGGACGTGGAGAGAGTGGTGGAGTGGGCTTAAAGCTGGCATTGAAAAGAGCAACAGGAAAGTGGCTTTGGTTGTCTGGGAGGTTGAAGGGCATCATAGGAGGAGCCTTAAAGCGGGAGAGGGATAATTCCGCCAGCTGTATCTTCCACACACACACCCTTTATTGCTCCCTGTCCAATGCCCACCACGCAATTCTCATGTAATGTCCTTGTATTTATTTCGAGAAAACGAATGCTCTTTGACTGACCCATCGCACAGACCGATCGCAAAAGGAGTTGACTGTATGGTCTGGTTATCCCGAGTACAAGCCCATCAAGGGATTTGAAAAGTAAGGAGACTCTCGATTGAAAAAGTGTACGCGTGTGTACATAGACACATGTCTTGACAAAGTAAACGTTCTTGACACATGTTGTAGACCTGAAACTACCACCAAGAAGTTCCAATACAGCAAATACGGTGATGCATATGCTTATGCTACCAGCGAAAGGTAAAACGTCAAATGGATATCAATCAAGGGGGTTTTTACTTATTCCCAACAAGTGTCAAGGTCTTCGATGCTTCATCCTTAGCTCAGCGTTGCGAGATTAAACGACCCAACGTTGTCGATCTATGGTTCTCTCCACAAGGCAGTTATCTTGCTACCTGGGAACGTCCAAGTAAGTAATGGGATCTTTATGCTTGAATGCGTGTGATCTTAATACGGATGCAATCATAGCCAAGCGTGAAGATGGCTCGGGCAGCTTGAATCTCAACATTTGGGATACCAAGACAGCTGAACTTATTGCATCCTTCTCTCAAAAGCAATTGAACAGCTGGTAAGTGTGATGGGAAATGGATCAAAAAGCAATGGATCAAGGATGTTAATGGGCGTATTAGGAACTTCCAATGGACTGACGATGAAAAGTATTGTGCTCGTATGGTCACTGGTGAGGTCCAATTCTGGGAGAGCAAAAACTGTGGCAAGTCTGTGTGGGCAAGACTCAAGCTTGAAGGCATTGCTCAATTCTCTTTGAGTCCCGGCAAGGCTCCAGCAGTGGCAGTATTTATTCCTGAACGCAAGGTGAGATTTATAGCTATGATACGGAATACCTCGTTTACTTATCACACATACACACACACCATGTATAGGGTGCACCTGCTATTGTACGCATGTACAGCATCCCCAACTTCAATCAAGCCCTTTCCAACAAGACTTTTTACAAGGCCGATCAAGTCCAATTGTTCTGGAATGATTTGGGAACCAATTTACTTGTATTGACTCAGACGGATGTGGATAAGACTGGCAAATCGTACTATGGAGGTGGGTTGTTTATTATGTCACACATGTCTTGGTATTGGTGTATTCATGTTTGGCACCTTTGAAATCCTTTAGAAACCAATCTTTACTATTTGTCAGTGGCAGGCAATTTTGACTGCAGAGTGCCTCTCGGTAAGATCATCATTGGCCTTATAGCTATCGCATATAGCTCATCATTGTGGATCGATTATAGACAAAGAGGGTGCCGTTCATGATGTTCATTGGAGCCCCAACTCAAAGGAATTTGCTGTTGTTTATGGATGTGAGTTACCAAGGGAACAGGAGGTCTCATAAAGGATGAATGACTGATCAACATGGGTATGCCATTTATAGCTATGCCTGCCAAGGCCACTTTGTTCGATCATCGCGCCAACTCGATCTTTTCCTTCGGCATTGAACCCCGCAACTTTGTACGATTCAATCCTCAAGGCACGATTATTGCAATTGCTGGTTTTGGCAACTTGAACGGCACCATTGACTTGTGGGATCGTAAGACTTTACGCAAGGTGAACACTTTCCAAGCACCCAATGCCTCTCATTGCGAATGGTCACCCTGTGGTCGATACATCATGACAGCTACCTTGACACCTCGTCTACGTGTTGATAACGGTTTCAAAATGTGGCATCACAGTGGTAGCTTGATTTATGAGGAGAGCGTGGATGAACTTTTCCAAGTGGGATGGCGCCCTGAACCAGCATCAGCGTATCCTGCTATGCGTGGCCTTTCTCCACCTCCCAAGCCCATCAAGATCTCCGCTGGTAAGACTCCTGCTGCTTCATCTCCCAAGCCTGCTGGCGCATACCGTCCTCCTCATCTTCGTGGCAACAATGCACCAGCAGCTACATTGTCTCAGGTATGTATTGGATAACAAGGCTTCTATATTTTGTGAATTTTGGGATTTAACGGGTATCTTGTTATATAGCGAGAAGCTGCATTAAGTGGACGTGGCCCCGCTCTTACTATGCAACGAGGTATGTACATTGTGGAATAGAAAAAGTACAATATTAACACTATTTCTTAAACAGGCAAGAACAATAACAATGCCAAAAAGAATGGCAATGGTGCATTGGCCTCCAAAGGTATTTACAATTTATTGAGTGCAAAGGTGATTGTGGGATAATGGCTGATGATGATCTACCATTAGCTGCAGCTACTCCATTGACACCAGAAGAGAAGGCAAAGAAGATTAGAAACTTGGAAAAGAAGCTACGTCAAATTGCTGATATTCGAGATAAGCAAAGCCGAGGTGAAAAGATCGACGCTGCACAGGTAATAAGAGAGACTCATCGTCATCATTATGCGCCCTGGATTTCATTTCATTGACTCATTCCCTTTTAGCAACAAAAACTGAGCACTGAAGCAAACGTCATGCGTGAACTTGCATCCCTTCGCGAATAAACAAGACACCCATTCAATGCTAGATTTATTTATCATCATGTTGCATTATGAAAAAGACGAAAAAAAATATTACTCTTGTGTCATCATTGTATTCCCTTTTCATTCGTGTTGTTTCGTGAATCGACTGCGCCAAATCGGTGGTGATAACTCTTGACATTTTTCTATCTCTCTCTTCCACTTTTTGATATCATGTCATCCCAAGACGACGTTGCCGCTCCTTCTGTTATCGCTGCAACTCTCATGGACACACCCAACGATGCAGCATTGGACTCATTGCAACAGCAGCCTTCACCAACACTTGACGATAATGTCGCTTTGACTGGAAACGACAACCACTCCATAGACCTTGCTGACGACACTGACGACGATGTTGTTTTGGATTTGACTCAAGATGCAACAGAAAATGACCGTGGCAATGGGAGCGACAATGGGGAGCCAACCAGCCGTGGTAGTAGTGAATCCGATTCTGAAGCCCTGGAGTTTCTTCGAGAGGCAGGACTATCCGAAGAAGATCTACATTCGCTTGGCATTGATCTTGAAGAGATTCGAGCACAACGGCAATTGGAGAAGCAAGCACAAAGAGACCTTGAATACGCACGACATGTGCAAGAACAGCTTGACGCTGAAGCTAGGCAGGGTTCCCAATCATCATCATCATCATCGATACCACCACCACCACCATCACAGTACCCTCCACCTGCATCTATTCAAACACCAATATCAGCTGTAGCAGCATCTTCATCATCATCACCAGCTTCAACAACAACAATGACTCCATCAACAACAATGACTCCACCGATAACAATGACACCTTCTCCTCAAATACCAGTTTCTTTTGCTCAGCGTCATCAGCCTTTTCCACCTTCTCCTTTCAACCCAATACCTTCTTATATTCATCCTCCTCCACCATCTATGCCCGATCACCATCATCTTCCACAAGTCAAACGTATCAAATCAGAACACCCACCATCAGCTATTGAATTGATGCGTCAGCAGCTAAGGAATAGTGGAATTGGTTCATCATCTTCTGCGTCATCATCATCCTCTTCCAGAGATACGAAAAGTAAATCTATTATGGTATTGGATGAAGATGATGATGTGATTGATCTTACCAATGATGATCCAGGTGTTGGTTCCTCCTCTCAAGCGAGTGCATGGCCTCCCAATCGATTTGGTGTGGGTTCCTCTTCTTCGATGGCCTCATCTTCTTCCTCTACCATCTTCTCCAAGCAATTCAGTAGCGATGATGATGAGGATGATCTTTCTTATTACTCCCGTTCATACATCGACATGATCAACCAAACTCTCAATTCAGCCTATCTTGGATCCTCTTCCTCTTTTCGACCGTTTTATGCCAGCAGCGTCGCTACCAATCGATCCAACTTTGAAGCTCGTTACAATTTGCCATACAATCGCTATGCTGCTGAGTACGTACGACCTTTGAACGATGAACAAACGGAGCAAGAGCTACGACAATTGCTGGAGAGCATTCAAGATCATGAGGAGAACACTACCCCTGAAGATCGTGTGGGCACACCTGAAAGGCTTGCTGTCAACTTGATGGAGCATCAAAAGGTTGGCTTACGCTGGATGACTCGTCAGGAAGAAAGTGTCAACAAGGGTGGCATGTTATCAGATGATATGGGTCTTGGCAAGGTAAGAGAAAAGAATGAATACATCGACACACAATGACATTAACATGTTTGTTACACGAATCATAGACGGTACAAGCGATGGCGCTCATTGTTTCCAGGCCATGTGAAAATGCTACTCCTGTTACAAGAATCGCTTCCATCATGAAAAAGAGACGCACTGACAAGTCTCAAATGATCAAAGTCAAGGCTACGCTGGTGGTGTGCCCCGTCTCGTTGATTGCCCAATGGGAACGTGAACTCGTTGTTAAGACACGACCTTCTCTCAAGGTGTATGTTCATCATGGCGCAAATCGTACTATTGACGAGAGGAAGTTTATGGATTATGATGTGGTCGTTACGGCATACACTACAGTGGCAAATGAAGTACAAGAGCTTGAAGAACGCTGTGGTCCTTTGTCACGTGTACAATGGCATCGTATCTTCTTGGATGAGGCCCATCAAATCAAGAACAGGCGTACTCGTATGGCTGAAGGCTGTTGTCGTTTGGAATCGGATTATCGTTGGTGTCTCACAGCTACTCCCATCCAGAACAAGATTGAAGAATTGTAAGTATTAAACAGGGATGAAAGCTATCTAAAGAGAAAAATTCTAACTTTGACGTAGATACTCGATCATCAAGTTCTTGCGTATCAGACCTTATTGTGAATGGAAAGAGTTTGCGGAGGAAATTGATCGTCCAATGCGAAAAGGAAAGCACAAGCATGTAAGTAAACAAGGCAACCCGTACAATGAACGATTCATTGTTAACCTTTGTTCATCTATAGGCATTGCAAAAGACACAAGTATTACTCAAAGGTAATTCATTATCTCAATTCCCCCAAAGAGGATATGTATTCATTCATGTCGTGTATAGCTATCTCCCTTCGACGATCCAAAAAGGCCAAGATTGATGGCAAACCAATCCTTAACTTGCCAGAGAGGAATGTTCATTTCACGCATATCGACTTTTCACCTGATGAGCGCCAATTTTACGAGTTCGTCAACGCCAATGCTCAGGCCCGTTTCAACAAATTTGTGGAAGCTGGTACTGTAATGAAGAACTACTCCTCGGTAAGATATTCCTTGTCACCTCTTATGCTTTATTGGCTCTTATTAAATAATATGATTGATTTAGGTTCTTGTTCTTCTACTACGTTTACGACAAGCATGCCTACATCCAAGCTTGACGATGATGGAGGCGCCTAACATTGATTCTGCTGCGAGCGAGGAAGAGCGCACCGAAGTTGTCAAAGCAATGGACGATCAAGTAATCCAACGATTGTTGCAGAGCGATGATTTGAAGGAAATCGAGGTACGTTGAATAATAAGAATACGAGTGTAGGATCACAATGAAACTCATTTCGTGATCATTTTAGTGTCCTATTTGTATGGATATGGCTGATCAGGCACAAATTATTTCTCAATGTGGTCACATCCTTTGTCGTGAATGTCTTACAAGTACGTATCATTCATTTCCTTATTGTATCAGAAGAAAGAGCTTACGTTGTCATCTAGATTATATCACTACCGGCGATGCATCAGATAAACGCTGTCCTCAATGCCGTGGTCCATTGAAGACTGAAAAGGTGGTTCCTGTCGAATTGTTTCTTCAAGTGCACGCACCAGATCAATATCGAGAAGCCATGGAAGATTTGTCTGCTGCAAAGGAGAAAGAGGAAGAGGAGGCGGCCAAGAACAAAGATAAGGTCTTTCATTCAAGCGCCAAGATCGACAAGATGCTTGAAATTCTGCATGAAACACGACGAGAAACCAAAAACCAGGATAAGACTATCATCTTTTCTCAGTTCACTAGCATGGTAAGTCACTTGTTTCCTCTTGATGATATGATCGTTATCTAAGTTCTTTCATCTTAGTTGGATCTCCTCGAACGGCCGCTTCGTGAAAATGAGTTCAAGTATGTACGTTTCGATGGTACTATGAGTGTTGCCAATCGTGACAAGGCGCTTGGTATCTTCTTCCAAGACCCAAGATGTACAGTGCTGCTTGTTTCTACTAAATGTGGCTCTCTCGGTTTGAACGTAAGTATGCTTTTGTCTACAATTCAAACATCATGCTGACAAAAGCTCTATGTATCATTTTTAGTTGACCGTTGCCAATCGTGTTATTGTAAGTATTAGAAATGGATGCTTTGGAATGATTTGGAATTGACGCTAATATTTGCGACTAGCTGATGGATATTTGGTGGAACCCTGCATTGGAGAACCAGGCTATTGATCGTGTACACCGCATTGGACAAAAGAAGACTGTAGATGTGCACCGTATCTTTATCAATAACACAGTAGAAGATCGTATCCTTGAACTTCAGAGGAAGAAACAGGTATTTTATTATCCCACACACATGCAACAAACGATAGTAGCTCTGACATGTAATATCATCTAGGCAATCGCCGATGGTGCACTTGGCGAAGGTTCAGCCCAAAAGATTGGCCGACTCGGTTTCCAAGAGCTGCTCCACTTATTCCGTGGCACTGGTCTTCCTGATTACGGTGGCAATAATGATGACGACGACGATGCGTAAACTTGCACACACACCCACCCCATTCGATTTTATAACCTCTCATCACTTCAAATTATGCTACAGCCCTTGTGTATGTATATACCTTTATAAAATGACATATATTGCTCTTTATCTTTTCCTTAACCTTCTATATGATGTGGGCATTGTGATTTGTTTACATACATGTGGGTAATTCATAAAATTTATTGGCATTTTGTCTCTACAATTGATGCACCATGTTCCTCGTATTCTTGTCTAGGTAAAAGAAAGGGACATCAGTAAAAGCAAAGTGGCAAAAAGAATCAAGGTGCTGCTGCTAACTTACTTTGAAATCCAAAGTTGATGGAAGGTACCCAAAGATGCAAGAATAGAGCCACCAAGCCAGCTGCTGCATTTGCGCTCTGTTTGGTTGCCAACTGCGTGGATCTTGACTTTGCTCTAAAAGGGTCACAGGTTCATCAATTCAAATCCACACGAATCTCGTCTTGTTGTACCCTACTTACTCCTGGGGCCAACATAGGTAACTCGTAGTTCAATCTTTCATTGAAACCAGGGAACAATGAATTTCCACCCGTGACGACAATGTTGTTGAATAGTAAAGGTCGAAGATCAATATCGCAATTGTTGATACTGCTAAATATCAGATGATGCATGCCAAGGCTGGAATCGATTTGTTGTTGAGTAATTCCTGGTACGGGCTAAAAACCATTCACGTGAGTCTTTGTTTGCAGCACGATCCCCCATTTTACCATGATTACCTTGCGTAAGAACTGCTGTGGTTGGAAAAGTGATTCAGGGATCTTGTATCTTTCTACCCCAAACATGTTGTTGTATCCGTCTGGGAATTCAAAAGGCTTTTGTGGGCGAGACCCCATGATGCTATGCGAAGATCAATATCATACATTGATATGAACGCGCCCCTTGTTCCCTTCCACCCTATCCTTACCCCTCATCATAGGTGACTTCGGATACTTGGCAAACCGATTCCTTGAATTCATGGATCACTCGCTAGAAATAGATAGCGTCAATCATCGCATGGCCACTAATAGGTATGTAAAAGCACGTACTCGCACTTGATAGTCGTGGAAGCTGGAGTCTGTATCAGGGCGTACACGTTTCTCAACTTGAGGTGGTTGGCCTTGTTCTACCGGCTTTTTACTGGTGATCTCGTATTGAGGTGTGATATCAACGTTCAAATCGGTTTTGAGCATGTCGAGGAGTTGTTCGGAAACCAGGTTACCAGCAATAGGTTGACGCAAGATACCCTTTTTGAGAACATAGCCATCGTAAACAGGTACAGCACTTGTCATGCCACCTCCAGAATCAAGTACAAGTGCTGTGGCGCGTCCAACAGAAAAGCTAATCATACACAATATAAGCAAACTTGCCATCATCATCTCTCCTTTTTGTCGCATCTCCAAACACACGTACGCTGTCATGACGGCATCCTTGGCAAGATAAAATGCAGGAAATTCAAACTTTTCAAAGGCCAATTCCATCATCTTTTCTCTGTTTTCCACTGTATTCCATGCTGGCTCGGTGCAGAGTAATGGGTGCTCTGAAGGGTTGACTCGTAACATGTCACGGAAGGTTGTGTTCCAAATCTGCTCAACAGCATCCCAATCCGATACTATATCACTTACTATAAGTACCTTGTTCTTTTAGTCAATAAACGTGCGTCCTTTACCAATGCCATCCGTCATGGGATTCCGGATCTCCATGTTCTTTCGCCAGCTGTTGATCTTGTTGTCGCCAATGTAGTATTGGTTTTTGCGTGCTGCATCTGTCGTGGTTGACGCTTCACCCATGGTCACATCGCCATCGCCAGAAGTTGTATTGTCGTTTGCTGAAGATTCTTCTTTCACGAAACCATACGAAGTTGGGAACATGACTCTGGGTGTATCTTCACCGGCGTAGCCAGCGCGTGTCGATGAGGTGCCCATGTCAAACACAAGCGCATTGACCTCGTCTGTAGGATATACAAAGTATAATCAATAAAGAGTGTTGTTTGTATAAAGCGTATAGTAGAGTACCTCCACCATAGGTGACCATAGTTGCTGTAAATGTGGGAGTGGGTGTGAAAGGGAAGAAGTGTCCTCTTTTTCTTTTTTGGCTCAGAATTGTATTGGCATTCAGCAACACGGAGCCCGTCAATTCGCGTGTCTCCTTCCTTTGCTCTGAATTTCAAAAGCATCAGAAATTTCATAGAGAAGAATGATGATCCATAACAATCAAGGGCATCTTTATAATTAATTTACGGTGATAACATCTATATATCGGATGATGATTCAGTAGATTGTACAGTTGCAGGGAGAGAGCGTCGATGTCCATTTTGCTGCTGCTGCTGTTGCTGTCCAATGCTATTTTTCCTTTCACTCTTTGCCGTGCTGGTGGTGCTCGGCACTCCCAGGTCATTGGCATGTGTGATGGCAAGATTCAAGCGCTATGAATGGTAACTTTTATGAGCATAATTACTTTGATAGGCACTACACGTTCATGCACGCGACTTACGATAGCTAATTGATACTCCAATACGTATCCAGATATACTTAAAGCTTGCTGCCACATGGCAAGTGCAACGGATCTCTTGTCTTCCATGCTCCAACTAGCAACACCCGCTTCCCTATAATAAATGTCAATGACCTTTCTTCCATGCATATACCTTTGCTGAAAATGTATCATACCAGTATGTGAAGGGAACAATCCATTTGGCACCAACAATCCTTGATCTATTATCAATGATCCAATTCAAATGCACAATAGCATCGTGACTTCGACCCATGGCATTCAGGATTGAGATCTTGATCAGCAGCAGGGTGCCACGCTCACAATAGTAATCAGGTGGATCAACGTTGGGCGCGATTTCTGTGGTCCTTATTTGATACTCCTGCCGCTCTCGCTCATAAATCAATGATAATGCTTCGTCCACCTTTTCCATGCACTCTGATAAGCATTCGTGCGACATGCATGCGAGTGAGTTCCATAACAATAACACTTCCAATGCTGGTAGACTTAGATCCAAGTCTTGGTATCCGCTGTTTTCATAAAACGAGACACGTTCGATCACGAGTTGGTCCAGCTGAGTTGGGTTCTTGTTTTTCTTTGCCAATTGAGATGCTTCAGCAAAAGCAAGAACAGCCCCACTACGATCACCCGCCATCTCCATACATGCCGCATAGAAGAATTTGACAAAGGATGGTCGACTGTGCGATGATGTTAATTGATCAAGGTGCTCCGCAGCTGCTTTCCAATTGAGTTGCATGGCATGGTTGAAAGCTGTTTCATATCCTGTCAACGTAGTCATGGGTGCTTCAGCCCAATCGCCTTGGCTTACTCGACGTGCATATTCAAAAGATTGCGTAGAAAGCGAGATGCTTCGTGATAATCGTGACACACGACCAGCAAAGTAGAGAAAGAAGGCTGAATTCGGATACGTCTTTTGTGCGTCCATTAAACAATCCACTGCTGGTTGCATGAGCTCCGAATTCAATATCAATGGTGCGTGCGAAGTAAGGAGAACATAGTACGTCAAGAGCCTGTATGCGTCATTAATATTCCACTTTTGTTGAAGCAAAGGACACATACATCATAGAGGCTAATGGCGACCGAATAGTCTTGCTTTCCAAGCATAGCTTCAATAGAGCAAATCCAAGATTACGATCCGCATGCCATCCAAAAGCTGATATCACTTTGAGGATCTTAGGTGGTAAAGACGAAAGCACAAGATGCACCGATCCAATTCTGGAAAGATAATGTTAATTCAATAGATACGTATACCAAGATCATAACCAAAGCTTACCCAAATTGTACGGCAGCAATCGTGTTCGCATCCATATGTTGGTAGAAATCCTGGCCCATGCGCTTGTATTCTTGCCACACCAAGCTGTAGCTGCTATAGGCTGCATGCACCATGGTCATTCAGCATGTCCCATCGCTCTATCCCATGCCTTCTTTACCTCTTCGTAAATTTAATCCCATCTTCAGGTAACCTAGCACTGTTTCTTGCGAAAGCCAAACAAGGCTCATCAATAGCCCGCATTCAGCTTTAATGACATGTGCACGTAGAGCCCCGTTTGCCATGAATCCAGATTGCTCCTTAAGTTCCTCTTGATTCAATGGTCGCGTGTTGGTTGGTAAGCCTGTTGTATTCTTTCCAAGCAAGTTGGTGAAAATCTGGGACACTGTATCCTTCAAAGGTTTCTTGGCTTGTGCAGCTTCCACTTGGGCATTCGCGAATTCATATGTCTCGCTCAGCTCATCAATCGCTCTATCAGCATCAAATGGTGTCGACGACTATGAAGAAAATGGGATCGATTCAATATCATCTTATCGTGAAGAAGCCATGTATATATACTTACAATGATCGCTATTGAAAACCATCCAGCGTATGAATAAAGATACATTTGATGTCAATAACCTTTTCGATATTCCATCATCTCTATGTACCTCGGATAAATGCCATGGCTCCCTTGCCTAATGAGTAGAGTGGATCACTACAATACATAGGGTGTGTCAACATGATTTGAGTATCCCTTTTGAGCATTACTTACTCTCGCGCTCTGGATTCGAATATTGACTTTGCAACCGAGAATCGATTGTTGAACAAAGCATCCATGCCTTCCATCATGGCTTGATCTATGATGTGTATGTGCATAAGCATTGCTGCATTACTCACATCAATGGTTTTTGTATTACCTGCAACTTCCTGCTCTCTTGGCAAAAGGGTGTTGGTTCTTGCTTGTATACGAGGTGTGGATCGAGATGCTGATGGCGGAGAGGGTAATGGTTTGGTTGCCATGGGTTCTGGTGCAGGTGGTTTGTCGGGAAGGCGATCGTTGTCATGTGAGTTTGTCGTTGCTGATGATACAACCTTTGGCTCCACGTTGTTGCTATTGTTGTCTTTGGATCCATTTTCATCCTCGACACCTTCGTTGTTATCAGTAATGATTGTATCATCTTCTTGGACTTTTACAACTGCTGCTGTAGTCGTTGCTGGCAATGAGGATTCACTATTGGCAGTATGAGGTGGAGACGGCGGTGGTTCGGCTGTATCTGCTGGCATAAAAAACGTTGAATTGTCATTATGCATGGCCAAGTCAGTTGTCGCGGCAAGACTTACTTGTCAACTCATTGCTATTGCTTTGCAATGCATCAGCAGCATTTTGTTCTTGTTCGCTCATAGGTGTGTGTAAGATAGAGAGAGAGAGAGAGAGAGAGAGAGGAAGAGTGAGAGCGTACGTGCGCTGCTGCAACTGAAACAAAGAAAAAGAGAGACGACCCGCACAAGCAAAAGAAAAGCGTGAGAGTTAACACCAGCGCTTTTTGTCACGTGGATAATACTAGGTCATACAACATCGGCATGATTTCAACATGTTGAGCCCAAATGTCGGTGATTGCATAGGTGACATCTAACAGCATGAACACCAAATGATCACACTACTAGCAATTGTCATAATACATCTCGACGAGAAGCCCCGATTGTCTCCCTCACTCGTATACTTTTGATTCCTCGCTGAATGACTTAACACATCAGTACTGCTTATGGAGTAAAATAGTCTTACAATTAAAGGTTGCACATTTACACAATCACATTACTATCACGTAGTAGTGTTCATCCTTGCAAGAAGCTGCAACACTTCGCCATCCTTACTTACAATAAAAGACTACCTTAGTGATAAGAGTAATAAGCTGTCCTGGAACAATGTTCACGGGAGGGAATATATCAGCTCAAGGCTATTTCATAAACTGCCAGCTAATACCCTCTTCTCCCATTTTCAGCCACTGTCCATTTTAATGCATGTGAACGATTCTTAGGCTCCAGCCCAACATTCCTATCGTTGAACTTTCTTGAACCGATTGGATTTGGCTGAGAAACGCTGTAGCAGGGAACATATCAATTCCATGAGCCGTGCACCCTTCACCATCGGACGCTCCCACTCAATTTCATGATGAAGTGAGAACCTCTTTACTAGAACAAACATGATCATCGTGCCTGATAGAGCACCCTGTGTAAGAGTTTCAAGTTCGAGATTGGCAAGCTCGGGGTCACGGGGCGCCTACACGCTTTTCCGATCATCGTCTCTCCTACACTTTGGACCTTTGCTCTCGAAAATTTTCATAATGAAGTATGTGCTCTTTATTAGAACAACGTGATCAGCATGTCCAAGTGCACCCTGTGTGAAAGTTTCAAGTTTGAGATGGGAAATCTCAATATCAACAAGGATTGATGTACGGTGTTCATGCATTTATACAAGAGGTGTCCGACCTTTTAATTCCCGCTTCTTCCTCTCTCAACATACTTCCCTCTTCCTCCCATTCTCAACTGTTGCCCCATTAAGTGCAATTACCAGCTGCGAGCGATTGTCCCACTTCAACCCATCATGTCAATCCTACAACCGCCTTGATCCGAAAGACTTTGACTGAATGGCAAGTCCATGGCGTGCACACTTTACTACAACACCCACGTTTCTTTGACACTACAGCTTCTCTTGTACATTCCTCTGCCACAACCAAGCGAAACAGCGTTCATTGCAGCAGCGGCCAATAGCAACGTCTTTACTTCATTGTTTCAAACAGCATTCACAACGTTGTCACTGTACTACAATCACGCTCTTGTCCATTCCTCTACCACGACCAAACGTAACAGTACTCGCCGTTTGCCAGGTCTTTACTCCTCCACTGTATCAAGTTACTTGCAGCAACCCGACTCCCAGCCTTTTTTATACATGAACAGCAGATAGCTATTACAGAGAAGCAGCTGTGTTTACATGTAGCAACTTGCTTCAATACATGCGACTTCTTATCGATAATGAATCTGGTTATTGCTTTGATACATGGGATGGAAGGATTTGGGTATACATGTGATGCGTGGAAAAAGGGTGTATGCATTGTCAACTTGGTTATTGTGCTTGATGCCATCATCCTGTACGATTGATGCATCCCATTGTAGTACTTTACGCGTTATTCTATGGTAACTACTATCATCATCCTTTGTGGAACCTGTCGACCATGTACATCCAACATCATCCAACTCCATGTTTGACGCGCCTGGTATATCACCACCACCCCACGCCCATCTATTTACCTTCGCACAATGCACACCCAAAGGATAGAAACTTTCCAAATCGATGTATCCCTATTAGAGCGATTCGTTGTACCTGACGATGTATTTCTTGTAAATCATGTTGGGATTAAAGGCATACTTTAGCTAATACGCCATTGCGTTGTCAACCATCTCCAAGTTTCTTGTTGTGCCAGCAGCAAGAATCATTTATGAATCATAGAGAATAATGTAAAGAACTTTTACGCAGAGTGAATGATAAGAATAGTCATCTATCAATGCATGATCCAAGTCACGTGACCTTCTGAAATTGTCGTTATCGTATGGCTGATTAGATCAGTGGCCAATGATATAACTTTTGGTGTTGCTATGATAAGTGATGATCTTTATTGCTAAGGATGTTCACGATATATATGTTCAATGTATGGATTCTATGAATGATGTGGAAGATGCTAGTAAAGGGCTTCTAGCAATTGCCAGCATCAAAAGGAAAAGGGTTCTAGAAGGAACGAGCAGCTAGGTCACGTGGTCACATGACCTTCTACGACAATACCCCTCCCGAAAATCTTGGTCGCCCTCGACCAACACGGAAGCAATAGTATTGGCAGCATCGGTAAGTTGGCGCCAACGTGCTCTTGTAGCAGTGGGATCGTACCATGTGTCAGGATTACCATCGGCCTTGTTGATATGAATGGGACGTAAACGATCAGTGTGCACCCAAGACTTGTATGCTTCACCATTCATGCTGTGTAACTTGTAGATATCCGTGTCAAGGTTACGTTCAACAATCTTGTAAGGACCACGCCAATTGTATTCCAAGCCAAACTTGTTTTCGTGTCGTAATAAGACAAAGTCGCCAACCGAATAAACTTGCTTCTTGGTGAGCAAATCCCATTGAGCCTTGTCTTTTTCACGATCCTTTTGCATCCTTGTAATAGCTTGAGCACGAGCATCACGTAAGGAACGAAGTGTGGGGAGTCGACTTGAAACATGTGCTTGGGGATCATCTTGTGGTTCATCAGCAGTAATAAGAGGACGCAATGGATCACCAGGTAACTTGGGGTCTTGACCATACACCATGAAAAATGGACTCATTTGTGTCGTTCGATGTTTGCGAATGCGGCATGCAAACAAAGCGGTGTCAAGAAAATCATCCCAGCGATGTATTTCACCATGCACATACTTGCGTAACATGGATTTGAGTATCCCATTGGTACGTTCAACCTTGCCATTTGAACGAGGATGGAAAGCCGAAGTCAAGTTGTGTTTGCAACTTTAAAGTCGACCAAGGTAGTAATCCAAGAACTTGCCCATAAAATTAGCGCCACGATCGGTTACGATTTCATCAGGACAGCCAAAACGCATAACAATTTCCTCGTGAATGAACTTGGCAATGGCTTCACTGGTTGCATCAGGAACAGCACGAGCAATAGGCCAATTTGTCGTGTAGTCAACAGCAACGAGTATCCAACGATTACCACTTGTGGTAGTAGGTAATTCTCCAATAAAGTCCAAATGCCAACGAGAAAAAGCAGGCGGGATTTCGGTCAAATGCATAGGTGCATGATGATTATTGCGGTCAGCACCAGCAGCCAATTGACATTGTGAACATTGGGCAATCCATTCTTGAATGTCTTGTTTCATGTTGGGCCACCACCAACGTTTACGCACCAAATCCTGCATAGTGGTCATTCCAGGGTGTCCAAAAGCCTTGTGGATTTCTTGTACAATGTCAGCACGCCGAGAGAACATTGCAAAGCGGACTTCTTGAAGAGTGTTGTTCACCTTGACCTTGCGAAAAACCATATCATTACGCACCACAAATTGTTCACGATGCTTGCGTAACAAATCCAGCATAAGATGATGGCCTTTTCTTCGGGACGCAAGTGACTTTGGCCAATCGGATTCTTGAATTGCGCGTGTTGCATAAAAGATACTCAGGCTCCATATCCGATTCATTGGTAAGACAGCTGAGCACCATCACGTCGAGAAAGGATATCAGGTACATGATTGTCTTTGCCAGGCTTGTATTGGATATCGGGATCATACAGCTCCATTTCAGCAATCCATCGAGTCAAACGAGGTGTGGGCTTGCGTTGAGACCTGAAATACTTGACTGGATGATGATCCGTATATGTAAGAGCGACCTTCAATGAAACATCTCCAAGAACGTAACGCATGCAAGATACCCAGCAGCTCTCTTTCTTGTGCGGGATAATTGCGCTCCGCTGACGAAAGCTTCTTGGATTCAAAAGCCAAAGGATGCAATTCACCATCGTCACCTTCTTGCAAAAGAACAAGCGCCAACACCAAAATCGGATGCATCCGTTTCGATCACAAAGGAGCCTTGCTGCATTGGGTGGTACCAAGGTGGGTGCTTGAATCATGCGTGACTGAATCTCTTCGAATGCCGATTGACACTCAGGTGTCCATTCAATCAAACGCGTCTTGCTCCCACTTCCCGCTGTCGTCCGTGAGTGGTGCAGCAATCGTTGAGAAGCCACCCAGATAGATCGCCTATAATGAGACGCCAAACCGATAAACTGCCGCACCTCTTGAACATTGGTGGGAATGGGCCACTCTTAGATCGCCTTGACCTTGGACTTGGATAGCCAGGATACCTTGAGCACTCACTTGGAAGCCGACAAACTCCAATTCAGTCTTGTTGAACTCACCTTCTTGGGGATGGCGTATAGCTTGTAAAACCGCAAACGATCCAACACCGACCGAACATGCTTGAGATGGTCTTCTTTGGTACGGCTGAAGATAAGGATGTCGTCAGGTAAACCAGGGCAAACTTGTCGAGGAAATCACCAAGGATTGAATTCATCATCTTTTGGAAAGTAGGTGGAGCATTCGTCAATCCAAAAGGGAGCACTTTCCATTGCCATGCACCGTATCTTGTGTTGAAGGCCGTTTTTGGAACATCTTCAGGTCGGATTCGTACTTGATGGTAACCACTCTTGAGGTCGATGCTGGAGAAGAATCATTTGCACCACCAAGACGTTCGAGACATTCATCAATTCGTGGTAAGGGATGGGCATTGCGACGTGTCACTGCATTGAGAGCGCGATAATCGATACAGAGTCTCATTGAACCATCTTTCTTGCGGACAAACAGAACTGGTGCACCCCATGGAGAGTTACTTGGTTCAATCAATCCCAAGGTTTGGGTTAAGACAATTGACGCCGTAATTCATCCAGCTCGAGAGGACTCATCTTGAAAGGATGCCGATTGATGGGTTGAGCATCACCAGTATCAATCACATGCTCAATATCACGATCTGGAGGTAAGCCTGGTAGTTCGTTTCGGAAGACATCAGCGTATTCATGAATCAAAGTATCAAAGGTGCCATCGTATTTGTCGATCTTGTCAGCCGTATAGAACAAATACATCACTGAAATAGCCTTGGTGCGTGACAATCGTTGCATCTCGCGATGACTGAGAAGATAAGCCAAATCAGGAATCTGCCGTTTGCGACTTGGAGTCAAGATATGGGTGTGGTTGCCTTGTTTGATCTGCCAGGTGTCGTGTCGCCAATCTGGTATCGGTTGTACATGCTTGAACCAATCTCTGCCAAGGATGATGTCAAATTTGGTATCAAACACATACGCCTTCCATGGATGGGTGTAGCCGTCAGCCATTGAAAGATCAAAAGATACGAGTGACTTGATCGCCATAGTATGTCCACCAGCTGTTTCAACCTCTCGTCCTTGGACCAAGTGATGCGTCATGTGCTTGCAAATACGTGGTGAAATGTAAGATGTACTAGCACCAGTATCGAGCAAAACAGTAACAGGTGTTCCATTGCAGACCATTGAATACAAGGGCAAATCAGATTCCTTTATTGCGTTGAGTTCCTTCAAATGATTGACATCCAAATCTAGCTCAGGTGTCGGGTTGACATTTCCAAAATCGGGTTCCTCGGTGAGATCAATGAGCCGGCCTTCAGGTACTTGCTGAGTAGTGGTGGTGGTTGCATTCAAGGAGTTTTGCTGATTGATGTTTGTGCGCGACGATGACTCCTTTACATACGTCGCGCCTCGTCTTTTAAATGCTTGTTGCCAGGTCGTTGAGAAGCAGGTCGATAACGCCATTCACCAGGTAAGTTGGATGGGCAAGAACGTTGTAGATGACCAAGGCCTCCACAATTGTAGCAACGAGGTGGTTCTTGATTCATGCGGTTGTCACGACGACTGAAGGTTCTTGGTGTGCGCCAATCATTACGTCGATATCTTGTTTGTACAGCATCCAAATCCATGTATTCAACATCCCGAGATGGTTGTCGTGGAGGTTCAAGTCTTGTCATCTTGTCGGCAGCATTTTGGTGTAACGACATGGCTCCTTCGTAGGCGAATGCGATTCTTTCAGCTTGTGCAGTTGTGGTCGGGAATTGGGTGCGTACATAGACTTGAACGTTTTCAACAATCCTCGTACAAAACGGTCCAAAGCTTCATCATCAGTCATTGTTGGAATTTCGAGCCAAAGGTTGCGGAAGTCGTTCACATATTCTTCAACGGTGCCAGTTTGTGTCAATGCAGCCAATCGATCACGTGCAGTCTGTTTGGCATTGCGAGGTCGAAATTCGTCTAGTACCAGCTTGCAGAAATCAATCCAAGTGCTTGCATCATGTCCAACAATTTCTCTTGTACGCCACCATGTGTCAGCATCTCCTCGAAAAAGATTGATGGCATATTGGACTCGGTCAACTTCATCCATTCCAGTCACATCAGCATAACGTTGTACAGATCGTAACCGGCTTTCGCTTGGCATGTGGGGTTCTTGTTCCATGGTAAGTGTCCGGTTCTCGTAGCTTGGATCTAAACATTAAGGCCTCTTTGGTTCTCCTGGTTCTTGAGCAGTTGGGTCAATGCAGTCAAAATAGCCGTATTCATATCTTGTCCTTGTCCTTGTCCTTGTCCTTGTCCTTGTCGTTGTTCTTGTTCAATGCCTTCCATAATAAACGGTTGTCGATTTGTAACTTGAGATTCGTCGTCAGATAATTCAATAGGTTCCGGGATTGGTTCACGATATTCTTGAAAAGCTCGATTGTTCAAAGGCGATGGATGATTAAAAGTCATCAGCTACCAATTGTCGTTATCGTATGGCTGATTAGATCAGTGGCCAATGATATAACTTTTGGTGTTGCTATGATAAGTGATGATCTTTTATTGCTAAGGATGTTCACGATATATATATGTTCAATGTATGGATTCTGAATGATGTGGAAGATGCTAGTAAAGGGCTTCTAGCAATTGCCAGCATCAAAAGGAAAAGGGTTCTAGAAGGAACGAGCAAAAGCTAGGTCACGTGGTCACATGACCTACGACAAAATCTGGATTCAAAAAAGAATGAGGCGAACATCTCATGTTCAAGGTGTGTCGACAACAGCAGGATTTGAACCTGCGCGGGCAGAGCCCATGAGATTTCTAGTCTCACGCCTTAACCACTCGGCCATGTTGTCTCCCTTGTTTTTTATTATGTTTGAGTATTCAGGTAGAGTTACCAACTTCCTAATTTGGAAGGTGATCGTACGTGTCCAATTTTCGTACTCTGATGTTGCGGAGGTGCTTCTGGACATGGTGGTGAAGTTGGCAAGTGAATATGGGAGCTCAACATGTACCAATTTTGTGTAAAAAATTGAGGTATGATTATATTGGTGGAGATTATGAAGGCAGCATGAACCCCGACGGTTCTCGGTAATAGCAATCTCAGCTTCACTATGCACAATTATTGAGTGTTACACGCTCCAAAGGCGCTTACAATCATAATAACGTATATCAAAAAGTCAATAGGAACCATACCATCTTGTATTATTTTGAATTATGGGACCCAAGTATACAATACAACCGAGATTTGCCCAAGGAGTAAACATTTTATCAAAGAAGACAGAAAAGAAAAAGCAAAAACTACAATGAAAACTAATTACATGCGAATGGAGAAGTTTATCCGTATAAAAGTGATCCAAAGTAAAATGAGCAAATGTCGTAAACAAACGAAGTGTAAGCAGCATGGAATACGCAAGAACTGCCATTATTGTGGTGCTGCATAATATCAAGCTTTCATTTTTCCCTTGCTTTTCATCCGCTTGAGTCGTTCCAATTCCTTCTTTTCTTCCTCAATATCCTCACGACGACCAATTCGTTCACTAGAGAAAGAGAAAGGGAATGAGCACATGGGTTTCTAAAGAAACATATAGAATAGCATACCTCCTTCGTTCTTCACGCAAGACTTCCCGTGCATCAGCTTCCATATCATCATCAGAGAAAATATCGTCATTGAATCTAATACATGTATCATGATGATGAGCCATTGAATATAGACATTAAAGACAACAATAACAACATACCTTGACTTGTCATATCGGAAGATGCGACTAATTTCAGCAGAGATATCATTTTCTTCCTCTTCCTCATCATCCACAATGAATTCATCCAATTCCTCATCAAATTCTTCTTCATGTCGCATTTTGCGTTTCATTGGAGGACGACGTATATCCGTGGGTCGTCGGAATGGCATACGGCGCATAGGAGCATCACGTTGATAACCAGGACGTGGAGCCATGGCGGGTCGTTTGTTGCGAATAAGACGTGGATCAGAGCGTGTATCTTCATCATCCGAATAAATGCCTTTTGAATGGCGAATATCACGTTGTATTTCTGATACAGAGCGAGTGTCACGTTTCTTGGCATTCAATCGTTGAGGTGGTTCCCGGTACATTTGACGAATACGATCCTTTGCTGATACAGATGACATGGATGATGATGCTGAGGAGGAGATGACATTGGATGCTGAATAAGGTGATGTTGATGTTGATGATGGTGGATACTTCCCACCTTGTGCTGCACGCTTCCTGTGAAAGATGTTTGGGATATTGCGTTGGGTATGCTGTTGTTGAGCTGTTGCTGTGTTGATGGAGGAGGAGGAGGAGACGTTGGATAATGATGAAGATGAAGATGATGATGGAGGAGGCCGTTTGCCAGATAATGTTGGGCGAGACGACATCGTCGCGTGGTTACTGTTGCTATTCATGGTGCTGGTAACTGCGGCTGCTTTCGATGTAGGCATTGCCTTGGCTTTAGCCATAAGCTCATCAAATGACAATTGTGCATCCTAGACAATATAAAATACCAACATGTTAAAACCTCGCTTGACACTATAACACACAATGAATATACCTTTTTTGCTGTGGGTCGTAAAGGGAACAACGACGCCCCGTTGCCTGTTGTTGCAGATGTAGAAGCTTTCTTTTTGGTCGATGCCTTGGCATTGCTTGTCGTTGTCTTTTGACGTTCAATTTGACGTTGGCGTTGCTTTTCTTGAAGCATGCGTTGTTGTCGTCGTTCATTCTGTTCTCGGATTGAGCTGAGCATGCGTTGTTGTTCCTCTCGTGCTCGTTGTTGCTTCTCTTCTTTACGTCTACGTTCGTCTTCTTCTTTTCGGCGTTGTCGAGCTTTCTCAGCAAGGACTGCATCCTGGGCTTTGGCCACAGCAGACGCCTGTGCCATCAGCGACTGGAAATCCATTGTGTAAAAAGGAACGTGGATTGATCTATGAACGAGGTGATTGTGGAGGGATCGAGCAAGCGAAAGAGGACAACAGCCGACTGGGTCTGAAATTAAGCACACACCCTGATCTCTCTCCATCTGCCTGCTGCTACTCCTTTGAATCATGCGTTTCTAGGCACACAACCAATACGGGTATTATTATACTCATTGTCCAAGATAGACATAGGATAGCATTTCATTGTCATATTTCACAATAAATGATAACATGAGGGTTGACCATTTATTCAAAATGATACTTTCTTATTATCACTAATAGTACGTAGAAGCTGAGCAATGGGATCACTAGTCTCTAATTTTTGTATCTACTCCTCATTGTTGGATATATACATGCTGAAGGTTGTCGTGGTATCATAGGTCAATTTACCCTCATTTGAAGATAACAATGCATTTTTCAACCATGTTGAGCAATCCAGTGTCAGCCAGTAAAGGTTGTGTGGTGTAGGTGATAAATGCGACTACACTGATGGTGAAACGGTATTGCAAAAAAAGCACGAAATACGTTTGGAAGGCATATTGATTTTGCACTTGTAGAGAACAATCGATACATTGAAACTTCAGTAAGGTCATGGATCGCTAAAACAACTCCAAGCGACGTAACAGGAGCGCAAGATGAGCGTCACACAAGCGAAACCAAGCAAAAGCATGCAGCTGCGATCATTTCTTTTTCGCTGTTACAGTATTTAGCTGTCAAAACCAACATTTGTGTCACCCAATTGCTTTAATCAACATCCATGAAATCATTGTTATTATTACTGTTGCTATTACTACTAGTAGTATCATTATATAAATCCTCTTCAATTTCCTCTGTTGGGTGATTCACGTCCAATTCCTCATTAGGTGTAGCCAAGCGCCATTTCACTGGAGGTGCATACCTAGCAAAATCACGTACATTTTGTATCCTATCATTATGGTTAGAGAGTCAACAATGAAAGGGTATGTAGTAAACACCTTACCGATTTGGATGCAAGATGAAATCCGGTATCCGAAGTCTCTCATCACCTGGTCGTTGTTCTAGAGGAAGATACGTGCCATTCACCTTGGTCTTCACAAGGCTAATATCTTGGTCATCTTTGTTGAGTGATTGTTCTAGATGTTGCTGTGGTGGTGGTGATGATGGTGGGGTTGTATCCATGGTTGGGTTAATAGCACTAGTAGCAGTTGTCGTCGTCGGTGGTGGTGGAGTAAAATGGTTATAGTGCTGCCATTGGTCTTGTTGGCTTAACGACATGGCCGCCATTTCGCGCGCAAACTGCTCGGTAATGTATTTTTTACGTGCATGCTCGGACGTGAGAAGATCGTACTCTGATGGTGAATGTACTCGTTTGTGGTATTGCATGGGTAATTGAGGAAGAGTCAAGAGTCAAAGAAAACCTTACATACATATAAAAGGGCGGGGGTTATTTAGTTTTCCTGAAAGTACCAGAACCTTTTGATCCCGCTACGTCAATTCATGCAGCCTCCTCACCCAGGACATTTGACACCTTCTCATATCGTACAGCCACGCCGTTCAATATTGTACGCTCATTGTTATAGTGAAAACTCAACTTTATTATGATAGAAATCGGCAGGCTGTCATCAAATGCTCCTTAGCTAATATAGTAATCCTTTGGCCTAGTTGCCGGGAATAAAGCAAGTCCAATTTGGCGATAGTAATGGATGTGTGCGTGTGTGTGATAGAGAGAAAGTTTATGCTTGGCATGGGATCCTGGCTACATGATGTTACACGAGACCTTCTTGCTATAGTTGACGCGAAGGGTGGATGAGGATGAATTGGTGAAGGATTGGTGTATCAAGGTTAACACGATCATGTCACATACAATACCAGAGCATGCACCATCAAACCACTTGCAGCTATCAATGTCGTATTCATCTTCCAAAAAGCCGTATAGCTTTTTCATCATGCCTTCTGGGTACATTTTGTCACCAACAACAAAGGAGTCGCCACTTCAGAGGAGGTCCACTTGAATGGCGTTTGAATGAGCGAGTCATTAGCTAAGCTTGTATCAGTATGCAGAACAAAGAAAAAGATACAAAGAAAGGTAATCTTATACACAAAGGCTCCTTCAAGGTATACGGCCAATCACTGCAAAGATAACAAAGAACATAGGAACGATGATGATGCAAGAAATAGGGGGTGGCAAGGATCATCAATGCATGAGCATCCTCAATTCACAGGGTCACCCCAGGCTATCTTTTAAACTTACCATGAGGCTACTTTATCACTTGTTGATGATGCAGTTTCTTGGACCTAATGGTTGATATCTTTATCAATGCACTAATCAATCACGATCTCCTTTTTTGCATGTACACAGGGACTTGAAAGCAAGATTGTATTGCACACCTCCTTCGTCTATTGACTACATACCAAGCGGCAATCTCAACATGGGGAAGGCAAGACATCGAATTACATCAAACAAACTTTCTCAAAAGGCAAAGCGTCCATGGCTTCATATGCATCCTCTACTACATGAAGCATCGTTACTATTATAACGCAATTACGTTTTGAATGCACTGGCGAGTACTACCCATATGACTAACATCTTCCATAAACCATAACCTTACACATTTTCAAGATGTTGAAATAGAAAAGTATTTATGTATTGGAATGGGTGCTATCCTCTTCTTCTTCTTTCTGGTCTGCTTCGCAACCACATTGGTATTTCTCTTGGATATCAGCACAATCGAACACTTCCTTGCCGAGTCGTTCATTGACCTTGTTATGAATTGCACATAGCCATTGGGAGACAGCGACCTTTGAGGAAGTTTGCGGTGGATAACGCTCCAGCAACAATTGAAAGTGAGCGGCACTAAGAGGCCAAGGAGTATGTATCAATGATCCGATCCTACCTATGGGTGATAACCTACTTACCATTCACCGCATGGATAAAGTCTTGACAACAATGTAAAGTAATGCGTCAAAGCGTCACGTTCTTCATCGGATGGATTATCTGGAAACTGTGCCGCCATCGTATGCAAAAGCTACCGAAAAGCCGTCCATGTCAACATGCTGCTATCGTTTAGGTTGGAGTAACACTGACAACTTACCTTCCATGTTGATCGCCCCAACTCGGCTCTTTTCCCCCTTATGTTAATATAGGATTGACTCAAATAGATAAATAGCATACTCACTTGATGGTGGCATTGTTCATTTTGGCGCTAATGACATGGCCTTGGAATGAGGGAGTTGCTGGTTGTGGTGATGGCGATGAGGAAGAGGAGGATTCCATTGTCAGGATAGGTTGATTGCGTGGGTATACAATGACATAGGAAGCTGTTAATGCTAAGCAGAGACAAGTCAAGAACAAAGCAATGATAGTGCGTCTCATAGTAGAAAGGAAGGATGATAGAAAAAAGGGATGACAATATTCTGCAACACAGAAGGAGAGAAAAAGAGGATCATGCAAGGTACTGTTTGTGATTTTAGATGGGCATGCAGCAGTAAACTAGCACACACTTTGTTATTATTCAAGACAGCTTACAGAATGAAAGAAATAGATATTGTGCGTTATAATAGAGATGGGGAAAAAGAAAAAGCAATATGATGTGCGAGGACGTGTGTTGTCGTGTGTTTGTATATATGTGGTGTTGGTGTTGGTGATGGTTTGTGCAGAAAGAAGAGATGTGGGGGGGGGGTTGAAGGGAATATAGATAATGTAATATGATGCTACTTAGTTGTCTTCATCCATCGAAAAGGAAGCGTCTTCAAAAACTTGTTCTTGATCGTTGTCATGGACATTAAAGTCATGTACCTCCATAACAGTCTTGTTACGTGCAGGATTGTTGGCTAAAGCACGTTGCATCAAAACCACAGCCTTGGTATCACTGAATTGAACCTTCCATACAGTCTTTGCAGGATGACTAATGTTGCGTACAAAGCGTCCTTGTCGAATATCCCAAAGTTTGACTCGTCCATCATTGCCAGCGCTGACCATGCGACGATCATCGAATTGTAAACACGTTACAGAATTGTCGTGTGCCGATATACGTTGTACACATTCATAATGCTTAAGATCCCAAACACGTAAACAGCCATCTGATCCACCGCTGATAAGCATGTTGCCATTCAATTGTAGCTGACCAACAAGGGAGGTGTGTCCATTAAGCGTGGCAAGACATTGACCAGTCTCTGGTGACCATACTCGGATATTTGAATCAAGGGAACCAGTGACAACCTTTTGCCCATCAAAGGCAATCGCGTAGATTTGTGAATAGTGGCCGACAAGTACATGTAAGCAACGACCTGTTCTCAAGTCCCATAAGCGTGCCGTCGTATCATAGGAACCCGATGCCACCATATCACCGCTGATATCAAGACATCGAACGCTGTTTTGGTGTCCTTGCAAAAGATGTAGTTGTACTCCTCGTTCAATATCCCATACTCGCATTGTTGCATCCCGGGATCCTGTTACTGTGATACGCTTATCTTTCATCTTGAGACATCGTACAGTGGATGTGTGCCCACGAAGAATATGCCGTAATTGACCCGTTTCCAAGTCCCATACACGTACATCACTGGATATAAAAGACACATGTCAGCTGGTTTGGGGGGGGGGAGAATTGAAAACAATGCCGAGTCTCTTACCGATCGCATCCACCGGACACAAGCACACGATTGGGATCATGTTTACTGCCACCTTTGAATTGTAATGCCCATACGCCGCCCTCGTGACCCATCAGTGTTCGGACTTTGCGAGCAGTTTGTGTATCAAAGACCTCGATTCGAAAGTTTTCACAGCCGACGACAATATACTTTTCATCGAATTGCAAGGAAGTTGCAAGGACATCACCAAAGCCATCATCGATCACCTTGACATGACCGCCATGTTCCCATGCAGCAGCAATGTTGTATTTGCGCTTAAAGTACTCTCGATAAGAAAAGTTGAGTCGTTGTGTTGGTGGATTCAATAGTTCTCCGCCGCATATGCTTGAATTGCGCCGTCGGTATTGGTGTTTCATGCACAATGATTTCCATGTCGCTTCATCCTTGAGCAAAGAATTCCAAAAAGTGGATACACATGATGCTCTTGCCAATGTCTTTGGATCATCAATGAATGATAATACGTGCAAGGATATCTCGATGGGAAGCTCCTTCAAAAAGTCGATCTTGAGTCGAGGTGCAATAAGGCTGTTGAGGTATGTAAGCTGAGAACTATCACAACAATTGATGATCTCATATAATAAAAACTGTTTTTGCTGAGGAGTCAGTTGCTGAAAAGATGTCTTGATATGTCGAATACATTCGAGTTGTTCATCATTGAATATCGACGATAGATACGCTCGATGACTATCCTCCTCGTCGTCTAGATCGCTTGGGTTGGCTGTTGGATGTAAAAGACCATGTTGACGGGATGACTCTGCTTTGGACGATGGTTGATCGTCTGATGTTCTTACACCAGCAATGAAGGTCGGGGGTGTTGCTGGAGGGCTGAGATTGTCGGGTCGACAGATATCCATCGGCGAAGGCCGAGGTTTAACAGGGATCGGCGTGTTGGGTGTAATGTTGGGCAGTGGATGAGTTGAGTGAGAAGAAGAGAAGAAAGAGAATGGGCACTGTCAGGAATGAGTGATATAAAAGTGGAGTATGCTGACAAGTGGAGAAAGCGTTAATACGCACGAGGAAAGGGAGATGTAAAAACGAAAGAGCGCTGCTGATGATCAAGCCACTGCGTTGTTGTTGACCCTGGCAACGACATTTCTCTCACACACCCCAAAGTCAGGCTGACACTTTTTTTCTTTGTGGAAACAAATCTTTTATTATTAGCTCATTGTCTCCTTTCAAATCATTCCCATTGCTTTGCTTTTCTCGTTCTTTGATAAGCACAGACAATTTGTTGGTTTATGCAAGTCTAGTCCCCGTCACCAAAGTAGTACAGCAGCATGCACACAAGTGGTACACTCCCTCCCCTTTTATCAAACTGCATGTAATGTCCTCAAACCCAGCAGATTATCTTTTGGATTGCATACTCGTCAAACTCATCCACTTTATTCGCATGTCCAATGTAATTACCTTTACCCTTCGACCATCATGATATCACTCATTCACCCTTACGACTATTTGTTGTCTCCGTTATGTACCTACCATCAATTGTGGTCTTGAGCGGCACTTGAAAGAGGTTTTGCATGTTGTGATATGACGGGCATTGATATCTCCCCTGGTTGTTGGGTATCTTTTTGATACAATATCTAATCTGAATAGTGCATCCAGACTCTTGGGATCAAGGAACAACCCTAATAAAGCAAAGAATCGATATTCACCTAGTAAACATTGAGGTCTAGGAGGTCAGAGATTTCTACTTTTGAGGGGATGGTTCATCCACCATGTAATCGGATTGGCTCATACGTTGATCAATATCCCTCCTAACAACGTATGCATAGTAGAAAATTTATAGGCATCAAGTGATGAAGACATGGCAATAGCTGCTTAATGGATTGCAAAGAGTAGTTCGAATTACTATCACTATGGAGACGTATATAGAAAAGTAAGGAGCTAGTTTAATGAGATCATCGAGAGATTTATATTATTTGTTGCGTGATGGTTTATACAAGCGGGATAAGAGAGGAACGATGCAAGTGAGTGCTAGCGCACACGAAATTGAGAAAAACAAGATGCAAACAAGTAGTACAACGTAAAGGAGGAAAATGTCAAATTCTAATAGTGTTGTGTGGATGGGGCTGGTGGTGTTGCTATATTATTACTGTCGTTCGGCATGGTAGATCTTGTAACCAGGTAAGCCATAGACCGAGAAACCCATTGCCACAGCCACTTTGCCAAATGCTTCAGCATCTACTTGATGGCGGTACACGAACGAAGGAAAGTTGGCACCTTCACGATGAACATGTGATTTTACAAGAGTGAATGTGGCACCAACGCCGTCTAATGGAACCTTGTAGTCTTCACCAAGATGCGTCGGCATGTCGACCAGCTATGCAACACAACATCCCATCCCATCATTAATGATCAACTCTCCTTGGATCCCTTTTTCCTTGCCCATGCTACTACTACTACTTACCAGTGATCGTCCCGAGGAGAAGTCGTTGTAGCCTAAAGAAACAACGAAAGGGTATGATTTAGTATTCCTTGTGCTTCTATTTTTGGGTAATGTGTCGTGCGTGTGTGTGTGCCTGAAATTCCGTGTCCCATCTCTTTCCTCCACCTTCTCCTATCTCATTGACTCTCCCTTTGATGTACTTTACCTTCCATAAGAATCGTATCTTGGGGCATCCATTGTTGCATTTGAAGCGAGTAATCCGATTCAGCCCAATTGTTGCGATCATATCCCCAGAATGCATAATCCTCTCGATACAATAAGCAGTTTGGCACCACGACATCACCATCGGCACTCATGAGATCCTCAAAGATGGTTGGTGGATATTCAACGACATCAACATCGACCCAAGCGACCCAGCTATGATAATCTCGTAATGCTGCACTGAGTAAAAAGTTACGTGCCCGAGCCATCATGGAACGCACATAGGGACGATTTGCATTGCTGCTGCTACCAGCTGTAGTCGCCAGCTCAAAGTTGCGTTGATAGACACTGATTTCGTGGAATCGATTCAGCCATCGTTGTCGCCATTTCCGTACAACTGTTTCAAGGGTCTCGAGTAATAGCGTGTCCGAGTCGTCTGTCACAAGCAAAGCAATTGAAATGAGCTGATTGGGGAAGGTGGTGCGATCCAGCTGGTTGAAAAAGTGCTCGAGTTGTTGTTTGTCAAGAGGAGTGTGGAGAAGCGGCGTCAATACCAAAAGGTGTTCATTTTGTGACACTGCATCCGTAGTCGAGTTGAGATCATTCAAGTTGAGATAATAAGTGTCGTGTTCATGTTCATCCGTTACTTTTGCACCATCCCGTTGATATAAGGATCGTGTGTTTGGATCACAAGATGTGTTACTTGTTGTTTGTAATGATACGGTTGAAACAAGATAAATAAAAAGTGCCGTCAATAGGGTGCTGATGATGATAAGCCGACGGCCTCCACGAAGATTGAGTAGGGATATCATTTCCCTCGGGTATGTAATGCAATGCTAAAGGAAAGAGAAAGAAAGAAGGGGAGAAAATAGCAATTGTGAAGGTGTTGCCATCCTTTTTTTCTTTTTTCTCGCTTTTTAACCTTCGCTAGGGTAAACTCAACAATGGGGATACACAAATGATCCGAAAAAGGATGTTGGCAGTGGGTGGCTCATTGTGATTTATATTCTTTTGCCTTTATCCTTTGCATAACGTCTTTGAGAGATTAAAAAGCATGAACACATCCAATCTAATCTCCCGCTCGCTCCCATCCCACTCGTGGTTAGTTCGCATAGTCGTCCAAGACGAATGAATGGAACATCACGGGTGAAAAAAGGAACAAGAAACTGCTGAGTTTTGTCGGAGGAAATGGTTATTAATGGATCGTCGACCTTGTCCAGACTTTTTGCACTAAACCAGGGGTACACAAGCCTGGTGGGATCGACGCACCTTTCACACTGCCTCCTCTTCTCTCTCTCTCTCTCTCTCTCTCTCTCTCTCTCACACACCACACATTTTCACACTGCCAAGACCATCCAATAAACATGTCAACCTACTTTAAACATTATAGCTTGGGATCACAACAAGGCACTCATCTCATGCAGAAAGGACTCTGGGACATCCATGTCACACACACGCTTGTCCTTTTTGTCCATGGCATGGCTCTTGTACTTGCAAAAAGAGAAAGAGAGGGGATAGAAATTGCAGCTTGTTGCATGCCAATGTGTGACATGTTTCCTTGCATGTTATCCAATGGATCGGATTGTGGTGTGCGTTATGATACCGTGTTTACGTTTCCAAACAAACATCACACATACACACACGCAGTTGGAAGCACATGATCGATGCAGAAACAAAGCACCTAAGAAATCATAAGCATATCACACATATCTGTGTATTGACAAGTGTAACAGTTTGGTGTTGCACAAAGTCTATATAGCCATGCTGTGCTCTATAATTGCATATCGTGAGGCTGAGAAGGAGGAGCAAGTGCATCTCCAGCCATAAAGATGAATGAATGATGGGTGAACACTCACCCCCAATGCATCATGCAAAGCCAACAAGGCTTTGATCAAAACATGTACATTCAAAAAAGGGCGTACGCTAAGCCAACAACAATAAGCAATGGCCATCAATGGCGATGATTAAGGTTGTGTGTGGGAGGATAATCAATGCATGTGCAAGGAACAAGGTGCGTGTGATGAGAGAAATGATCAACATGTGCACAGGGTTTGACATGCGGGCTGTGTGTGTGGCTCGGGTAACATGTAGTATGCGTATAAATGAATTGAAGGATGCTTTTATTTGTCATATATGTACACTTTTTTAAACTGCCTTTTGTTTTAAGAAAAGAGGTGGGGATGATGACATGAGTATCATCGATCGATGGTTATGGATAATGTTAAAAGCGAGTGCAGGGAATGGAATGGAAATTGAAAGAAAGACGTGGAGACAAAGAGAGAGGAAGAGACAAAGAGAGAGAGGGCTAGCTACTATTTACACAAACAACATGACAGAGATGGGAGAGAGAGAGAACAACAAAAAAGAGGAAGGAAAGGAGAGGATATAATAGTGAAAAAACAACTCCCAGATCAACGGGATGAAGCACCAAGCCAACCTAACTTGCCAAAAGTACTCCAAAGCGTGCTGACCTTGTTGACATCAATGCGACATAACTTTTGTGCCTCGGATTTGCGGAAGGGGGTACCTTCCTTATGAGCTTCTTGTGCTGCGAGGATAAGGACACGCTTACAACGAATATACTGCTCGGGCAACAAACGTAAGGTGGATGCAATTGTCACCTCGCCAGGGTGTAGTTGGTCATAAAACTCATACTTTTCGATTGAAAGCGGTGTGCCTAAGAATAAAGTTTAGGTATGACGCACAATAAAAGTTGTATATAAAGCATCATGGTTTACCTTTCCATACGACACGAACGGGCTTTTCATTGAAAACATCAAAGCTAGGCATCCATTCTGGGTCAAACACTTGAGAATCAGGCACATGGATATCGATATTGTCGTATGCAACAGCAGCCTCTGTTTTTGCCTTTTTCATGTGACGATCCTGCTGTGTCGATGTTGTTGCTTTTGTCATGTGCTGATCAACTTTTGAGCCAACATTTCTTGTGTCGGATTTGTTGGTCATGAGGGCGTTGTTGTCGGATCCTTCTTTATTGGGGTCATTAATGGCATCAATCCTTGCATGCTTACGAGCCATTTGTTGTTGTGCATACAACCGCACCTGTGCAGCTCCAAAGCATAATGCAAATGCATTTTCAGATGAACTAGGATCAATGCTTCGTACAGGTCGCTGTTTGGTACGTGCTGTTGGAATGGATGTCTTTACATTCATCATCTCGACGTCATCGGCTGTGGATGATGGTTGTGGTGAAGATGCAGAAGATGATGGTGGTGAAGGTGGGAGATGTGATACGTTGGATTGTTTTCGGTTGTAATCGCCTTTTGGTTTTGTATATGGCATGTGTCGTCGTTGTGCTTTGTTGATGATTGGTTTGCTTGGTTTTACTTTCAATGATGTTGTCGACGTTGTATTGCTCCATGTTGGAATGGCCTTGGATCGCTCAAGATGAAACTGAAACACTTTGCTGTTTTGGGATCGACATTCCTCGATATCCGAAGCCAAAAGAAGTGGTGGTGAGTTTGGGGGCAATGATGGATGTGATGGACAACGATTGCGGTATGAAGCCGAAGCTGGTGTCCATTCAGAAGGAGGATCAAATAAACCACACAATTTAACCGCTTCATCAGCAGGGGTGGCTGTGGGATGAGCATGGGTCGACCACAATGAGTGGTTACTTGTTGCAGTGTTGACAATGGAGGAGAGGTCCATGATAATTTTCTGAGAAGAATGAAAAGCGGAGAGAGAATGGCAAGAAAAGTACAAGAGAGAAAGAAGAGAAAGAGGGAGAACGTTGTGGCATGTCACGCCCTATTATCCACTCTTTTTATCCGCAGCCTTTTTTTTTTTGCTTGGCACATCATATAACTACTAATCTTTGCGGATGTTCCCTGATGCCAATCCAAATTTAGATTATGGTCCACACCTATAAGCACATCTTAGACACATGGCCGCCATCTATCTTTTTTGTTCCGCATGCCATTCGTCAAGCCTAATCGATGATTACATGGCGAGGCACCAAATGTCACATATGCAAGCAGCCTATCTCTCGGCGTAGATTGTGTCGATCATCTCTCTTCTAGACATGGGGGTGTTATAGATGTAAACGAGTGGATAGACATATCGAGACAAGCTTCCATTACCATGGATTTCAGGTCAAGCACGCTAAGCTCGAAAAGGCAACAGATGGTACATCAATGGAGTACTCTTTTTTTCGACGTCGATCCAATGCCCTTGTGTAACGGGCGTTAGCTTTAACCAATAAGTCATTCATTTTTACTCTCCCGACTCCCTTTGTGTGTCCTGTACGCACTGGTTTCTCATGGGACCAGCCCATTTTTTTCGTTTGTATGGTACAGAGATCAGAGTAATTCATTCCAATTAGCCTGCATATGTCATCATCCATCAATATTACATACCAAAAGATATTGCTGCCTGCTATCTTTTGGAATGTCCCCCATACACAATGTTGTCATGGTATGAGTATTATGCTGCATGCCAAGGCCGAGGTGCTGTTGTTGTTGTTTCTCTCTCCATATAATTCCCATCACGGGTTGCAAGAGGAACGATGAGAGGGTGGGGGGTGGTTTAGCAGTCCAATGACTTTCCTTTATAATATGGCTATGGATGGCATCTAATATCATCATTCCCATCCCCCAGCATCATTCTTGCTCAATAATTTTTCAGAGTCTCGTTCCCTCAGCTGTGTTAAGCGTATCGTGTTTGAGCTGGATGTGTTGCCACCATGTGATTGGCCCAAAGCCTCGATGTTGTTTGGTGGCACTCTAAAAACGAAATGAGGGATGATGATGAGATAAATCCCTTAAATGGCTAACCGGCATACCTAGGCCAAAGGATGAGCGAGTGCAAGAGAAAATCATAATACATCACCGGCAAACATATTGGGCTTGGCTCATTTGCTTGATTAGGTAAACCGGCTGATCAAGCGCTGCTGCTGAAACACATAATTGCTCAAAAGCAATAAGTCGCATACCAGGTTTTTTGTTTTGTTATGCTGTAAACCTGTTGCCTGAACCAGGTAAGTCTTTAGAAAAACAATTGGCATACCATGTGTTGATAAAAAGGGGAGGTTTATGTGTGAATGGAGTGCTCCTGTGTGTGTCAAAAGATAGGCGCACCCAAACTTTTGCTTGTTGGGATCTGCAAGGTGGCTACACAGAGACTGGGGTACGAAACATGGAGCATGAGATGTGAGGCTCCGCACCCCCATTGCGAGACACTGCCGATTTAACCGCCAAATTTTCGGTAAGGTCGATATGCACCATCATCAACCACACCATTCTTTTTTTAAGTAAGGAGAAACATTTAGGGCAAACGAATCGTTTATTAATACGTCTCGAATTCTTGGCACCTGTCATGCAATCGTGGTTGCTATTCAATGGATTACAATTACCAATCATCATTACTACAGTTGTTGTTGAATGTAATCCTTAATACATAGGTCATCATTTTGAATTGCGTGGTGACCATGAGAGAATGTTGTGTGCCACCGGCTATTCATCTTATGTGTGTCACGCCATGAAAATGACCGAGGAAAATAGAGTCATTCACCAAGCCAAAAACAAAGGCAGTGGAAATAAGGTGTTGTATGCTACTACTATATCGGCACATTCCATGTGTAATCCTTTCCCGTGGCTGAAGCGAAAAAAAGAGGCCCATCGATTCTGACATGACGCTTTGGCAATGTAGATCATGTGGCGGGAGACGTCGTACCTGGCTGGAAACACACACACGCACTCACACACGACGCACAACATTACACAGATGGTGGGTGTGTACCACACTACCGAAAACAACAATTGGGTTTTAAACCAAGTCAAATGCATGCTTCGGGACCCACGCGATCATGCTTCTTTTATGAACTTTTATGATTCATCCTTAATGTTCCTTGAAGCATTGTTGTTTTTCCCTTCTCGTATCCATTACATAATGTCAACCGCTTTTGGGTTGATATGGCACAGCTTATTCAAGTTGTTGAGATCATCCATGAAGAAGGACGAGGGGATGGAGGAAAGGGAAGAAAAAAGATAAAGCCACGTTGTACGTAACCTCTAACCGACATTGGACAAGCAAACGTGAGACATTATAGAGTAGTACCACTGATATGGGTCATGCAAGTTAAGGAAGAAATGTATTGATTTCATCTTGCTTACTGATGAGGCGTTAGATTGTAATGCGTTTTGTAATACAGATTATTGAAAGTGATTTTATTAGCAAGTTAAATGGATTTGGGGGGATCTCGTTCCCAAAAGGTATTCTACATTTATACTGCCCATTGAGCATCCCTAGCCAACTCCATGAAATATAACGACTTGTGAGTGATGTTGTGTGCAGGATATAGTAACATGCAAAAGGTGTAAGAAGAAAACTAAAAGGATAACAACAAAGGTACAAAAGATAGATAGATGTTGTATGTGAAGGTTGCGTGGATTGTGTGCGTGTTGTGTGTGCGTGTGTGTGTGGTGTATGTGCGTGCGTGCATGTATTGAGAAAAGAGTCTAGAAACCGGAAACAAAGACAAGTTCTTGGAAGCATTGGCCCTCGACCTCGACCTTTTCGTCACCGACAGTGATCTCAGCAGTAGCCTTATCGAGCCACTGGTAAATGTATGGCTTGACAACGAATCGCTGGACAAGTTTCTTAAGGAACCATGGGATCTCGTTGAGAATGTCGATCTTGTCAATGAGGTTCTTGACGCTGACGACCATGACAACCGAAACATCCTTGACTTCATCCTCTTTGCCCTCTTCCTTGATCGTCTTTCCTTTCCATGAGAGCTTGATCTTTTGTGGGATTTGATAATCGGTGTCTGCATCATGTTGAAGATCAAGAAGCTCGACGTGGTTGTCAACTGAGACGGTGATAAGCTTGCCATTGAGGACAACTGATCCTTGGTTGATGTTGACAGCGCCATATTGCTTCGTGGTTTGGAATTGCATCATCGACAAAGAGGTGCCATCGGGTGATTGAAAGTTGCAAAAGTTCCAATTTGATGCGATCAGTTGTGGTTGCATGCCTTGAATTGCATGGATAAACATGCCATCACCATCCACTTCGTGTAACGTCTTGTCAATGATGAATGTGCCTTTGGCTTCTGCACGAGGCCAGAACTTGTGTGACACATAGCCAGCAGCCGTGCTTTGGTCGCCACCTCCAAGATACGTTTTACCCTCGCCCACCTTGAATCCATCACCCACACGCTTGAAATCCAGCGACACAACAAGTTCAGGATGAGTGATTTGCACCTTGTAGGTCGTTCGAGTAGGATCCAAAGTGATGTTGAAGAATTCGGTCTTGACGCTTTGACGATCTTCGGACAACTCAAATTGGTATGCTTGGTTGATGTTCTTGAAGGTGTTGACACCATTGCCAGGATCATAGAAGCGACACGTAAACGAGATTGTGGGGTTCCAGATACTAATTGCGCATCATGTCAGCTCAGGGTTTCAGGTGATACATCAAACAAACACATACACACACACACACAAACGTATACACGCATCCATTATTGCCACCATGAACCCAATACGCCACCCATATACATACCCAATGCTCGAATAAATAAGCTGCACAAAAGCAAATCCTCCCGTCTTCGTGGTAACGTAAAAGACTTGGTTCTCTGTGGAAGATCCTGAAGCACATGTCCACTCGAGATCGTGCTCATCTAACTTGGTATAGTATTGGCCGTCCTTGACCGTGTCAGCGACAGTGCGAACAGACTCGACGGTGGTGCCCAAGCCTGTGACATTGGAAACGGTGCTAGATAACTGAGAAACTAGTGTGTAACACGCGTAAGTTGCTTGTTGCTCATAGTAACATGCACATCGCCTTCCATGCATTGTACTTACACCAAGATGCCATTGTTGCAAAATAAAGGGAAGAAAAGTGCGGGCTGCGACTGAGCTGGCGGAGACGAGCGGTCTCACTCCTTTGTACTTTACAAGTGACCGCTTAAAGCATTCATCAATCATACATGCATACACCAATTGAGCTTGTGGATCAAACGCTGGAGAAGTAATAACGGCTTTATCAATCAATGTATGGATACAATGACCCCGTAATCCATTGTCGTATTGTTAGCCTTATATGATTTCACACTTTTGATACACCCAATCCATTCTACAACATCACACGCATCTTGCTGACTGAGAAGAATTACGTTACTGCCTTCCCGCAAAAGTGGACCATGCAGCAGATTCTTGCATCCCCCAATCTATATTTCATGCCATCATAGTGTATTGAATCGTATTGTCGTATTACAACAAAGCTTGTCGTATATGGATTAGTGGTTCCTAAAGTGTAATTTAATGCTTTGAATTGCATATCAATCAAGCCTACATCGCTTCTTTCGTCCATTTCTTCCTGAATTGCACATAAAACATAGCAACAGCTACATGGATGAATCAGATCACGACCCTGTTATGTGGCGGGTCACGCATCAGGCGGTAATAATCTTGGCGGAGTAAATGACATACATGATGTGATGATGTATTCCGCTTTCAGTATTTCTGTCGTTTATATGCACGAGCGTCGTTCTCGTGGGAACAAAGCTATACACACACACGCATACACAAACACTGGGTAATCCAGCTAGAATTGGGTGACGATGATGAAAATGTAATACCTTGTGTGCTGTATTGTTATGTACACGTGTGAGTCTCTATTTGAATTGAAAGGTCACTGATACCTTAGATGGGCACACAATGTGAAACGTTGGGCATCTGTATCAGGGTTGTGGTTGGTGAAAGAGTTCGGCAATAAAAGAGATATAGTATGGGAGATCGACTTTTGCTCATTCATGAGCCAACACCATGTGCCCGTTTTTTTTTCTCTTTCTTTGTTTTAAAACGGAGCACGTCAGAATGCATTTGTCTCTCTTACACAAAGAAAACAGCGATGCATGCACGTATGCATCTGGGTGGATACGTACCATGTATTGTCGTAAGTTACTAATGTCATCATATGTATATAAAGGCGAGGATTCATTATCCTTGCGTAGATTCTTTATCACTACTGCTGATGGTATATGCATGATATGAGGATGTTTCATGGAAGAAAGAGGAGGCATAAAAGTTCGAATATATACACACGCATGATAATTAAAATAGAATATAAAGAACGTTTGTAAAAAAGAAAGAAGCTCAATCTTTCTTGGATGTCGTCGTTGTAGTGGTGGGATGATGAGGCGACAACCAATTGTACGCATGAAAGAGAGCCCATAGCCTACTGCTCTTGTTCACGTCGATGCGACACACCTTTTGTGCATCCGACTTGCGAAATTCTTGGTGGTGCAAAGTGAATTCCCGAGCAGCCATGATTATGGCTCGTTTGCATCGAAGATAAACAGCAGGTGTCATCCTCATGTGTGAAATGATCTTCACTTCCTGAGGATGTAAGCGATTCAAGTAGGGTTGATGATCATCAGGGGGCATTGGTTGTCCTAGCAACATAGCTCGTTGAATTGATCCCATCGTAAAAGTGGGGAATGCATGTATATCTTACCCTTCCATGAAACGTCTACTGGGACCTGGTCTAGGGACACTGGATTGGGCACCCAATCGGAAGGGAAAAAATCATGATCGTCATTATCAATGTTCAATGTGTCAAACGTATAGGCCGGATGCAATGTAAGACCCTTGATGCGCAATTCACCTCCATTTGCATTGTTGTTGCTGCTGCTCGTTGCAGGTCGATTCGAAGATGGACGCCTTGTTGATGATGTCGTTTTGATAGGAGCTTCGCCAATCACCTTCTTTTTGTGGGACACTAATGGGCTCGGTGGGATATCCTTGTGCGACATGTCACGAGCACTGCCTGTTTTTGTGGTGGATGAGCTCTTTTTCGGTGGATCGGCAATGTCGTGGGGAGAGTGACATCTTCTTCTATGCTCCCAATCACAGCTCAATGATCTACTAGGTCTTTTCACAGATCGATCAAGGATTAAGGTGGTATAGGGTGGTGAGGGTGGTGTAATTAAACCATTATCTTGATCATTGTGATTGTCGGTGTGCCTGGATAAAAGAGCGGATCCAATTTGCGACAGGTCGTGTCTTTTCCCAAAGAGACAAGAATGAGTCGGGCGAAGATAGGGTGCCATACGAGCATAGGCATGGATGAATTGCTTTCTGCTAGTGATCCCGGAAGGAGGTGGAATAGGTTTTTTATCACCAGGGACTTTTTGATAGGGAGGGAGAAAAGTAGCAGCGGTGTGATCTTGTTCCATTGAAGTGGGTGTAGGTGGTGGTGAAGAAAGCATTGCAGGTAATGAAGGTAGTGTAGATGATGATGGTGAAGTAGGGGGAGAATATGATAAGGACGAGGGAGGAGGATCATTGATCTTACACAGGGTTTGGATTTGAAGGCAAGATGGCAGGGTATCGCGTGAAGATGATGTTGAATCCATGTTACTATCCTGGAGTGGAAAAGACAAGCGAGCAAAAAGAGAGAGAGAGAAGCAAAAGGAAAAAAGAAGGTTTGCTGATTGTTTCTTACTGGACACAGAAATTGAATGATCACTGTGCAGGAACGTCATTCCCAACACAAGGTTTATAAGCTCAGTCCAAAGTTGTCTGTGGTAACATGATCACTCTTTTGGAGGGTTACAACCAACCTATTCTCTTTTTTTTCATCGGTACATCACACCATTGCTTAATTTGGCTTGTCCTTGCATTAGGTGCATCCACACAGCTTCTATCACTATTCATTCTCCTTCATGTAGCCACACTTTTTTTTTTCCAATGCGCCTTGTCCATCACTCTTCGGCATGCATATGCATGTGCATTATCATCAGCTCGTTGGTATTATTGATAGATTTATGCATTATCACAAGGGAAAGTATATGAAAAGAGATAACAGAATTGGGTGGCACAGAAGAATTAAACGTAATTGAATACCAATGTAAACATACACACTTTCTCTCAGCAACAACAGATGATCTACCCAATAATCGCTCATCATCAGTTCCAAGCTTTCACATACATGGATCACTGGTGAAACGAACATGTTTCGACATGCATATACACACATACATAACATTGATAGCCCGACATCTTCTTCAATCCTTCCCAGGTCATGTGCACGTATTCATTGGTTGTGAAAGTGGTTACAAAAGTCACCAAACATATATTCGGAAATCAATTGTCTCTCTATCATGGGGCTATTGTATCAAAGGTAGGCATTGCATCTTCCGATTCCTTATCCGACATGTCCCGCCTGATCAAATCCATTAGAAAGTGCGTTTCTTGACATCAATGGATACCTAGAAAGGATACGTAAAGGCTTAGTTTTTTCTGTTATAGCATATGCTGCACTTGAACAACCCCTTGTTTCTTGTCCACGCGCTTACCAAACAAGTAAAAACACAGCAGCATTTCATTGTGTCATTGCTGAAGCTGACGATCCCCTCTCCCAACCACCTCCTTCGGATTGATAGCATTGGCTCAGCACCTTGTTACGTAGGTTTCCTCTTGATGAGTACGCCAAACGCTGTTGACTCAAATTGTCGTGTTGACAGCTCTTCGTGTGCATGACGATGATGGTACGACGCTTGGTGTATGTGTGTGTGTAACCGTTGCCCTGATATGACATCCCACTTTCCGAGTAGCCGGTTGCTGCATATAGTATACACCAGGTCCAACTTGAACACACAATCGACACCCATCATGAGGCTTCATTCAGCTTTCGAATAGGGACATGGACGCAATTGCAGGTGCCAAAGCTGAGGAATTGAGAGCTTTATCAAATAGAAGTGAAATGCTGGACACCATTGGAATAAAAGAGACCACCATGTTGCTGATGCGTTGGGGGGCACACACAACCACTTTTGAAATGCGGAGAAGAAAGGATAAAAAAGAGAAATGGGTGATGGAAAGTAAAAAGAAAGCGTTGTGGTAGTGGAACAAGGAGGGGGGGTTTCGTCAAGAGCAAGGATCGCACGGACGAGCATTCCTGATAGAGGAGGAGGAGGAGGAGTACAAATGTGCTGACCTGGGGTAGTAGTATCACTATTACCTGAAAAGAGAGCAACGTTCCTGTACAATGGATGAATTGAATAGTGTGTGATGAGGAACGCTGGATGGAATATGTAAAGCATATCACACAAAGGGGGAATGAAGGGGTGAAGGGGCATCAACGTACACCCAAAGTGATAAACAACGAGCCAGGCAGCAAAGAAAGAATATGAAAAGTGCTTGAGACAAGAATGCCATCTCTCTCTTTTTCTCATTTGTATAATGACAGACACCATCCACCATCATCCTGTGCTATGCATCCCAGAACTTGTCAGCCTTATCATGGAACACATGGTTGCCATAGACAATGATGGCAACAAAAACATCCGCAACACATTCATCCCTTTGCTACCATGCTTACTCGTCAATCGTTTATGGCACGATTGTGCAGCAACCATTGCATGGCGTGATTTGGTATTCGACAAGTCATGTGAACCTTTACTAGGTCGCTTTGTAAAAGCAATGGCTGATACCCAGCAACAAGAAGAAGAGCACAGCATTAATGACACCAACGATGATGACGATATCGACGACAAAAAGAAGATGCAACTTGCACGAAAAAGCGTCTTAAGCAATTGCCTCGAATACTTGATGCGGACACCTACTTCAGCTGATGGAATGAAGAAAAAAAGTAGCGACTTGACAATCCAACTACAACAGCAACTACTCAATTTTTATCGCAAATCGGTACGCTCCATATCATTACGCAAGATCAAGAGTGATACAATCAATCAGCAACTTGAATGCATTGCACCCTACGCTACTCGTGTGGAGCAATTGGATTTATACATTTGTGATCATCTCCAAAATCATGCTGTGGTACCATTCTTCGCGCACGGACAACTTACACACTTATCACTTGCTGGGTGCTATCGCATCAACGACGATGTGATTATCCAAGCTGCACAACAATGCCCAAGATTACAACATTTGGATGTACGTGCTTGTGGTCGTATTTCCGATAGGGCTATTGCTGAGGTAGCCATGCACTGCCAACACCTACGACATTTGAATGTGGGTCGTGTACGTGACCGTGATCGTATATCCATAAAATCCATAAGGCTGATTGCCCTCCATACCCAAGTATCAGTCTTAGGTTTGGCAGGCTGTGATATTGACGACGAGTGTATGCGTATACTTGTTCATGCACGTCATCATCATCTTGAACGTATTTCTGTCAACAGCTGTCCTCGGATTTCCAATGCCAGTCTTCGTGCATGTATCCAATATTGTCCCAATCTTTCGGTTTTAGAAATCAAAGAATGTCATCGCATCAATGATTGGAACCTTATCCATTGGCTCCAGAGCCAACGTCATGTGTTAGTGACTATGTGCGAACAGCAAGAGAATGCAGCGAATGCATGGGAAGCTCGACATCAACAACAAAAGGCACAAAACTACCTGTAGCAGCAACAGCAACAATGCTGTAATGCAGGAACACGGCGTATTATTCGACCAACAATAGATAATTCGACAACTCATCCCATCCTGAAACGTATATAGAACCTTAATCGGCGGCGGCAATAATGTTGCTGCTGGTGGCAAATATGTGGATGCAGCATAAGGCGGTGCATCATCATCCCTGAACTCTTCCGATCAATTTTTAATTTAAAGGGGTCCTACGCCGATCGTAGCAATAATCTAGTACATGCATCGATCAGCTTGTGTATACTCGTCATTTCTCAAAAGTTATATAAAGATGTACTTTAATTCATGCAACTGAGTTTACTAATATTGACACACACGCCATTGGCCATATGACCATTTGTACCAATTTGGGGAGGTGGGGGAGTAAACGATAGCCACCAATGTTCTCCTATGATACTAATCAGCCCACAGACTTCCCAAGTATGCGTACATGATTCAATGTTCAATTGGCATTTTCAGCGCGCAGGGATGCAATTCTTCAATTCACTGGTGAGAGGCATGCAGGTATCAAGCTTTAAATGATGATGTTGTTAGACTACTACATCCACTTTTAGGCGAATGAGAGCTCTCTTATAACCTAAACTCCTTCCCTTCCTTCTTCTGCCATCCATCTAGCACGTTTTCATCTTCTTTACATACATGTATTATAGGTTGTATAGCAATAGTAGGGTCTATAGAGTACTTGTATTCTTATGCGTATATGTGATCTATGAAAGAATTTGTATAGCTATAACAGAAACCCCTTGTAAAATACGGCATGTCTCAAATGTATAAGTTTCTGCAAGGGTTGATGTACGGATGGATCCATGTAGCGGGGGGAATTCAGCTACAATGCACAATGCTTCCATGTCGGGATTATCCAGGATTTCAGCAAGGGAATAAGGTTTTCCGTTTCTTCCCCCATTTACACACTTACTCGATATACTCGCGTTGGGAAGCTGCAGCCTATTGATTACCGCATCAGATCGACTCTGCTCTTTCACTTTTTACTTGCAAATGCACAAGGGACCAGGCAGCAAAGCAAATGGCGGGATCCCATGCCTTAATCACTGAACCGCATCAGGTATCACCGTCACCATCGTCAACCCCGTATCCTGTGGAGCCTGGACAGGTAGCCATTCTATCATGGTATGGTGTGGTCATGGCCTATGCAATACAACTCGCCTATCGTTGTGTGGTCCGAAAAATCGACGCTGAACATACTTGGGTGCGCGTATGCAAGTTATCCTTGGGTATCAGCTTCTTTATCAAGGGGGTTCTTTTTGCAACCCTCGGCACAAAGTATGTATGTGTATACGGGTATTTTAGAGTGTATGAGATTAACATCTAGTGTATAGTCTTATCAGTGATTGCATTGCTGTAATACGTGCAGCCGATTTCTTCTTCCATTTTGGCATGTTGTCAGGCAATGCGGTGCTGCTGTTGCGAGTACGCGCCATCTTCCCGCACGAGTGGAATACCACATCCAAGATTTTTCATATCATGATCATCATCATTCGCCTGGGCATTGGAGTGGTCGACATGTCTTTGCTCAGCTATGTCAGGGGTCCTCGAGGGATGTGTCGATACCAAGAAAGCGCATATGCAAGTATCATAGCAACCACATGTAGTTCATTGTCTTGATTCTCATCCAGCATTGGATATTTAGTGGGGACCTGTATACACCTTTTACGACACACTAGTTGATGCATACGTCACTATTATGATTGGATACATGCTGTCAAAGCACATTGCACGGCTACGGCGATCGTTTGTGGAAGTCAATACCAGTACATACCTTGTATTCCTTGCTCAGAATGTGATCCGCACTACGGTGTTGACGGGCGTCAATTTGTTGTCAGCTTTATTTATTCTCATGGTAACGTATACTTTGGTGATGGTGGAATTACTTGTAAAGGCTTACGCTCCATATCATTAGCGTGAAGGTCATTATGCAATCATGGTTTTATGGCCTGTAATCAACTCATTGGTGATACTATTGATCGGCTACGATGTTGATTTGACGCGTGTGGTGCATGATATGAGATTGATGTTATTGAACCGGCGCGTATCACATTCCGAGATGGAGGATGTGGAATATGGTGAATCCATTGATCATGATGGTGATCGTCGTACTCTTCGATCTACACGGCCACAAACCATACAAGGGGAACCCAAGATCCGTGTACCTCCTCGATGCAAGTTATGTGGATCTCGTATCGACCCAAATGGATATGCTGCCTCTGACCCAGCAATGGGCAACTATGCATCTTCAGCACATTATAGCCCTAATCACACGCCATCATCCTTTCTCTCCGATCCTTCTGGCATTTCGGCTATTCTTGGTTCAGATTACTCGTCTCATTCACCATGCGATAGTCCATACGATGAATTGCAAAAGTTTGACTTTTCACCCACATCGACACTCCCAACACCGGAATTGGAACGTATAAGCGAGAGTTATGATCGTACTGCTTCACCCATGTATATACCACCACCTTTGAAACAGTATGCATCCTATTCCCCTTCACCAGATGGTAACAGCAACAATCGAAGAAAGTCGTATCCACCACGGAGGAGAAGTATATAACGTTACACGAAGCAACACTTATTAGTTGATCGACGCACACTCTCCCTTGTCCCACATGATACCCGTCCTCACTCCTTTTTATTATGCCCTCGAACATATAAACTTTTCTTCCTTCAACATCATACATTTATGATACATGTCCAATGCAGTAATATCGACAATGGCATATGCTGGTGATTGTAATGATTGCCGACATTCAACTATGATGCTGTTGCATAATGCTCAATGTGGATGGGTAATTGTGTGATGCACCATTATGATGAATTGTCTCTTGATTTGGATGATGGATTATTAACAATGCCGTCATTGCCTAAAAGTTATCGCGTATGCCGCGTTTGTTGTGTGTGCACACGTAGTCAGGCGTAGGGAGGAAGGGAGTAGACAAAGTATGAGCGAGCGATAAAACAGCCGAATCATTTACCCACTGCTTTTACAAACTTTTTGCACAGGATTCAGGAGAGGACATCGAGTTTCTGCAGCCCATTATCATTGCATTTCATGCACCATGTTGGGTTGCCATGCTGACAGGTTCTTTTTTTTTAAAACATCCAATAGCCACGGACTATTAACAGCCACAATAGTATCCAGGACATTCTCACGCGGGATATGCCATTGATATGGTATGGCAGATTCGGGTGGAAGCATAGCTCAAGTAACAAGAATTTTCGTTGGTGTCTCCTTCATCCTTGGTTAAACCACCCCTCTCATCCTCCTTCATGTGTCAACGTTCCGCTGTTTCCCTCTCTCCTGATGTTGTGGGCTAATTGATACAAAAATATGCGAGTGACACATTTAAACACTGGTTTCTTTCTCTGCTTTTCGTATCATCCTTGTTGTGACCCAAAGTAAAAACGTCATGAGCAACATGTTTTCATTCATCCTTTTGCTATTCACGCTTGCCTTATGGCACACGACCAACGCGGTCTCTATTCAAGATTTCCTTTTCAGCCCTTCTAATGTGGGAGACGTGTTGCCCAAGATTCCACTTAACTTTCTCGGTGGTATTGTAAGTTGCATAATGATGCATGATTCAATGATGCATAGAACGCTAACCATCACTTGAAACCCTATATAGGCTGTGGCAGAATTCTCGGTCGGTACGTATTGTTTAGCATTCTATGTCCATGATCCATTGTATTCATTGGTGGCATTGTTACAGGTACCCCACCACAAAACTTCACCGGCATATTTGACACCGAATCGCCTTTTACATGGATGATGTCCACCGAGGTAACTTTCGATCCTTCAATTCTCTATTACTCGAGGACTCATCCTAGCTTATCAAAATTAGTGTACTTCTGATGCATGTGCCAATGTCCCAATCAAAGACAAGTTCGATCATAGTGCATCAAGCACCAATATCCAGTTGCCAGTACAACTCGATTGGAATTATCCTGATGGTACTCATATCGAGTTTACGCCTGAACTTGTAAGAGACACAATGCTCCTCAATACGACGCATTCTCATTCAAAGAAAATTTACTCGATATGGTGCTATTATTAGGACACTGTAACGCTTGCAGAGACAATCCCATTTCCTCGACATATAGTTGGCGATGCATCGAAGGTTACATACCCTGCAGGATACGTGCCAGTGGCAAGTAAGTGTGCACGGCAAGCAAAAATGTTCCAAAGCCGAGAATGGAAATATGCAAACTGACAATGCACGTTACAAAGATGCACGCATTGGAGCAGGTGGCTATCGTAATGATTTATTGGATTTAGACCCGACCAAGGGCAAGGGTCTCCCATCGGGTCCAAATGGTGTACCAGGCACTGGTGCTGGTATGTTTTCAAATTGAAAGAGTCAACAAGGGGCACTTTAGCTGATGATGGTTGTTGTCCGTTTTGTTGTATATAGGCACCATGAAGCCACCATTTCGACGAGCAGGTAAAAAGTTGCATTGATCACTTTCATGTTGTATATTAAAATGTATACGTAGCTTCTGATGATCATTTTTCCACGGGACGTCTCATGTCAGGCTCTGGAGGTTTTCGTAAACGAGGACCACCAAATGCAGTGGGAGAGTTTGCATGGGTGCTGGGTAGGTTGTGTTTGTGCGACGTTGCTGTCAAACTCTAATGAGCTCATCATGTTGTACAGGTAGCGATCCAAGCATGTACACTGGCCAGCTCTACCCACTTGATTTAACACACAACCTTGAAACGGATGGATCACCATTTTGGAAGGTGCCGCTAAAGGGTCTTTCATTGTCGCACTCACACAGCAAGGAGCAATTTTTTGGGTTTAACAACAAAGTGGATAACGAGAATGAAGACAATGGCATTGGATCAGTGGTATCAAGCACGCCTTATATCAAAGTGCCACCAGCCATGGCCGATGCTATTAATAAGGCATTGGGTGCAACAGAAAAAGATCCTAATACGGGTGTCTATACGATTCATTGTGATGCACGACACAATGCTCCATCGCTCATTGTTCATTTTTCTCAAGACGTGGATGCCAAAATCCCTGCTCAGCAATACATCAACCAATACGAGCATGTGCCTGCAGGCAAGCATACCCATGGATGCTTTTCAACCATTGTACCTGGCAACGATGACCGTACTGTCACTCTTGGTGGGCCATTCTTCCGCTCCTATTATATTGAGTACAGCTTCCTAGAGCAAAAGATCTTTGTTGCTGAAAGCATCGCACACATTGGAGCTATTTATCCTAGCAAGGGTGAAGAAGGTAGTCATTCTCAACACCCATCCACAGCAGATAGTACTACTAGTAATCAACAACCTCCAGCACAACCTTAATTACGTGATGTGTACGTGCATACTACATACTCTTTTTCTCCTCATTTGTCATCCCATTATTATTACGTCTAAAGATAAAGAACAATCTCTTGTGTTACATTGATTCTTTTACGCCATCTCCTTAACAAGCTCCTTGTTTTTCTTCACATCATCCCTGAAGTGCAGCTCAATGGTGACAACTTTTAGGCTGCATCCATCATCATTATTTTCTTCTCATGGTAAATGCATGTATGTACGTACTATTATGTGCTCTCTCTTTCTCTCCTTTCCCCCCTTTTTTCCTTTCAATAACCATGGGTTATTCGATAGGACCATTATTTCATCAAGAGACTCGTGCAACGGGTGTCAACGATGTGGGTTTATCCTCGGCTATACTCAATGATACAATTTACATTTTTGGCGGCGGACATGGCTCTTTGTGGTCTTTGCCCATTGATCAAATCAATGCCGACCATTTGGGTCTTGCCTCTCTTTCACCTCAGCCCAACATTACACGCTATGCTCCTCAAACAATCGCCTTTCAAGACAGCTTCATTGCTCTCGGTGGTGACATGAACGGCAACAAGATTGCACTGCAACAATACAATGCTTCAAAATCAACTTGGGAAACTTGGAATGCAGCAACAACAGCCCCTTTGAATCGTGCTCAACACAGCGCGGTCGTGACACCCGATGCCAAAGCTGTGCTCTTATTTGGTGGAAAGACGAATGCTACCCATGGCGCAAACGATTTCTGGTCATTGAGTACGCACAACAAGGAGTGGAAACGGTTGTCTATGCCTGGGAACCATGATCGATTTGGTGGTGGACGTTGTGGACACACAGCAAGTATGCTAAGGTAACACATGTGTGGATGACAGCATGCATTGATGTATTGACATGAATTGATGATAGCAATGGGCTGATGGTTGTCCTGGGTGGCTATTATTGCAATGCAAGTGGTGGAGAGCGACGTCTAGCAGACTTGGATCATGCCTTGGTCTACGATTCAATCAACATGGCATGGAGGCGACAAGAGTTGATAGGAAATGTACCTGCCTCAAGGATATTTCACAGTGCAGTTACAGGTATTATACTTATATTCTCAACATGTAGGATATGGATTGCTTATACTCGTTTATTACTTATAGTACAACACGATCGTATCATGATTTGTGGTGGTAAGTTCGAAAAGGACATGTATATGAATCGGTTTATAACGATGCTTCCAATTTTATAAGGTCAAGATGGTGCCTTGGAACCCTTCCAAACCTACATTTCAGCCCACAAAATATTGGATCAAATGGCAGCAATGCTCGACACCAACACTTGGACTTGGTGTTTGGCATACCCATCACCCAACTATCAGCCTTTTCCTCAATCAATGGGGATTGCCTTACCAGTGGATGGCAACAAGATGATTTATGGAATAGGTAAATGAAGGATACATAGCATACGATGATGTGGGTCAACTTACCCTTTGTCTTAGGGGAATCGTATTATTCAGTACACGATGGGCTCTATATCCTCGATAGTGACAATCTTCAATGGCTACCTCAAAAGCTTGAGATGACATGGATCAACGAGAAGCAAGGGAATTCACCAATATGGATGAGTGGATGGGGGATTGCAGCGCTATGTTTATCGATCGTTCTATTTGCGACAATGGGCTGGATCATTTGGCGACTTGGAAGGCGTGTTCCAATTGTATTATATCATGGATTATTGGCGATCAAAAAGAGTGTATGGAGTCCAAGGTAAATTTTGCTCTAATGGATACATGTAGTATGCTAATGTGTATTTTGATTGTTAAAGGCCTGGTGAACCAACCTGGGCAGAAATGTTACGACTTTGCCTTCGAACGCTCTTTGTGGTTTATCTCATATACCTGTGCTTTGCATTGATGATACAAGTAATCAACAGCCCGATTGTCGATCAACAGTATTATAAGGAGGAGCATGACTATACGGTGGATGTACCAGGTAAGAATGGGTCCTAGTGGACGACAAGGATGACAAGGATGGTGACTGATGATAAATCATTTTAGATGTACGATTCTGCTTTGATGGATGGGATCACGCCAATGCACCTTCAGTTCGCTGTAGCACGGATTTTGGACAACAATGCTCGCAGTACATCCACACATTCTTTCCAGACACGGCGTCATCTATATCGCGTACTTGTGCCTTATTTCGTGCACCATCCACTTTTCGCCTTGGGCCAACATCTAACAGGCTGGCTGCATCCATGGGCTCGTATCTCAAGTTTGACTACTATGGCACACCGCCACCATCACCAGTACCTGCTGATGCGCAAGATGATAGCATGGGACCTCGAATTCAGATGACCTTGTATCATAAGGAGCATGATCCCAATATGGCCATGTACGACATTCCAGGTCTTCAACAACAATCATCCTTTGCTTGGCGATCTGAATATGAAGAAGCGCAATTCTTATCAACCGAACAACAACAGCAACCTCATGCATTTCAGTTTGCGCTTGAGCCACATCGAGTGCACACAGGCAGCTATATGCTTTTGGAGCGAATTGTATTGGATGAAGACTCGTGGTGGAACTACATTGGTTTTGCATCAGATACTGAGACGCGATACGAGTTGGATGAACATCACGTGACGGTCCATGCTGAGCCAACGGATGCTCGATACAGCACTGAACCTGCACCCTATGGCTCTGTGCACTTGTTCCCAGTCAGCTTTGAAACCAAGGTGATCAGTGAACAGCGAGCGTTTACTTTAGTCAATGCACTCGGCGTGGTTGGTGGCATGTTTGGTTTATTCATGACCATCGAAAGTGCGTTATGTGGTTTTCGTCCAAGGTCACCCCTGGGTATTTTTCATCGATGGTCCATTGGGCAAATGCGTCAATCTTTATTGCGAGGTTTGCAAGCCATGTTTTCTTCCCACGAAGGTGATGTGCCCATTGTTCATCCACTCAAGCGAGAGCCTACAGCCAAAAAGAAACCTGCTGCTCATCATGGCGATGAAGGGATTGTTCACGACAAGAACGATGAAATAGTGGAAGAAGATGATCAAGATGAGAAAAGTGATGAAAAACGTATGGAAAGACTCGAATACCGATTACACACACTTGAACGATTGTTCCAAGCTTATTACATTGACGATGAAATCTTTCGATCATTGGATCGGGCTCAGCTGGCAAAAGAAGATCGTGGTGATGAACGAGGTCAAAAACACACTAGTAGAATATGGCGAAGGCGCAAGTAGCATAGAGTATAGTTGAAACATGGATGGAAAGATAAATCTTGTGATATTTGATTTTAAAAAGTCTCTAAGCAATGATATAGTGTTGGGAATGAAGGGGTTGTAGTATAGCAAGCAGTAATGCGAATGATGGATGATAATCGCCTATATAGTCTTTTTTCCTCCTTCGTGTATGTGATGTTGGTGTATAATTTGTGATTGAGCCATTCATTGATCCACATGCATATCGCTGTTGGACCCATTGCTTGCTGTGCCTGGGGCTTGATTTAGGACTTCGTCTAGACTGACGTGACGGGAAAGCTCATTGAAAACCTAGCATGAATAGCATCATGAGGACCTCGAATCGCACATTGCCTTTTAAAAGAGTTCCTTTTTTTACTTACAGTCTCATCCACGGGTATAATAGATTTACGTCTAAATTGTTGGTATTGCACAGGTGCGGTATCGAATTGTTGCTACAATAATCACCATGTGAGCCATTCGCCTTTCTTTCTTTTACAAAGCTATGCATACCATGTCAGGACGAATTCCATCCGTATGCTCGCCAGCATTATCAGAATCATCAGCATCTGTTTCATCAGTCAAGATGTCATCATCTTCGTCTTCTCCTTCGAGCACCATCGAATTGCAAGCTAAGCAAGAAAAACAAGCCCTTTGATAAGTCATCACGTGAAAGAGGTATCATTGTTGGATGGTTACCAGATGGAGCTGGGAATGTAAAAGGAGTAGTTGTTGATGGTACAGCAGGTTCGGTGGTATCTTGGTTGTTGGAGATTGCTATAACTTTGGCATGCAGCGTCTTCCAATTTTCCTCACTTTGCTTTTGTCGCTTTCGCTCCCTACAAGGTCCATTCATCATTGGTAAATGATTCATTGTTTGATCTAACAAAGAACTCACATTTGTCTTTGATGCTTGAATTGGTTGGCACATTCATCGAATAAAGCAGGATTGATTTCCATACAGAGCTTAAATGCAGTGTAAACCTGATTAAGGATTGTCCTATGTAAACATAGTTAGTATCCATGTGCATGTGGGAGATTCTGTTTACGCATACTTGTTCCAATGAGATTTAGAAGTCTTGTATAAAGCAGGAAACACAATGGGCATAATGGTATCCATGTTGGCAGCCATCAAGCTTACAATGTAATCATTGCTCCAAAAATAGAGTGCTCGTTCTGCTACTTGGAAATGCGTGCTTGCGATGCATTGTGTCAATTTGGTGAAAGCGGGGACCATGATACGTTGAAAGTCGTAAGCGTCAACGATATCCAAGATTTCTTCGAGCTCATTCAAGAACATGACTTCCTTAGGGCTATTGACCTTGGGCCAGTAACGCAATAATCCCATCACCACCTCGCTTGTAAGAGCTGGATCCTTCTCAAGAAACTGTACGACACAATAGGCGAGTTGTGGATGATACAAGGCAAGAGAACGCACTTTGTGGAGTGGGATAAGGACGCGGATCAAAAAGGTCTTGTGTTCTTCTTTGAGCGGGAGGGCAAAGCCATTGATGATGCTACCCAATATCTCCAGCAATTCTGCTACGCCATTGTGTCGTTCTGTTTCATAGATGAATTGGAAAAAGATGTTGTTGATGGATCGTCGGATAAAGGCACGAAGGTTGAGGAATTTTCCATATATGCGATGGAGCGTCGTCTTTAAGAAATCACGTTCTCGAGGATCCTCGCTGTCGAATAACTCCAATAGCTATCGTAAACACGTATAAGTCCACCATCCTTGTATTATAACATACGATCCAAATCACTTGCCTGCAAGATAAACTTTTGATCAATATGCTTCTTAGCATAAGCAATGTTGAATTCGGGTGATTCGAGAAAACGCAAAAAGAACTCGTATACGATCTGCAAGTGCGGCCATGCAAGTTCAAGAACAGGTTCATCTTCTTCGGGGTCATACGCATCGCCCACGGGGTTCACTTGGGGTGGGATCGTACGAAACAAGTTGGTCGAAAACTATGAATGTATATACATCAACATGATATCCATTGCATTTGCTCCTATTCTTACCATGCGAACAATTTCAGGATAAATCGGTTCTGTCAACACATTACGATTCAGGTTGATGTGCTCGAGGATTTCCTGCAGGGTTTGTCGCTTGATTTCCTTTTCCCTCAACTCAGCAGCTGCATCACTGAAATCAAAGACGACATTGCATTGGCGTATCTTTTGGATAAAGAGATCTTGACGTAAATGAGGCGGTACCTCTATACATTATGGCCATAAGTTAGCTATCTCAACATGCTCCCATGCCACTATGTAGATTACTTACCATGAAATCCAGGTGTCTTGTGTACTTGAACCTTTTCTTTGACGTAAAAGCGAGATGACTTTTGGCGACGAGGAGCTTTGATGGTAGGGATCTGATCCTTGGGCGCATTTTTCATTCGAGCCAGTGCTCCTGTTTTAGGAATATCTCGTTCGCCACCAGGTTGCTTGACAGCATTATTGTTGTTTGGGGGAGGCTGCATGAATGACACTGATGTCGCTCCTGCTCGCTTGTTCTAATGGTGATAATGGATCTCTTAGTACCCTCTTTCTCTCTCTCAAGCACCTTTACTCATCAATGCAAATACTTACAGGATCCATGTTATCGTGCGTCATAGTAACATTGCTTGTATCATGAATCTGGATACTCGGAGTAGGAGGTGCTGGTGGCGTGACATTTGCATATTGCTGTGGTTGCTGTTGCTGTTGCTGTTGCTGTTCGAAACCATTGCCGGTACCATCTGGAGCGTCACCTTTGTTGCGAGTAAGCTATAAAAGATATACAGAGTTAAGGATAACATGAGAGAGATAAAAGGAACGTGGCACAAGACGTCCGTTATCTGCTGACAGACATGACACGCAATATGAGATAATAAAAAAGGATACGACTCCTTTCCAAGCCTTCATGATGTTGGTGGAATGAGAGAGCGTCTTGGGATCTGCCGTAATGAATTGAGTGGAGTGGGATGGGGAGTGCTTGAAGAGGAAACGCGATGGCGGGAAAGTGGGATAGCCGGTAATATCACGCGGGTGAAAGCAAGTCTTTCTTTGTTTTCGCAAACACAAAGACAATAAAAAAAGGAGAAGAGAAAGAAAGGAAAAGAGAGAGCGAGAGAGCGAGAGATGGGTCTTGTTTGTCTGTTGGAAGGAGAGACAAGGCACCGTACGACAAACAGCTTGGAGCGTCGGAAGAAGATCCCTTGCACCGAAAGTGTTTGACACGAGATCAAATTACATTATATGCTATACTCAAGTCGATCCCATTCCCTCCTCCCTTTTACAAAACAAGTGATTAGCAGGTTGTCATGACTAGGAAGCATATCCAAGTTACTTTGTTTAATAAGCTCTCTTTGAATGACTTCTCGAATAATCTTGACATTTAAGGAATTGATATATGCAGCAGCATTATACATGCACAACACCTCCCACCCAATGTATATTCAAGTCCATTAGAAAGGATAATATAGCCATTTAAAAGCCATCTTGTTCATGTGGATGCATTTCTCTTTGTCATGGTTGGTATCTGTTTTTTCATGTCACACAAAGGAGGTTGTCTCATTAGACTTTGCAGGCATCTTTTCTGTGTCACACACCTGAATCCAACTCGAAGCAATCCTTTCCCATGCTCAAGTCCCTCGGCAATGTAAGTCCTCATGGCAACCCATTGACTGATCAGCTCACATTCAACTTCCAGATCTTTGTAGTTGGTGGTGTCGCACTCGACATTACTGCCACAGCTGTCAAGAGAGCTACTCTCCCCTCTGTTCTCCATACCTCCACACCCGGTGGTCTTCGGCATACTTTAGGAGGCGTAGGACGTAATGTATGCGAAACGGCTATGCGTACAGGTGCTTCAGCACATCTCGTATCCATAACAGGAGATGATCTCCAAGGGAAGATTGTTCGCCAGAGCCTAAAGGATATCGGCATGGTAATGAAAACACACCTCGGTGCCTCTCACATCATCTACTAATCAATCATGCATTCTCTAGTCTGAAAAGCACATCCAAGTGCTACCTGGTCATGGAACTGCGGTATGGAGAAAGAGAGAAAGTATACCTTGGAGATGATAATGCTTATTGAAGAAGTAGGTTTATAATGCTTTGCATTCGGGAGATGGGCAATTGGTGGCTGCTATAGCTGATATGGATATCTTTGACAAGATGGATTCATCCGAGGTATGTTGAATGATGCAACATCATCAATTATATTAATTTTCATTAGGTAGTAAATACATTAAGAGCTGAGAAGCCTTCCATCGTTTGCTTTGATGGCAACATTCCTGCGGACACAATGGGATCCATATCCACCCTATGTGCTGAGATGGATATACCAGGTACAGTACTTCTCAAGGGTCACGTGAATTGGACTAATATCATGCATAGTGTTATTTGAACCAACTTCTGTACCAAAGTCTCTCAAGATCTTCTCTGGTTCTACCCTCGCTACAAGGGCTATCCGATTCACAACCCCAAACCAATACGAGCTTGAAGCCATGAGTGAAGCTGCAAAAGCTACCATGCCAGCTACGTCATCTGACAACACAACATTGTTATCGTCATTTGACCTTGGGAAAGGTATGGTATCAGATTATCGAGGGAAGTTGAAAACGTCGTTGCCTAATTATATACGTCACTTTTTTCATCTTCACAGTCGCACCTCGATCAGCTGAGCTTGTCCTCCCAAATGGTTTGCATCTCTCACAGTGGATACCCAACGTTGTTATCAAGCTTGGTGAAGATGGATGTCTCTTTGTCGGCCGATCCGATGTTTCCAATCAACCACCAGTCGTACGATACTTTTCACCCGAGAAGTTCGATCAAACAAGTATAATAAGTGTTACTGGTGCTGGCGACAGGTAAAATGTTCAGGCTGCATGATCCAATAATACCATGCATTGACATTATTATTCGTTATGAAATAGCTTTGTGGGTGCTCTTCTTGCCAATCTCAAGTATCATAGCAACTTGCAACCCGAGGACCAGGATACGTGGAAAGAGATCATCACTCGGGCTCAACGTGCAGCTGTGTTGACGCTTCAATCCGATCTTGCTGTCAGCCCTCACATCAACGAAGATTTACTGTTTCGAGCATCCTAGCTGATATTGTGCGATCTTCAACTTGCGTAATAGGCGGCATTGTTGACAACAAATACCAAGGCACCAAAGCTGGATACTCTATTACATATGCATGAAGGAGCGACGTTTATATCATCAAAGCTGTGATCTACTGCAAGCAATAAGGAGCCATGTACGCAAATAAGATAGCTACGTGGAAGTGGATAATAAACTTTATTACGGCAGATGTCTAAGACACAAATGGAAGATGATCTATTGAGAATGGGATCTTGCATATTCCTTTGGATGCCAACGAGATATGGGATGGATCAAGTAGCATCATTGGAGGGGAAAGATAAACCACGTGAGCATTTAAAGTAATTTCCTCGTCGTCGAAAAAAATTCAAGAGGTCGATCCACTTTGGCTGGTGGCGATATTGCGAAATCTGGGATCGACCAGCTTGATCGTGAAACTACCACACAAGGTACGCTACACCCTGCCGAGCAGATTGCTCTATTAAAGAACCCACGTTTGATTGTAAAGTTTAGAGATACAGGCACCTTTAGGTTTTACCTATGCTGTAAGCGTGATGCTATATGAAGAGTGCTCTTTGTTCATTATCAAGTAGGTGGATCCTGACAGAGCAAAAGATGCAGAGGGACGCGTTTGTGTAACACAGCCGACTTTAAGGGACGATGCATGATTCTTGTACACCATTTAATAGCCCTTCATAAACTGCCACTTGATAGCCCCTTCATCCCATTCACCTTTGTTGCCCAAACCAATACATACGAACGATTGTCATGATCCAGCCCAGCATGCCCATCATTGAAGTTTCTTGATCCCAGCTGATTTGAGCGAGCTATGGTCAAACACAAAACATCATCCAATTTCACAAAAATCATTTTGCAAAGTTATTTGTAAACTGCCAGCTAGCAGCCCATTCCTCCCATTCACCTTTGTTGTCCAATCCAATGCATACGAACGATTGTCTTGCTCCAGCCCATCATTCCCATCATTTAACTTTCTTGATCCAATGAGATTTGACTGAAAAACGCTCAAACAAAGAAATGTCATTCAACATCGGTTCAACCTACTTAATTTCCACTTCTTCCAAATCCAGCTCATTGTCTCTTCCTCCCATTCTCAACCGTTGCCCCATTCAAGTACAACTATACCACCTGCGAATGATTGTCCTGCTTCAGCTCGCCATGCCAATCGTACCAATGTCTTGATCCGATTGTCTTTGACTGAATGGCAACTTCCATGGCATGTACACTCTACTACAACACCCACTTTTCTTTGACACTACACCTTCTCTTGTACACTCCTCTGCCACGACCAATCGTAACAGCATTCATTGCAGCAGCTGCCATTAGCGATGTCTTTATTGTCTCAAATGACTTGCAGCAGCCTGCCTTGTGGCCTTTTTCACGTGATCAGCAGATATCCATTGTATAGAAGCAGCTTTATTTACATGTAGCAACTTGCTTTAATACATACAACTTTCTATGGATATGAATACGAAGATTGCTTTGGTACATGGGATGGGAAGAATTGGATGCATACGTCACCATGGCACTGTAAGAAACCAACAGCTGTAGAAGACATCCATCCATCATGGTGGTGCACTTTTTCTTCATACCAAAGTTGGGCAAGCCTAGCTTTTGCACAACGTCTACATGCTCATTCACATGGCAGTCATCTTGTGTGTCAACACAACGGCCAATTTACATATGATATGGAGTCAATTGCATCCGAGCAAACATGCCTTTCATTATGATAGTGCTAGGTATTGGGATCAGCATCACATGGTATAGGGTGATCGTGGATCTGCTCTTGAGACATGAAGGGGTTTGCTTATTTGAGTCATGGAAGGAAGAATCAAGTAATAGGTGATGGAGAATGTGCTTCCAATAGGTCCCGATAGAGTGTTAGCAAAAAGAAATAGCTGGCATGTACATCGCCATATCCCTCTTTTCTCGCACAAGAGGATGGCGAATGATTCAATTGTACGATGACATGTATCATAATGAAGCATTCATAAAAGTATTTATTTACGTATCTTTGTACATAGCATGATTTAGGGATCAGCAATCTTGACAACTTGCTTGCCAAAGTTCTCACCACGCAACACGGCGATCAAAGCATCAGGGGTCTTTTCGATGCCATATGCAATATCCTCCCGATACTTGATCTTTCCTTCAAGAAGCCATTGTGTGACATCCTTGCTAAATTGTGCACCCATTTCAGCAGCTGAATCACCAACAATGAAGCCCTCGATTCTCAAACGCTTGGCAACGACTTGCATAAGGTTGTGGATACCCTCTGGCTTTTCACGGTTGTATTGGGAAATCATACCACAGGCAACAATGCTAATGGAAAAGGTATATGATTTAGTGTTTGTGATATACATGGATGTGTGTGTGTGTGTAAACTTACCGGCCGAAACGGTTGGCATGGTTAATGACAGCTTCAAGCATTTTACCACCGACATTCTCAAAGTAGATATCAATACCATTGGGGCACAATTCACCAAGCTTCTCGTTAACATCGCAAGTCTTATAGTTGAAGGCAGCATCAAAACCGATCTCCTTGAGGTATTGGACCTTCTCATCCGAACCAGCAGAGCCAACAACGTGAAGACCAATGACCTTGCCAATTTGGCCTACAAGCTGACCAACAGCACCGGATGCTGCTGACACGTAAAGTGTTTCGCCTGCCTTGGGCTTACCAAACTTGAACAAGCTTGAGTAACACAAAAGACACATTAGCAAATTTATGCACAAACCGCGGTATAATATGATCATACTTACCCTACGTAGGCAGTCATTCCAGGCATACCCAAAACACCCACGTAGTTGGTAATAGGAAGGCCGTTGGTCTTGGGCTCGTTACGGACAATGTAAAATTCGGTTTCGGCGGCGGGCACAACAACATAGTTTTCGAATCCACCATGACCAGTCATACCATAGACGTAGTCGCCTTCCTTGAAACGTGGGTTATTGGACTTCAAACAAACACCCATAGAGTCACCAGTCATTGGCTTGCCGAGAGGGAAAGCGGGGGAGTAAGATTTGATGGAAGGATCACGCATACGACCACGCATGTATGGATCAACAGAGATCACCAACTGCTTGAGGAGGATCTCACCATCGCCAAGAGGAGCATCCAAATCGATGGTTGTATTGTTGATGGTCATGTGTTCACCAGCAACTGGATAGGTGGTGGGGATCTTTGAGAAGATAACTTGAGAGTTTGGTGTGGGAGCCATGATGAATATTGGTATGTGTGTATGAGAAAATGGATGGAAAGTAATTCCAAGATGTTTGACGTGTGATCCTTTTTATATTAACAACAGCAGCTTTATGCTAAATGCTTGAATTACTAAGCTTGTTCCGCGTGTTTCTAATGCTGTCACTAAAAGGAAAGCACCACTTCTTGCCGACAGTTGTGCTGATTAAACAATAATACGTTCATTCGCCGACGTTGCATTATGAGAGCGACACTCCCAAACCCCCACCCAGATATACCGCCAAATTGGATAACCCCTTGTTACTCACAGCTCTGGTAGGCGTCCACGATTTCTATTTTAACACACCCCTCCCATTATTAAGAACAATGATATCGTATGAGAAGATCCACATAACGTCTTTGTTGGTAATGGACAACATCCTGCATGTCTTTCGGACATTTTCATGCCATCACTAAATATTCTAACTCAGGGGCCAAATACTGGGGAAGAAACTAAAACACGCTTCTGCAACACGACATGCAAACAAACGACCACTATGAAGGCTTCTTGGAGCTGTTGATGAAAAAGTACTCAGATCGTAACTCGATTTAAAGTTTTACCAATTTGGCAATGAGAAGAATGTCGCATACGTGGTATTTCTGGATATGGATAAGCTCGCGACAATGAAGGCCGATTGCGCACTGTGCAAGTTGTGTTGAAGAACAATGAAATGGGTCTCACAATAACGCTCAATTTATCAACTCTATACAACAACTTGAATGAGCATGATGGAGGTCTTTAAGATATTTGAACGCATGGACATTCAAGATGACGAAGTGCATTGCAAGCGGTCTTATTACTTCGCTCACTTAAATGTTGCTATTCGAGCTCGTTTAGACCATGCATAATAAAACAAACGCTTTGCTACATGACCCAAGCACTGCATAAGGTGTCACAAACCTTACAAATAACAACTACACTTATCATGCATCCATCACATAAGTTTTTTTTGCCCATTCATGACATGCTTCATTATATGTGTGGCATCGTGAAGCTTATAGCCAGTAATACTATGATGATTGGTATATAATAAAGAACAGCTTGTTCATACATATGGCTGCAAGATGACGTTGTTGGTTGTAATCTTACGATTTCCCCCTTGTATCTTTAGGGATATGAAGGCTCAAATGCACGCATCACACTGGTGGTGGTCATCATCATCGAGGCAAGGTAGCAAACTAGTTTTTCATTATTGGTTTATCTATCAATTCGGTATTGTTGCTATGTATACACAAATGGGCTATCCTATACGAACAACGTCAAAATGAAATGCATAAAGAACCACAGCAACGTCATCTTTTCGAGTATAAGGCATGTGTATGTTGATTTCCTGTAATGGCCTATTAGGTTGTCGCCTTTGTAATACAAATTGAAGGCAAGGTACAACGTACATGGAGTATACGGCAAATGGCGGATCACCGGCTGCATGATCGGTATTGTCGTGGCCACCAGCAAAAATTAATGTCCCTGATGTCAGGTACAAGCACATAATAAAATAGTAATTGGTTTCCCATAGAATCATGTACACAAATCCAATGCAGGATTACATCTATGTATAGATTAGCTTCTTGGCAGTGGCAGTGGAACATGTAAGCATACATACACCATCCAACGCCATTTAGCATCAGGCTGAAACCAGGAGAGTAACAAAAGACTCCGAATTTAACCATGGACACCAGGCCTTTTCTCGTTGCCTTTCCTGCAGTTGGTGATCCTCGGGAAGAGACAAGGTAAGCATGGGCATTCATTTGAACAACGTGGAAGGACTAGTGTAGTACCTTGAATGCATGCTCACCCACGTAGTCTTTGATTGAAAGGTTGAATCAAATGTCTTCCGACGGCAATGGAGAGTCAACACCACCACCATCTGTGAGCCAGTCTTCCACAACGACACCACAACGACATGACAATACACCTAGCCGCCAAAATGGAACACCACCAGTGCTGAATGGTCACGATTTAAGAAGGCAACAACACCAGCAAACGCCACCACCTTCGATGGCAGCAGCAGCCACTGCCGGTGCAGTAGCGATCCGCCTTGGCCGTGGACACAACCTTTTCAATATGGCACGAAACAATCAAGGTACAGGCAACCATAGTACCAGTAATGGACATCACGTTGGAGGTGTTGGAGGAGGAGGCAACATACATAAGAAAGCAGCCCATGGACGACATGTTACTACACGAGGTGGCATCTATGCAGCGACAACGACTGTACAACAGGATATTGTTCGATTGGAACGTGATTTAGAAAAGATCTTGCTTCGACCTCATGCACGTAGCCGACGTATCAGTTCTTCAAATGCACGACTTAGCATGCATGATACGCAACGACCTCAAAACGGGATCACAGATGATACCACAGCAACACAAGGCAACAGCAAGCGGAATCTATTTATGCGATATTCGAGGATGGATCTATCCATGGCAACGGGTGATGATGATGGCCGAGCAACAGCAGGGGAACATGGTAGTCGCATCAGCGCCATCATGACGTCTATTATGGATACACTTGAAAAGCATAAGGTCGCCACACAATTGCCATTTACCAGTGACATCCTAGGCGTATTATCGGTGCCATTTAGCCAAACGCCACTGAGCAGTAAGTATCTTTGGGGGGGGGGGATAATCGGCAAAATTTGAAAAGAAAGGAATTGATTAATTGTTTGTGTTGCACACGCCATCATCACACATTAGCGGATGACTGTAATCAAGCACTGGACATCTTCGATTATATTCGTGAGCGTTTCAAGCAAGTGGATGCAATTGTAAGTAAACAGGTGTAAAAGAGAGGACGCTTTGCTTACCAAATGGCAATCAGGACAACCTGGAGCAGATCACGTTTTGCTGCCGATTATTGAAGTGTGGTCATCTTAAGCTCAAAGTAAGTGTAAAAGATATTGGAATGAGGTGGTAGATAGCTTATACGAACGTACATAGATGCGGCTGGTTGATACCATGAAATTGATGCTGGCATCGAGTATGGGCAACCCTGCTTATCTTCCATCATCCCCTACGGCTTTTCATGCGTTGGTATATACCCTTGCTGATGCTTTATCGTATGCTTCAGCGGCTACAACAGACCGTCCACAATCACGCCATCCTGAAGAATACGACTATATTCGATCGGCTTTGATTGATTATCTTGATAAACTTTCCAGCGGCAACATGATACCATTGATGGGAAAGGATTGGGATCGTTACTTTATACCCGCCGACAGCAACAGTGATCCTCCAGCACCACTCTCGGTTGCACGCTTTTGTGTTCTCGAAGCGTTGTGCCGATCACTCATGGTGAGCTCCGATACATCCCATTCAGGTGGTGTTTTCGCAACGGCTCTTGCTAAACGAACCTACATTGTACAAGATCTCTTACCGGTAAGCATGCAAGGAATCATTTGTATGACAAACGATATTAACGATCATCCTTTTTATCCAGAGATATTGGGAGGAGCCTGATGTGCCTATGAGAAGATCTTATGCTACTGTCCTCTTTGTATTATCGGAAGCAGGTAATTATGACTTGATCATTGGCGTTGGTAATGTAAGGTCTAACATGGTGTATATAGCTACCGATTGGTTTTTGAATGCGACTCCCGATGATCTACGTCAAACAACATCACCTGTATCGCTCCTCAAGGCATTTATCGAAGACAAGATTACAGTGACCACCCTGCAAATGTATCTGCCTAATTGGCACGATGATCCAAATGTTCGAGCCGTATACACCAATGTCATCAGCATGATCTTATCATTACTCTCTATCACATCTCTTCATGATCCTCACCATCTACATAGCAACAGCCCACGTTCAACACCAAGTCATAGCCCACGACCCTCAGCTTATGACATTCCATCTCCTGATGGTAGTGCCATGTGGAGCCCTGATGAATTATCCACCGAGCATCTCAGCTTATATAGCAATACGGATCGTAGCAGCGAAAAGCCGACATCATGGCGACACACAATAGCGCTTATACGATCTTATTTCGAGGCATTTTGGTCGTCATCAACATTACAGACTCTGGTGATGGAAGTGGTGGCAGCAACAGTGGAGGATGCAAGTTGGGACAAATTGGTGCGAATCTATGAGAATTTGGCATTCAATATGGATGAGACAATTGGTGACAAGGTGGTCACTGCTACGTTGCCACGATTATTGAGTCGACTTGCAAATACGCTTCCATCACCTACAACACCAGGTTTATCCAACTTGATGTCCCGCATTTCACAATCTTATCGACCTGTATTCTACCGTCACGTGATTACATGTGCTGCATCAAATGATGAGCAAAAAGTATCGACGCAATTGGTGCTTATGAGCTGCTTGAGAAAGTACATGTCAAGTGTACAATATTGGATGCACGACGCGGAGATGATCAACGTGCTACTATTAAGTGACCTTGGAGCCAAGAAGGATACAGCCAGCAATGGAGAGGAAGTTGTCATTGGTGATGGCATTCGATGGGGTAATACGACACTTGGTCAATGTGTGGTAGCTACCGAGTTTCTATGGGCCATCAAAGAATTACGTGACAAGCAAAGCAGTGGAACATTAGCCAACATGGAAGAGAGCGAGATTGCAAAAAAGTTCTTGATTGATTTGGAGCGACGCATTGCCGTATTCATGACAGCAAAGGAGAAGATGACCTTGATCCCATTACCATTGCGAGTAATTTTATGCAACATTTTCTTGGAGATCCGATTCTTTTGCAATACGACACACCGACCTGGATGGTTATTACGTGCCATTGATTGGGCTATACAGCAACGAGTGACATCAACCTCGAGTGATCCTTTTGACATCACCAATTCTCCCATGTCAGAGAAGAAATCACATGTATCAGTTACTATTCATCCCAATCATATTGAAAATGTGATGCTCATGTTTCAACGTATACGGATCGTTTATGCAATGACGGTGGATGAGCTTGAAACAGAGAGCGTGGATCCAGTCGAGTATTTTGATCGTCCTATTCGACAGCCCAGTGATCAATCTCTCTTGGATACGCCTGTTACATCACTTCACGAGCAAGATCCTGTACAATTGCCTGATCAAACACGGCGCCGCGAATGCATTTCCTCCATTTACCCAATCACACAAGCTGCTGCTGCTTCAAAAGATGTGCGACCACCAACATCCACTCACGATGCCAACAAGTCCTTGCAGCTCGCTTCAACATTAGCAAAGAGGCGATTGGATGAGATGTCATCTATCAATCAAGATCCATTTGGTGCAGTGTTTTCACTCCTTGTTGCTGTATATACCTCATTGACGACGCAAGAGTTTGCTACTTTGGTGAATCCGTTATGGCAGGGATTTATTGATGACCGAAATCCGCAATCATTTGTACCTGCAGCATTTCTTCTGATGCAGTGTAGTGAAAAGATACCCAAGCAAACGATTGAAGTGTTTATGCATGACTTTTACAGGTGTGTGTGTGATGTGTGTGTAACAATGCATGAAACAAACAAATACTAATGATATGTATACATCTCCTTAGTGGTGATCCATTTCGTCGATTGGCTGCCATTGAGAAGCAAGCATCTATGAGCGGATACCGATTCAACATCCTTGCCCAAGAATATATACCCGTATCGAATCGCAAACGTCCTTTTCGTGGGGATGGAGGTGCATTCTCTACACCATTCGTGCCTACAGATCTGGGAAGTAATCGCTTCACTATGGATGAACCTCGGTGGATGGCCAAACTTAAGCATGCCAGCAATTTCCCCATTGAACTCAAGCGACAAATTCAGGAGCTGGGATGGGATGATGATGATCAAGGAGAGGAACATGAGGCACTCAAGAAGGTGTTGACACCATTGGCATTGTTGCCATCCTTGTTTTTGGAAGATGAAGATGAACCATCCAATGATGGTGGTGCTCCTGACAATACCACTGGAAATGCTGGTGCAGCTGGTGGTGGTGCTGGTGGTGGTGGCACACGTAATGAGGGAGAAACAACAAGGCATGTCAATGTGAGCAAGATCATTGCACGGCGTAAACGAGCAGCTACTGTTCATGCCATGACAGTAGCCAACTTGAGCTTGGTTGATTTGCTTGGTGACGATTTTAGTGGTGTTGCGAATGGATTACGCGACTTGCTTGAGACCTATTTGCGTGATGATCCAGCATTGTTCTTACGGCCGTTCTTGGGCGAACTTGGCAAAACACAAATGGCTCGACACCGTGAACTCTTGACACGATTGCGATATTTGACAGATCTTCGCGCCAAGTTGCCACCCGGATTCACGTATATCTTGTTCAACTACTTAGCAGGCATGCTAAAGTGGTTGACACGTGAAAATAAGGAAGAAGGCCTTGTGTTGATGATGTTGATCCATCCACTTTTGGTCGAGTTGGCCATGTCAACCAATGAACTTTCGATTCGAGATCTTCGTAAGAACAAGATTGAGCATTTATTGGCGAGCACGGGTCGCTTTTGGTTTATTAATGAACAGCCTGCAAGCATGTTTCCACGACGTATCACCCAACAAGGGACGCCATTTGCATTTCTGGATATTCCATGGGAGGTGTTCAGTGTAGCTATTCTACGTACTAGCCACATCCAATTCTTGACCAACTTTTTGGCACGATATCCACGTGAAGTTTATGCCATCAAAAAGACGCTGCAAGAATACGAGCCTATCCCAATGCCGAATAAGAAATCCAACGAGAGGTTATCAGGCACGGCACAGTATTTTCCAGATATCACGCTCCGCAAACGGCAGGATACAAGCTTTGTGTTTGAAGAAGAGGATGTATCACCTAGCAATGATGAAATCAAGGCAATTCCAAGACACACGCAAGAAGAAGAAGATACAGGATTACTATCATCATTGCGTGCACGTGTATGGTTGCGATTTATTGATGCCTTGTTGAATGGATTGAACAAGAATTACAATGATCGTAACGAGTTGGAAAGGATCCTAAAGGGTGTCAATATGATCATTATGGAACATCACTCGGATTATGGTATCATCGGGCAAGCATTGATATTGTACACACGCGTGGTGACTCGATTCAAGCGTTTATTTGTCAACAATCGTGGACATGGAACATTTTTACATGCATTGTTCAAGGTGTTTTGCGAGGTGGAACGATTCCCACATGTGCGATCTGCCATTACATTTGCATGGTGTCGATTCTATGCAGTGCACGAAGAATCCTTTGTATTTCAAATGCTGGGAACATTGGTGCCAATTATTCTCGATGCATACGACAAGTCCACTTCACTGGGTGCATGGATGGCTGACAATTTGTATTACTTGATGCAAGCAATGCATAACCCACCAAGGCTAGGTGCGACATCAGATGTGCTTGGATTACAGTTACAGGTGGAATTGGATGATCATGAGCGTAGTGTACAAGAGCGTATCGATGCTGTCAGCAATCCAATGGCAATGCCATTATCAGCCACCATTCTCAAACCACTATCCAAAAGTGCAACAGCACCTATTGTGCCACTCGCTGTTAGCGACTATGATAATCGGCCCTTCCCTATGCAAGATTTCGTGAAGCTGTTTTTGACCATCATTGCATATGATCCAGGCTCGTTGCGCGCTGAGCAGTTTGTCAAGATGTTTCGGCATATGCTTCCCCGTTTTTGCAAGCTTGGAAATTTGGGCACACTTGTCAATGACGGCATTGTAGCCTTGATTGATGTCTTTCTCAAGTTTAGCAAGAATGCGAAACCTGCAGCAGCAGCTGGTGGTGATGGCCAAGGGGGAGCTACTAGTGGATCATCGGCACCACACATCAATTTCAACGTGTCAAACCTGTTTTCGTCAGAAGAAAATGCAGGACCCACTCAAGGAGAGTCATCAACGCAACACGCTTATGGAAAGCAATGGCAACAGAATGATCGATTGACTATCAAACGCGAATTCGTTCGCCTTGTGGAACAATTCTTCAAGTGTGGTGGTGCCTTGAATGAGACCAACCATGAAAAGATGTCGCAAATTATTCGTATCATTATGCGAGATTATGCGTCTGTGCGAGGTGCAATTTGTAAGACTGGATGGATCCGCAATTATTTGGTGTATGCTATGGAAACGATGGTGGATATGCGCAACTATACCAAGCCGCTCAAAACAATGCTCACAGCAATCCATGGCCAACTTCGCACACAGTGGAAAACAGTGGATGCAACTGAACTCTATGAAGGATTGGCGACAATGATGGAAAATGGTCAAGGCAAAGCATTGAATATGCACGATGTTGCTGGATTATTACGAGAACGATTTGTATCGTTTGGATTGATGATTGCTACTCGTGCACCAGGCGATTGGAATGAATTAGGACTTGAGATACGTACACGTTTCCGGAAAGCGCTAGTACGATTGATTGTGGCTATCCTTGAGCACTCGTCGCAAGATGTTTTGCAGGAGATTGAACAATTGCCACCTTCTATCTCATTGATCGGCAGCATTGTCGTTCCTATATGTCTCAAATACGATACCAGGTGTGATTCTGGTGCATCTGTTCCTTCTTTAATGCGACCACGTTTTCGACCTTCCGATCCTACAGCCACGTGGATGCGTCTTTTGGCTTATGTATCCAAATCTTGCAGCCAAGCATCACTCTTCAAGTCCAAGAGCACTGGTTTTTCATTGACAGCATTGGCATCGAATATGGGTGGAGGTGGTCAACAACAGCATTCATACAGCCATAATCAGAATGAGGAAATGGATGATGGCGATGTAATGCCTGAACCGAGGGACGGCAAAAGTACACCAACATCGGTTGCCCATTTGTTTTCATTAAGCATTGTGGCCATGAAGATTATTCTTATACGTGGATCGAAATCATTTGACAAGATACGGGGTGCATGGGTGCAAGTGGCCTATTTCATCAAAGGGGCTCTCATATTTGGACAAACATTGAAGACACTCAAACAACGACCAACCTCTGGAAGATCGACTCCACGGGGTAGTCATGCACCACAGCCATCACCTGGTTTATCACCACCCAACAATCCACATAGCTTATGGCCTGGCACACCCACCACACCTGAATCAGCACCAGCAACGGCAGGGATTGGAGCTACAACTAACAGTAGTACTAGCTCAGCACCACCCGTGAGTGTATTATACGACTATGCAACATGGTGTTTTCTAGAATACGTTGTATGCTACAAGGCACCCTTGAGTCTTTTATTGCGTGATTTTGTACAAGATAAACTACGTGATATGGGCAGCACTGCAAGGCCGACAAGTGGTAGATCGCCATCATTTGCCACTACTCCCACTGTGGGCAACAGGCAATCAAGGAAATGGAAGAGCTGGGCAAATACGGATTCACAGCCACCCCAACAACAACAACAAGCAATGGCAAACACGTATGCATCCGATCCCTTGGTACCACCACCTCATCATCAACAGGTCGAGACTTTGGCACCTCCACCACCTTCTCCACAACAACAAGCTGATACATCAGCAGCATCAGGTCTTGGTCTTCATATCCCCAACAGCCGATCTTCAGGAACGGGTGTTCCACAACAACAACAACCCATGTCAAGCTCACAATCTATTTTCATTGATGAAGCACCTCCTCTATCACCTACCGCGCAACCTATTCATAGCCGTCGTGGATCAAGGGCAAACAACACCAACACCAATTCAATGCCTGTGGGTGTAGGATCCACCGAATTGCACATCATTCATGCGGAAACCATCAATGCTCTCATGAACATCCAATCTTGTCTTGGTTTCAACACTGCTCTTCCTTGGGGTACAGATACCACTTCTCCACAACACGCTCGCCCTTGGACTTATCGCATGGCTGTCAGCAAGGCTACTTATGAGTGGCAGATGATCCTCCAACTCTATACTCAACTTTTTGAAAATCCCTCCACCACAAACACTTCTCCTGCACCTTTGAATCCATAGTAGATCCCATCAAACCCCTTCATGTATATAAACGTATTATAGACCTATTCTCCGCGACTTGCCCTTTATGTTGTAGTTGAAAAAGTTTCTTTAAAAAATATCATGCTGTGGCACAACAAACAAATAAATGCACATTTTCGTATACATATGAATTATCTTTGCTCATTACATTAGAGAGGAAGCTAATGTTTCTGTGTATATGTGTGCGTGCTTGTGATTTACATAGGTGATTCTATGGTTGAAGATAATAAAAGGGATATAGATAGATAGATAGATAGATGGGATGTTGTTGTTGTTGTTGTGGTGGTGGTGGTGGTGGAGAGCGATGTACTATACAAGAACGAGAAGAAAAGGTGCGCTATCACCGATGAGGGCCTGGATCAAGCACATCTGGGAATATTTGTACACGATCGGTCAACTCGCATATGTTATGGAGGCATCTCATTGGGTATATGGCGTCGATAAATAGGGCCACATTGGCGAGAGTGACATCTTCGATAGTGACGTTGCCCATGATATAGTACAATTCGAGGATGCAATAGATACAAATCGTGGCTGCCAGCAGCATTGGCCATAAAAGCATCCAGGTATCCATGTCAAAGATACTGCGTAGCCATGGTAAGCTCATGTAAATAGTGATGGTACTCGTTGCTCTACAACGTGATCAAAATTGGGCGTTCTCGTTGTTGGTATGTGTGTGTCACATCTCCTTTCAAATGTACATGTGTGTACTTACATTGGTCCGATGCCAGAGAAGGCAAGTTGCGTCTGCAGGGTGAAAAGCAGGATCCCGAATAACCCAATCATCGTCATCAGTAATACCAAAATGCCTTCATTGTAGAATAACTTGGATACTATAGCCATTCGTAAGTGGTGTGTCACATAGCAGCAGTAATGGTGTATATACCAATATCAGATATAATGGACGCTTGCATGAGAGAAAAAGAAACGAGCATAATGGTACGAGTCGTTGACGATAATCGATAATAGCGCATCCATAGTTGCCATGCAATCAAAGTTGCCACTAGAAACGTCGGTGGTAATGGCATCCACCAAGTATAGCGGCTGTAATACAAGCATGTGTGTATGTGTCATTTTACTAGTAGTGTATACCCCTCGTCCGTTTGAGCTTGCTACTTGCCTTCTTTGTAGCCACTGAAAGATAGGATCCACGCGTACAAGCAATGTTGCCAATCCCAAGGTGATCAAGACTTGTCCCAGTGTAATGAGAAGCACCTTGCGCACAAACTCTATAGAGATCGAGTTGGAGGCGGGAATGGGCAAATCACAATAAAGTGTAAAAGAAACTTGCTCATTTGTTTTGGAATGCTGCATCGACAAACGGTTCTACCAAAGATATCAAGGTCATGACCCGAGGAACGAATACGATGAAGAGCTGGATAACGAGGGCTGCGAGTGGATGTGCTGTTGGGGACGGGGAGCGTGTAATAAGTCGTGTATTGATTCATCGGCTGCTCGGAAACGACTACCCGTTCCGCCCAAGGCACATGGAAGAGAAAAGAAGAGAGAGATGTTGTAAAAAAAGAAAAAGAAAGAGTAAAAGAGATGAAAAAGAAATGTGACATCACCTGTGATAAGCTGTGCTTAGTGCTTCATCTTTGTGTGCCCCCCCCCTTGTGTGAGGTGCGTGTGTGTTATAGTGATAAAGTGAGTGCATCGTGCCACCAAGGAACACCGCCAGTGTCTCACTTGCATCCTTATTCTCCTCCTGGATATTGATGCTCCTGCCAAATATCATATCCTACCTACCCTAATTCAATCCTTGTTTCCGCATACACGACATCTTCTCTCTAATCATCCATCCCCCTTGTTTCCCCTTCAAATGACTCTATCCCACTCCTAACGCAGGAAGAAACAGCGATTTTCCCTTTTTTTCTTTATTTCTACATATTACTTTCTTTGTTTCTCTTTTCCCTTCACGCTCACAAATATACGCTTATGTCTGATATTGCACGTCCAACAACAGGTCCACCAGGTTTCCTTATGAAAAGATGGCACAAATGTAGTAGTGGAAATACAAAGACTTCAGTGTTATTACGAGAGCTGCCGAGTCTAGATCAAGTTTTACGACGACAAAGTCGACCACCTGTGTGCCTGTACAACTTTTACATTGTGCTCCGCGATCGCTTAGAGTTGGAAACCTTGTTAGATTTTTGGTTGGATGTTCAACAAGCACGAGTGCTTTACAAACGACATGTCAAACAATCAACAAAAAAGAGCAATCCTACACGCAACATGACACCTCCCCTTTCACCTGCACCAACGACAATGAGCCATGATCAGCAGCTCACTCATTCATTATTAATGCTTGCAAGTGGCAATTCTACCACTACGGCTGGTAGGCCATCAGTGGGAACGGTGGGAAGCCATGGCAGCAACAATACAGCATCCACTGTGGTAACTCGTGCTGCCATGCAAGAGTTTATTGAGCATATTTATCTACGCTACATTGTCCCTAATGCTGAAAAGGAGCTGATGCATCTACCGTTGTCTATGCGAGACGCCATTGCCGATCAATTTGCATCCTCAAAAACCGGCATCTACGATCCATCCATTGTTTTCAACGACGCACAGCATTACGTCCATCAACTGCTACAGGCCACATGGCCCTACTTTTTGCGATACAAGGCACTCATGAATCTGACATTGAATCAACAGCTTGGTCGTATTGCTGCTGGGTTGGCGACATTGCTTGTTGGGTTCTCGGTTGAGTTTTCATTAATCTTTCTCAATGTACAACCATGGCACACAAGGATATGGGTAAGGTTGCATTCATAAACATGCCTTGCGTTTTTATTGACATGTGATGATGCATCAGGGCGTTTTACCAATATTTGTTGGTGTGTATTGCTTGATTTCAGGTTTGACAGGATTGGATCCAATCTGGGTGCTTGCTTTCAATGTCAGGTAATGCAAATGAAATCACACACATGACGCAATTTGGCACAAGTTGCATAGCTGTCAAAACAACGTGAGCTTACACAGCCTATAGTGAAACAACTACATTCCACTTCAATCGGATACAACAACCTAATGTGAGACCCATTCTCTCGGAGCGTTCTATTATTGTTTTGGCGGTGTGCTTGCTCATCACAATCATCCTTATCGTTATCTTTTGCGCGTTGCCAGGGAAACGACTCTAAAAAGCAGGCTATCTTTACTATACAACCCAATCTGTATCTAGTCATTTCTTTCACCTCATGTGTTTTCTCATCTTATTATACGTATCACTGTGCCACCATGGTGCCCCTTCTTCTTCAATGCCTTAATACATTAATACCTTGTATAGAGAATATTAAACACACCCTATTCTAATACTATGCTCCTTTTATACAACACATCAAAAGGGGGTGACCCATACAACTACCAGCAGGATGATGATGCCATGTAATCCTTTTATTACGATTGCATTTTGTTGCGAATGTTATCAAAGCGGCTTTGTGGGTAATCCAAATGGTTGCGTGTGGTATCAATGTTTCCACCAAAGGCACGGGATGCAGCGTACAACAAGCTTCGGTCTTCAGATCCATGGTTGTCAGCCGAAAGCTCCCAAAACATGACGCCGCCCAATCCTAATTCACGAACAAGATCGCACTTCTTTTCGACAATGTACGGGTTATCGTATGTAACAAACTCGTGCTTTTTGGGATCGTATGAGTATGATGCCATGGCTTCCTCATCAATATGTTCAGTGGCACCAGGACGAGGTAAATCCTTGTAATCAAATGAGCCTTCTTCCCATGATCCTTGAGGCACACCGTTAAAGCTGCTGCCAGGTTTGGCACTCTTGACCTTTGAAAATGCACGTCCATAAGCAGGGATACCCATGATGATCTTTTGTGCAGGTACACCAGCAGCCAAGTAATCGTCAATGGCGGATTTGACCGAAAGCGTACCATAGAGTGCAGCTTGATGTCCAATGACAGGATCCCAGGCACCTGCAAGATCATAGGCCATGATGTAAAAGAAATCCAAATGCTGAGCCATATCCTTGAGATGCATTTTACGATACACCTCGGCACCCGAAGACACAGCAACCGAAATAAGATACTTGTTGGTAAGCTTTTCACGCAAATCATGAAGGAGATCAACATAGGCTTGTGCTTCTTCATCGTCCTTTGGGTGTTCCCAGTCAACGTCCAATCCATCGAGGCCATAGTCTTGTACATGTTGAAGAGCTGATTCGGCAAAACGAGCACGCTTGGCAGGATCCTTGGCAACAGTGGTAAAATTGGTGCTCCACGACCATCCGCCAACACTTAATGACACCTTGAGATTGCGATTGCGTTGCTTGAGGAGATACAATTGCTTTAGATTGCCATACAAATTGGTGCCAATATCATTCCAATTATCAGGTTGATGATTAAACGTCTCATCTATGATGTATGTGAGAAGCCATATTCTATGGTTGCATTATAGTATATATTTTACCTTCAGTGAAATGCTTGTCCTTGTCAGCCCAATCATCCTGCAAGATTACAGCATTGGTTGAGTAACATACACACACGTATCCATGTAAAAATACATACCCCGAGCACTATCGTGCCATCATCCATCAAATTGGCAAAGGCATAGAGTACATGAGAAAGCTTATCACTTTCCTTGGCAAGATCAGCAACACCATATCCTCGATCATAGATCGCCCTGCAGTATACAAAATAAGTTTTCTCAATGGCTGTCGTAGCTGTATATGTGTTTTATTACCAGTCGACAAAGTAGCCGGCGACAACATGCTCAGTAGGATGAACGGAATCCTCGGGAGAAGATGGCTCATTTTGCTGATTAGGAATCCCACCACGGAACCAGCTGAGCACCAGCAGCACAACAACCAAAGGTACAAGTATCAAAGTGCATAGCAGTGAACGTTTATCTGTCCTCGAGATAGACGTCGTCATAGTAGTGGTGTAGTAGATGGTCAACTCAGGAGCATATGGCTGTTGCTGGTAGTCAATCCAAAAATAGGGTAAGTGTTACAATGTCGTTTTTGTCGGGCTGCAATGCAAGATAACCAATACCCATCACATGACATTAATCACTGGAAGCGAACAAGGTTGTTTGTGGAGACGAAATCCTTCATGGATATTTAGGCCGAAACATCCTTTGAAAGTACACAAGAGAATACCTGCTCATAGCTAGTCAAGCCCTGGTTAACATAACAAGGTCCATATTTTCTCCAATACCCAATAAAGAATCTACCAAAGCCGATTGCCTCATTCATAACAATGACCCTCGTTTCATGAATCACTCCTCTATCCTTGCATGAATTGGAATAATGGTATCATGTAGTAGGATGCGCATCATTGATCATGATTGTTTGGTGACCTTACAAAGACCCCGTAATCGATCATCCAAATCACGTCCATTCCCAATCAAACATTGTCAAGCATTTACGGTGTGTACGTGTATGGGTGATTGAATTGGAACAAATAGGTGTTTCATTGAAGGATAATCCATCTATCGATGTACGTTTACTGGGAAGCTTCAGGAGCGTTGTTGTAAGCAGCCAATTGCTGGTCGAGATCAGCATCCACCTTGGGGGCCTATATGATATGGATCCAACATTGAGCATCATTATCGTCCACACATGATCGTTCGCATGATCCTATACACGTACCTCGGGAGCAGGAGGAAGCTTCAAGTCCTTGACTTGGGATTCATCAGCCTTGACCTATCATGGATACTCGATATCAGATCTTGCTCATATACTCAAGCTGAAAAAACGCGTTCAAAAGACTTACAGGTGCAGGCTTGTAACCCTTCAACTCCTTGAGATAAAGCTCTTGGACAACATCTAGTAACCCAAGCAACCAGTTGAATAAACGTTTCTTCCTCATGTACCGAGAAAACCATACCCTTTTGAGCAACAGCAGTGGTGGAGATGGCACGAGCAGCCATGGAAGGTGCAGCGACCTGTTTGGAGCAAGGGTACAATGTCAACAAAACAAAAGGTTCGCGTGTGTACCTGCAGTTGCAAGTATAAAGTTGTTAATGTAGAATGGTATGCGTACCTTGGAGGCGAGAGAACCAAAGGCAATGCGAGCAATCGACATGATGTAAGTAGGTATGAACAAAACAGCACCGGCTTCCTAAATTCACACTTGTAAAAAAACCCCTTCCCAGTGAACCAGCCTTGTCATCATTCGTGACTGGGGGCCATTGCACACCCACCCAAAATATCATTGCCATGGCAACCACCATCTGATTAGATATACTTGAACAAAACATTGAGATGCTTTCATTTTATTGCTCGCAGCATGAAAAAGGGGTTTTATGGCAAAGGAGTATATACGAGTTTCTGTACATATTATAAAAAAGAAATGCTTTTTTGAAAAGAGAAGAAGAGAATGGTGCATGGTGTGTGGAAAGCGAAAAAGAGAATCATCATGATGGATATGACATTTAGTCAACCTCCTCCATCTTGGAAGTCTCAACGACCTCCTCAACGGCAGCACCAGAGGCAGGGGCATCCTCAACAACTTCATCTTCGTCAATGGAAAGACCCAAAGCAACCATGCGGTGGATACGAGTAGCAAAGGTGGCAGGCTCATCAAGGGAGAAACCAGAGGTCAAAAGAGCGGTCTCGAAGAGAAGAGTGGTCAAGTCCTTAACAGTACGGTCGCTGGCATCAGCGGCAACCTTTTCCTTAAGAGTCTTGACGATGGCATGTTGGGGGTTAAGTTCGAAGGTCTTCTTGGAAGCCATGTAAGCGGACATGCTGTTGTCACGAAGAGCTTGAGCCTTCATGATACGCTCCATGTTGGCGGACCAGCCGAATTGACCAGTGGTGAGGACACAAGGAGAATCGGTAAGCTTGTTGGAGACAACGACCTTCTCAACCTTCTCGCCAAGAATTTCCTTGACAGACTTGCAAAGATCCTCAAACTTCTTCTCTTCTTCCTCACGAGCCTTCTTCTCTTCCTCATCCTCCTCAATCTCAACACCTTCCTTGGTGATGCACACAAGCTTCTTGTCATCGTATTCCTTGAGTTGAGTGGTGGAGTATTCATCAATAGGATCGGTCATGAGCAAGACTTCAATACCCTTCTTCTTGAAACCTTCCAAGAAGGGAGAGTTCTCAATAGCAGCACGGGATTCACCAGTGATGTAGTAGATGTTCTTTTGCTTCTCGGGCATACGGGTAACGTAATCCTTAAGGGAGGTCAATTCGTCACCGCTCTTGGTGGAGTAGTAACGGAGGAGATCAGCCAACTTGCCACGGTTTTGAGTATCTTCGTGGATACCAAGCTTAAGGTTCTTGGAGAAGGATTCGTAGAACTTGTCAAAGTTCTCCTTGTCCTCAGCGATTTCAGCGAACATCTCCAAGCACTTCTTGACAAGGTTCTTGCGGATGACCTTCAAGATCTTGTTTTGTTGAAGCATCTCACGAGAAATGTTAAGGGGCAAGTCTTCAGAGTCGACAACACCCTTGACAAAGTTGAGCCATTCGGGAATGAGATCCTCACAGTCATCCATGATGAAGACACGGCGAACGTACAACTTGATGTTGTTGCGCTTCTTCTTGGTCTCGAACAAATCGAAGGGAGCACGCTTGGGAACGAAGAGGATGGCACGGAATTCAAGTTGACCTTCAACAGAGAAGTGCTTGACAGCCAAATGATCCTCCCAGTCGTTGGTAAGGGCCTTGTAGAATTGAGCATACTCTTCGCTCTTGATATCATCAGGGTTGCGAGTCCAAAGAGGCTTGGTCTTGTTGAGCTCTTCGGTATCAGTGGTCTTTTCCTTGATGGTCTTCTTCTTCTTTTCCTTCTTGTCTTCTTCATCCTCAACTTCCTCAATCTTGGGCTTCTCCTCATCTTCCTTGACCTCCTCAGCTTCATCATCAGAGACTTCCTTCTCAACCTCCTTTTCAACAACCAATTGGATGGGGTAAGAGATGAATTCAGAGTGCTTCTTAACGATGTCCTTGATCTTGCGTTCTTCAAGGTACTCGAGCTATTAGAAAAACAAAGCGGATGGGAAATTTAGTATATACGCCACTATTTTTTCGTGCACCGCACATGTGTGTGTGAGTGGTTTACTACACACACAAAAAATTACATACCTGATCCTCCTTCAAGAAGAGGCGCATTTCAGTACCACGGCCAAGGGAGGGGTTGACTTCATCACGGGTGATGGTGAAAGAACCGCCAGCAGCAGATTCCCAAATGTATTGCTCGTCATCATTGTGCTTGGTGATGACTTGGACCTTGTCAGCAACGAGGTAAGCAGAGTAGAAACCGACACCGAATTGACCAATCATGGAGATATCAGCACCAGAGGAGAGGGCTTCCATGAAAGCCTTGGTACCGGACTTGGCGATAGTACCCAAGTTGTTGACGAGATCAGCCTTGGTCATACCAATACCGGAATCACGGATGGAAAGGATGTTGTGCTCACGGTCAGGGATGATACGAACGAAAAGTTCCTTCTCACCATCAAGAGCAGAGGTATCGGTCAAGGATTGGTAACGGATCTTGTCAATGGCATCGGAAGCGTTCGAGATCAACTCACGCAAGAAGATTTCCTACACATAACCATGGTGTGTCAAAAACCAATGTTGCTATCTAAACGCTGACGCGTCCTCCCTTATCCCATTACTTACCTTGTTAGAGTAGAAGGTGTTGATGATCAAACTCATCAACTGAGAGATCTCAGCTTGGAAGGAAAAGGTTTCAGTCTCGGCGGTCATGGTGATGTGCTATGGGAAAGAAGAGAGAAGCAGAGAAAGAGCAACAGTAAGAAAGATTATTGCTTTGCTTTTTATTCCCTTTCCTTACCGTAGCTCTTATTTCAAAGCCAGCACCTACTTTATAATACGAATATACAGTAAAGCACCTTCCAGCAACTTCGATCAGTTCAGGGACCGCCTTTTTTTGACACGGATCACTATGGAAAACCATATTCACTCAGCCTCTTGCAAGTTAACCTATTTTGAACCACACACAACACTTACCTATGGCCATGTTTTTGATTTAACGTGTTTTTGGTGATGTAGTCTTTGTGCACATTGTCACCCAAGCGAAGGTGGATATCCTGGAAGGAAACGGGTGTTTTGATTAGTACCTAAAAGGAATGCCACTTGTTCATTATTCATTTACCTTGAACAATATACAATCAATGATCCTTCCATGCCATATTGTGTCACTCCTAAATGCGAGGACGACGATGATCTCTTCATTTGGATGATATCTTGAAAGCACTAATATGGAAATGGAACATTAGCCAAGCGGGATAACAACCAACTGCCATTTTCAGCGTCTTGGTTTTCTTTGTTGGTGAACATGACACTCACTGCATATCTGAGCCTTTTATCTCTTGGGAGCAGCATCCAATTACGGTCCAACGATGACGAAGACGAACAAGAAGAGCAGATCGCCCGATTGCAACGACGTGAGAAAGAAATGCTACAGGCACAACATAGTGTAATCACCGCAATCAGTCAACACAGCGCGTCAAGTGACATGCGAGGTATGTAGATACCCTGATTCGACCCATGAATGCGATCGGCTTTTACTTACATGTAGGCATGTGTAGAGTTTACGGAGAACCTGGCAGGCGGAGTGCTCACAGTGAGTAGCATGGTGAGCAATTACACACTATGCTTTCCAGTGGTGGTGGCGCGTCATCGTCTACAAGCATTTCCTGCTCGTCGTGCATGGCGTAGAGATACTCCTGTATACTTCGCACGTCGGTTTTGGGGCACCTATCAACGACAAGGACTTGGCCGCTTGTATACAGGCTTTGGATTGGGATTACTGGCACAGGCCATCACTACCATATATGATGCGATGCTCAGTGGTCTCATTGGTCTACTCTCTCAAGATCCTGATATCTCTTGGACACGACAATTGTTCTTAACTGCAGCCAATACATGGTAAATATCCATATCTATTATGCATAATCACGTGATTAACAATGGTTCCTTCCTTAGTCTCGGCTGGGGTGTACATATACCTCTTTATCCGCTTTATCGCAATGCTCTTATCGTGCGAGTACAACTAGCTGGAACACACCAACCTATCAAAGGAATCAAAGACTTTGCACTCTCTTACAAGCACGATCTCAAACGATTCTTGTCACCACTAAGCGGGCCATTACCACTCATATCCGTTTTCCTTCCTTCATGTTTACTACACGTGGTGACAGAGAAGCTCCTCCTCTTTTTATACAAACGCATTTTACCTATTGCAACATCATCTCCCAACCATCATCGTCACAAGTCATCAACACGCTCATCCAACAGGACACATCAACGAGCAGCACGATCACGACGACAAGCAGCTATCATAGAAACTGATTCTGGTACACGTATTGCCACTACAGGCGGATCCAATTTTATGGTTGTACCTGAACCTGGATCAGAAATGGAACGACAACTCTTGACACGACAACAACAACAACAGCAACATCGCCATCACAACCAAGCTGAAATGACAGTGCTACGAACGTTTTATCCCGAAGTTGTATGTGGTATTGTGAGCAGTTTGATCGTACGGATTGTGAGTTACCCTCTGGATACGGTGCTTTTTCGGCTCATGCTACAAGACTCGGGCATTCAACCCAATCAAACACACTATACCGGTTTCTTCAGTTGTGTAAGGCACATATGGTATAATGAAGGTGGATGGCGTGCGTTCTTTCCAGGTTGGGGTGGCGGTGTGATGGAAATCGTGATGAGTTATCTCGTACTTGAAGGATCATGGCTCGCGTATCGTTTCGTTGATTGGAAGATTCAAGGCTATCCCGAATATGAACCACGCAGCGTAAGAAAAGTACGCGATATACGTGAGCGTATGGGTCTCCCTGTTTAGTAGCATTTGTACATAAATCAATTATTACCCTTTCATGAATACGTTAATACATCAATCATTGTTTATATTCATGTCTCCCTTTGATAACTATGTGATGGCGTTGAAGGAATGCTAACGTATACAATGGTATGTTTATCTTGCATCAAACATACACTCTTCAAGATTGGTAATTCCCCGCCCTACGTTGATATGATAACTATCTTACAAAGTCTGCCTACAAAAATCACAAGAGGACCGAGTGTTACGGCGTATCTACAAGATGATCTAATAACGAAGGAAGATGAGTTATGCTATCGTATACAGCCTTTGTTCTTCAAGGCACAATGAACCAATCAGACACTTTCTCTTCTTTTTATCAGCGGATGCACTACTACAATCCTGCATAAACTTTTTTTGTAATACAATGCATCAAAATGCCTACACATGGCGAGTTCCAACTCAGGAAGAAGGTAGCTCTTACTATAGAACCTTATAAAGGGCCCAAGCACTCCGTATTCGCGAAAGTAATCCTTTAATCCAACATCATTTACAAGAGATAGCTTGAGAGGTACAGCGAATTGCTCCAACGGGAGAGGTACATCGATATGAGAAGTTTCTATCTTATGGGCGTGCATTGAGCAAAGGTGAATGGATGGACGTGAGGTGGAACTTGATGCGCGGTGGAATGGATGGTTGAGAGGTTACAAGTGGATGGTGATAGTAGCTGCCATGGAAGAGCGAGTAAAATACGATCCTTGGATACACCTATCGTTCAGGATGATAGCATCTAGGTCAAGTTGACAATGGGCACATAAAAACAAAGACTCGTTTTCCACGCATTGTGCACGTCTATAACCTTCCATCCCATGTACATACCAAAGCAATGTTTTGATCCATAGACATTCGCATGTATTGAAAGCAAGTTGCCACGCGTAAATAATGCTGCTTCTATACAATGGTTATCTGCTGGTCACGTAAAACAGGTTGTAAGGCAAGTTGCTGCAAATAAAGAAAGCTATTTTGAGACAGTGAAGTAAAGACGTTGTTATTGGCAGCTGTTGCAATGAATGTTGTTGTGCTTGGTTGTGGTAGAGGAGTATACAAGAAAAGGTGTGAAGGAAGCGTGGGTGTTGTAGTAGAGTGATAAGAGGACTGTATACACGCCATGCACTTGCCATTCAGTTAAAGACAATCGGATCAAGGCAATCGTAGGATTGACATGGTGGGTTGAAGCAGGACAATCGTTCGCAGGTGGTAGTTGTATGCACTTGAATGGGGCAACAGTTGAGAATGGGAGGAGAAGTGACAATGAGCTGGGAGTGGAAGAAGTGGAAATTAAATAGGGCAGTCTGATGTTGAACGATACTTCTTTCTTCGAGCGTTGCTCAATCAAATCCTCTCGAAGCAAGAACGTTCAATGATGGGCATGCTCGTCTGGAGTAACACAATCGTTCGTATGCATTGGATTGGACAACAAAGGTGAATGGGAGGAAGTGGCTATTAGCTGGCATTTATGAACCATTCCTAAATAGTGTACAAGTATCATGCATCGCCTGTGCTGACTGGCTCAAGTTACACAAACACGCCCGTCTGCATCTTTGGCTATAGTCATACTACTTGACAATGAACAAAGACCACTTCTCATATAGCATCACGCTTACAACATAGTAAAAACATAAAGACACCTGTATCTCCAAACTTTACAATCAAACGTGGGGTCTTTGATAGAACCATGTTGCTCGGCGGGGTGAAAGCGATCTTGTGTCAAACCATGAAGTCCATCGTGGCTAATCCCAGATTTCGCAATGTCGCTACCAGCCAAACTGGATCTGGGGCTCAACCTCTTTCGACGACGACCAAAAAAATATTTTTTGGGCTAGTTGCGACATTGAACGCGAAACTTTCACACAAGGTGCTGTTGGCCAAGCCGAGTCCATTGCTCTATTCAAAACCCCACGTTTCATTGTAAAGTTTGGAGATACAGGCACCTTTATGTTTGTAAGCGTGATGCTATATGAAGAGTGGTCTTTGTTCATTGTCAAGTAGGTGGACCCTGGCAGAGCAAAAGATGCAGAGGGTCGTGTTGTGTAACACAGCTACGTTTGCATGAATGAAAGGGTCAATGTATAATTACTTTATGGATCATCTAGGAACAGGCATGTATTGCTAGCTAACGGCCACTTTTATCCAATCATCATTGTTGCGAGATCCACTGCATGGGAACGATGCCCCTGCTCCAGACATTCATTTCCATGATTAAAGTAGGTTGATCCGAGCTGATTTGACTGAGCTGCGGTCAAAGAGAGATTACATCACTCTGGACATCAAGCACGCTCGATGTAGC